CCAGGCCTTTAGAAGACTAGAATGGCTTGTTAGGAATGCAATATTTGATTTATTTAATATTATTTTCTGACATCAACATATGTATTTTAGTCTATAATAACCACTCAGTTACACTTTCTATTTCTATTTGTTGGCATGTGTCTGTATAGTGCATTGTTCTTTTATACACGTAAATCAATGTTGTGCATTTTAATGTTTTCAGGGCCCCTGCACACACTTCCTCTGTCACAAACTGGACATCATGTTTATTGTACATAATTATTTCTGGGTCAGCTGTAGCTTCAGTTCTTTAACAAGCATCAGAAAATACAGTAGTAGTAGATCTTGTCCTTCTTTCTTCCTCCACTGTGCCACCCATAGACTGTACCACCACATACACTAATAACCTATACTGTACTTTAACACAATCCAGATACATAAATAAAATAGTATAAAATATAACAACCACATGTTCTCATATTAGAAGCAATGTATTAGTGATAGCATCAGTACATGTGCATAACAAATAGCCTTTTCTCTTGTTATCTTGGCTGACCAAACCTCATTTCATAGCTTGTGATTTTGTCTTGTCCCTGTGATATAGATAGAAATAACTATACCAATTTACAGAGAAAAACATAACATTTTTTCCTGCCAAAATGATTCAAAAATATTTCTTTGAACAGGATTTGGGGCTGCTATATTTTTACAGCTTCTATTTCCAGATAAGACGTGATTAGAAGATGCAATTTGTTTAATCTCCTCCAGGGATTTAATAACACTGATACTGCTACATAGAGATTAGCAGTTCATGTTCCAACGCACCATTTCCTCACTGCTCGCCTCAGGTGAGCTCAGCATAAGCTGTCAAATAAGCTTTATAGGATCTATGTTTTTTCATGCAATTTAATATTACCATGTTGACCTGCAAATACAACTAATATACGCACTGATGTGACTCCAGCTATCCACACTTTTTCACCCTTTCATTGCATAGTTGAGCTACTACTAAAAGATTAATCCATCAAAATTAAAGGAGATTACTGTCACATGTTACTTGTATGTAGTGACAAATCTCTCTGCAAATCTGTCAATTATTCAGGTGTGTATTTGCAGTGACGGTGTAGGTAATCTGTCTGTGGACATGTTTATTAAGATTATAAAATAACCCAAATATTATGGTTGTGAAATCTCTCTTGCACTTGCTCTTCAAATGCCTTTATACAGAATTATGAGTTTATGTTGTGGACTAGAGGTGGATTTAGTTTATCTTTATGCAGTGGTGGAAGAAGTACTTAAGTACTAAAGTTGGTATCTAAGCAAAAGTACAGATACCAGAGCAAAGAAATACTCAATTAAAAGTATCACATGAAAAACTCTCCTAGTAAAAGTATTAGTTTTAAAAAATACTTACAGAATAAAGTAAAAGTATTTCACACAGATTTTGCTGAATTTTGTTCAACAGAAACAATTGAATTTATTTATTTTTTCCTATCTGTTTTAATTTGTATATTTTCATTTGCTCAAACAATGAACTTGAAAATAAACCCTCAGCCTTTTCAGCAGGTGTCAAACTGTAATAAAAATACTTGTTCTTTTCAGTCCTGTTCAAAAATGTAATGGAGTAGAAAGTACAAATATCTGTCTCAAATCCAGTTAAGTCAAAAGAAAAAAGTATTCACTTTAAAATCTACTTAAGTAATGTACATATACCTAAAATGTATACTTAAGTACAGTACTTTACTACTTTTACTTTACATTCCACCACTGTCTTAATTATATATTTTTTGCTTTTGTTTTGAATACTGTGATTGAACAAATGTGAACTAATCTTTCTGTAAAAGACTGAATTCCAAAATGGAAAAAAGCTTAATATTTGGGATGACAGAAGCTGCCTTAGTTTTTGGTTGAGTTGGAGACATAGTCCCAATCAGAGCTCCACCTGTGTCCAATCAGGTCCCATGTCTGTGGGCCGTGTAGTCTCGGCCGTGCAGTCTCTGCTTCAGATGAACACATGATGCCCAGAGGACGACTTATTCATGCTTTTATTTCGCCTAAAGGCTCTTTTGAAAATGACATTTTAAAAATGGTCTCCAATGTGCACTCAGCTTTTTGGAAACTTGCTAGCAGAAGTAAGAGACTGCTTTCACTTTGTGTCTTTAGCTTGTCAAGTCAATTTGCATTTTACATAAAACTAAGGGTAAATCAAGCATAAGTATTAATTAATCTTGTCCAGTAATTATCACATATGTAAGAAATCTTGGCTGTTCATGTTATATTTTAGACTAATTTCTTCTGTGTAAGTTGACCTCATTGGTGAAGTTGTAGGTCTGGTTTATTGAATTTTGTTTTATAATCTTAGTGTATATTTTGTGTTCTCCCCCTTCCATTGTGCACTTGTAAAAATTTGCACTCAGCAATTTTTGTTTATTATAGTAAGTGTTTAATAGAGTAAAGCATCTCATTGTCTCTTATTCGTGTGCTTTCTCCCTTTTATATCGTGTAGTAAAAGTGCAGAAGAGCAATCACCACCATCACTGGGACCAAAGCTTCTGCCATCCCCCACATGTGAGCCACAGTAAGACATGGAGCAGCCCCAGCCACCCACACAACCATCAGGACCACTGCAAATGTAAGTGATCACAAGTGACAGCACTGCTACCGGCTACACACCAGAGCAGGGGCTGGCTCTCTGCACGTGTTGGGAAAATGGTTGTCCTGATTTGGCCCTCATCTCTGAATTTTCCACTTATGGTGCAGTACTAGGCCTGTCACGATAATTACAATATTGACTGATATATGAAAACTGGAGCAATATATTTTGGGGCTCAATATTTATCAAGGGTTTTTTTTTTTTTTGGAACAATGGGGAGACTTTTGTCATTTTTACCTAATATAAGATTTGAGTTGTTGAAAGTTGAATAAATAACTGTCATGGTTAATAAGCAGTTCATTCTGCCATTTATTTGTTGCAGCTCAGAGACTTAATGACACTAATTTTAACCGTTGGTTTACTGGGATTATCCTGCTTTGTATCAGTGCATAAACTTTTTTCAGTATTATCGTTTATTGTAGTATTTCTCTGTAGCAATATATATTGTGCCTCAAAATGTATTCAGCGACTGGCCTACGCAGTACAAATGAAATCAGTGTTTCTTTTTAACAGGTAAATTACATACTTGAGTATTAGAAATGTTATGAAGTGCAAATTCTATTCAGTATGCTCTGTTGTTTTCATTTGGTTTAGTAAAAATTATCAATTAACTTCCTTGTGGTCATTGTTCTTTTAACGGGGTAAAGATACAACCCCTTGACAAATTTTTGTCAGCCCTCACTTCCCCTGCTGAATAGATCCAGATGATCATTGACAGTACTTTTCACAACTAATGCATAAACACCCCTGATCTTACACTTTTATGTACGTACCATTTATCATAAAAAAAAATATATCTATGCTGTTGCCTGCAGTCATCTCTGAACTGATACTATAAGAAAGTGTGTGTCTGCTTCCAGCCCTGGTGAGTGGTGGCTTCTCCCCTTCCTCCACAGTCACTTCAGGCTTCAGCAGCCAGGGGAGCAACACTCTGCCCTGCCCCAGTGCTCCTGTTGCCCCCACCAGCCCCCGAAGCTCCACAGGCCGGAGGAGGACCAGGAAGAAGGACCACAAGAGCTCGTGTGAGTCTCACAATACCCCAGCATGTACTATAATATTGTAGCCTACACTATCTTAAAAGGCAGTTCTGTTTCCATTTCCTACATATTGTTTTTACTTTCCCCCCATTGCTATAAAATGTGTAAATGATTTTGCATGTGAATATTTTCATGAGCTTCTTTGAGTCTGCCCTCAGTGTAACTAGAGTTGCTTTTTCCATTGAGTAACCATGTGCCAATTATGAAGCTGGTGTAGATATGAGATACAGTAATACAGAGGTGGGGACTTGCAAGTCGTGACTTGGGCTTGAGTCAGACTTGAGTCACTATTTTTAGGACTTGAGACTTGACTTGATAAAATGGACTAAGACTTGGGACTCAACTTGGACTTGAAGGTCAATGACTTGGGACTTGACTTGACTTGGGCCCGTGACTTGAGAAGTCTTGATGCTTCTCCTAAAAACAATATATGTTTTTAGGAAATACTTTTCTCTTTACAATTAATTTGACAGGAACAAACTGGAACATGTCCCTCCCACTTCTCTGTTTGGTACTTTGGATGTAGCTGAAGTACTGTGGTATGGTATCCTCAAATGTACTACAGTAATACACAGTATTATACAGTAATATATAGTACATTACAGTAAACCAGAGGGAACTACAGAGAACTACATGACAAAATAAGTGTTATCTAGCACTTGTAAATCTGAATTCATTCTAGTCTGCCCGTAATGATTCACACTAAGATTTTGTCAAGACATTTATAAAGGAAAAAATTGCATTTCTACAACTCTTATATAAATACTCATATATAAATATTCCATGACTTTAAAGTATATTTTAGTTTTAAATTTATATAAATTGCAAAAATCTAAGCTATATTTGGCACTTTGGTTTAAAGACTTGAAATGACTTGAAGCTCAAAGCGGATTACTTGGACTTGACTTGGACTTATGGGCCAGTGACTCGAGACTCGACTTGGATTTGCCTGTGTTTGACTTGGAACTTGACTCGAACTTGAGGTAAAAGACTTGAGACTTACTTGAGACTTGGAAAACAACGACTTGGTCCCACGTTTGCAGTAATATATAGCAAAATTTCAGTAGTGAACAAGACAAAGTCAAAAAGACTAAACATACTTTCAAACAGGGGTAAAAAGTAATGTTTCTGATGGTTTACAGATTATACACATTTCAGCACATCAGATGGTAGATAATAGCATCTGATTATTTTTATGTGTCTGATTTTTGATTCACGCGTCACTTGTCATGCAGGTCCCACGTTTTAGTTTTTGCAAGCGTCTTTCGTAACCACACCTTTCCATCTGTTCTCACCTCTTCTCTTGTGCTACATCTTTGAGTCCTGATTTAAACTCGCTTGACAGACCCAGGTCACTTTTCTTTTCTGTTTATATGGGCACATGTCAGCTTTCCTTACTCCCCACTATCTCCTGCCATCTCCTCTGTACATTATCTGCCACTGTCTGTCTGTCTCTCTGTCTCCCACACAGTGTCCCTAGCCTCCAGCTCCGTGGGCCCTGGAGGTCAGGTCTTTCATGTGGAAACAAGTGAGGTGGTCCTGAGGGGAGATCCGCTCACAGGTTTTGGGATCCAGCTTCAGGGTGGTGTCTTTGCCACCGAGACCCTGTCCGCTCCCCCAGTCATTCGCTTTATTGAGCCCGACAGCCCAGCCGAAAGGTAGTCACAGTCAGACACACGCACAAACAAAAATCATAGAGAGTCACCTTCATCTGGGGCTTGTGCTAATCATTGGGCTTGGCAATGAACAACTGACACATGCAAAATGAGTCTAAATTTAGCCTGGTGCCTCACTCATCATCATGCATTCAGTCAAACACAACATTTGGGATCCACTTATTATCACCAAGATTATCAAAATGATTAGGCATTGGAGACACTTTAAGGGCCCGTATTACACTATTTTCTGTTCTAAGTTATAATCTTGTTTCCTCATCACAAACCCTGCATATATAGGCTGAGTTCTTCTCTCAAACAGAAAACATCTTGTTCCACCTTGTGATGTCATGTAGTAATACAGGAAGTACTCAACTGTGTTTGTAAACTCCATACACCCTCACTAGGATCGTCTGAATAATTTCAGTCCTGGAATTGCCAATCTTTACTGAACTAAAGGCAAAAGGAGCTGTTAACTTCATGACATCACAAGGTGGAACAGAACATTTTCAGCTTTGGAGATGTAGACAGGCAAATAATAAAGGGTTATTCAAACACGTGTGAATGAAACAAAATACAACTCCAGACATGTTTTGATGAGGAAACAACATAACATGGCTTAAAGCTCATAAGAGTCAATTTTGTATAATGTAGGACCTTTGACTTATCTTATTTTTTTAGGCATTGGAGATTAAAGGGACAGTTCAGAATTTTGGACATAGGACCTCATTTCCTAGTGAGCCAGAGTGTTGGAGATGTGTGGAGACACTTTTTATAACCCTCACGCTCTCCTCGGGGTCACATAGACCTGAAGAAACTTTTTTTTCCCTTCCCGCTCTGTTGGGGCGGGTCAATCAAATCCAAAATGTATTTGCTCCCCTGGCGAAAAAATAAATTAAAATAAATTTTGGGGTCTGATTGACCCACCCCAACAGAGCGGGAAGGAAAAAAATAAAGTTTCATCGGGTCTATGTTACCCCGAGAAGAGTGTAAAGGTTTTAAATATTCCATCCAGTCCTTGTATTTGCAGAGGTTGGCCATAGTCTGCTTCTTAAAACAGTCTTACCCACTCCACAAAGCACCTAAAACAACTCTATTATGCCAGACTGTCAATGTAAATGTCTGTGTTGATAGAATAATGTTTGAAATAAAAAATAACCTTGGATCACATGAATTGTCACATGTTGAGGGACTATTTTCTCTATCAATCCGCTGCTGCTGCTCAGGAACTACAACTCTTACTGCTGCTGCTCAGACATAAAACCTTCAAGTACAAGGTTAGTTTTACTTCTAAAATTATTCTTTCGACACAGACGTTTACATCGACAGTCTGGCATAATAATAGATTTGCTTCAGGTGCACTGTGAAATAAGACTGTTTTTAGTGGCAGGCTAACTATGGCCATTGACATGCGCTAGCCTAGCACCAGTGACCTCTGCAAATACAAGGACCGGATGGAATTTTTTTTTTAAAGAGTATCTCCACATGTCTCCAACACTCTGGGTAACTAGAAAATGAGGCCCTATGTCCAAAATTCAAAACTGTCCCTTTAAGATGTAAAATGCACTATTTGGCACCAATGTATAGTATTGCTTTAGATCAGGGGTGTCAAACTCATTTTGGTCCGGGGGCCGTATCCAACCTACTTTGATCCCAAAGGGGCCGGATCAGAAAACTCATATCATATAAACCCCAAAAATAAAAATAAGTTCAAATATTTGTGCAGAGAAACACAAATCTATTACAGAAATCTTTTTTAATTGATGAATCTTTCTTTTACAAAATATTATAATATTATGAACAACCTGAAACTTTAAGAAAAATACAATTTCAACACAAAGTTTTAACATTAACTTGTTTGCAAATAGGAATAAGTCCATTTTTCTTGTAAAATCCTGCACTTGGCGTCCGCTTTTCTCATTTTTGACATTTTGCTGATGGTGTCACGGTCAACAGTCAAAACGATCGTCCTTTAAGAGCGTTTGGAAAGAAACAAGTCTTCATTTGTGCTGCTCTGGTGGGAGGGGCCACGTACAGAGACGCTGGAGACGCTGCTGTGATAAACACCGCAGAAAATTACCAATATTTTAATAGAAAATAGAATTCAAATATTTTAGTAGAAAATCAGCCGAGGGCCAGAATAAAGGTCTTGGAGGGCCGGATCTGGCCCCCGGGCCGCATGTTTGACACCTGTGCTTTAGATGATTATTGTGCTATAATATATGATTGATACAGCATCGTGTAGTGTACTGATCTATGCTTCAACATTCAGTCTAACATCTCTTTATGGACTTGGAGCCTGTTCTTGTCCTGCAAGATAAGTGGCCAGGTGGGTTTTTGTTCAGGGTTCGAGCTGTAGGGGGCAGCAGTGACTTGCACACAATACTGTGATATTGGTGTCTTGGCCTGTACTCCAGGGTAATTATTGCAGCAGAAGTGAATTAACATTAGCTGACATGGTTTTTGTAGCTAGTTGTCCATAATTGGAGGCCTTGTTAAATGTGCTACACTAGATATAACCCTTCAATCTAAACTAAATTTTCAGTGTTTTGTGTGTGTTGGTGGAATACCCAGAGGTCAAATTTCTACATGTGGTACACAGAGATGAAGCACTTGACACGGTGTCTGTAAAAATTTCATGAAATGTCAACAATCTTAACACCTTGTCAAGACATGGTGAGAATGAAAAAAGATGTGTCACATGTGTGGTAATGGTTTTCAATTTGAGTATGTTTCATGTGGTTTTAATTCATGCACACAAAGGCCATAGCTGTGTTCACAATAGTCAATGTGGAACCTGTACACATCTGAGAACCACTTAGCTATGGTAAATGTTAATTTAAAGGGTCCATATTACTCTATTTTCTGGTTTGTTATGTTGTTTCCTCATCAAAAACTGAATTGTGCTTTGTTTCATTTGCACACAAACCCTGCATTATTTAGGCAGTTCTCTCAAACAAAAAACTCCTTTTGATGTTACAGGAATTAATATAATACAGGAAGTGCTCCATTGTGTTTTTAAACTCCATACACCTGCACTACAATCATTTGTATAATTTCAGCCTCAATCTCTACTGAACAAAACTAAAAGGAGCTGTTAACTTGAAAACTACTGCTTCATGACATCACAAGGTGAAACAGAGCATTGAGCTTTGGAGATGTAGACAGACTAATGCAAGATTACTCAGACATGTATGAATGAAACAAAACCCAACACGCAAATTGTGTCAATTTTGTGTAATAAAGGACCTTTTAATATTCTTGTATTCAGGTGTGGGCTTCTGCAGGTCGGAGACAGACTTCTATCCATAAATGGGATTCCTACTGAAGATGGTACTTTGGAAGAGGCACACCAGCTCCTCAGAGACTCTGCTTTGGCCAATAAGGTCACATTGGAGATCGAGTTTGACATTGCAGGTGTTGCATTTTATCACATCATGTTGTATTGCATAGGGCATTTTTGACTGTTTGTTTGTTTTATTTTTCCACTAGAATCTGTTGTACCCAGCAGTGGCACTTTCCATGTGAAACTTCCTAAGAGACGGGGGGTAGAACTTGGCATTACCATCAGTGGTAAGTAGGGTTATTAGTATCCAGCAGAGGGCGCTATTGTTCAACACAAATCTACTGAGCTGCACTAATGCAGTTTAAATCAATGTTCTGTGATCCATAAACTCAAGCCTCAAACCACCAGAGCTCATTAACTCAGAATAATGCAGACTCAGACCAGCCTCTGTTATTAATCTTTGTCACATTCTGATCACTTCCCTTCCTTTGCAGCCAGTAAAAAAACTGGGAAGCCTCTCATCATCTCTGAAATAAAGAAAGGAAGTATAGCACACAGGTATGCCATCTTTTTTCTCTAACATAACTTTATTACTTAATGGAATGTTTACTGGTCATCTGAGATCGTACTTTCTCAGCACCTCTCTGTAGTAGACTATTTATTGTCAGTAAATATGTTTATCATAACAATTGTTGATTTGTTGACTAAGTGCTTGGTGCTGTCAGCAAGGACACAAATGTTATGTCTCATCACTGAATCGCATCACATTCTAAATAAGGAAACCACACTGCAATACAAGCCTAATTGGATTACATTATGAAAACTAGAGCAGTGGAGCAACCACATTTCACCACAGGCTCAAGGCTGAGGAGATGGTCACCTCTAAAGTTCCCAAAGGGATTTACAGGAGCTAAAGAGATTCAGGCACTGACAGACAAGTTTGATGCCCTGCTCACAAGAATTTACATTTTATTAGTATTTTTATTTATAATTATTATTCAAATCTAGTCATAAAAGTTTGCCTTAAATTACCTTTTGGCAAGTCTTAATTTTAATTAAGTTGCTACTTCTAATTTCTATAGATAATAAACTGTATCAAAGAGAAAGCCCATCCCTAATGAGCACATTAACGTCTGGTTCTGATCCAGTGTCTCTTGTGTGTAGAACAGGCACTTTGGAGCCGGGGGACCGGCTGCTGGCCATAGACAGTGTTCGTCTAGAGCACTGCACAATGGAGGACGCCATGCATGTCCTGAACCAGGCTGAAGATATGGTCAAACTACGGATACAGAAGGACGAGGATAATATTGGTACATATTAAATTTCTTTTTCCTAATCTGTTTTGTGTTTCAAAGGTGATGACTACAGTCACATAATACAGCTAGTACCTGATTCTAGCCTAAGAAACTCATTTCCACCTGCTGTCCTTTAAAATCTTTTATCCCTAAGCTTTTATTTTTATGTTTCAGTACTTCCTTTTAAGTGGTTTACTTTTTAAACCTCATTTTTTGTTTTGGTTTTATTTTTGAAAACTGAATAAAAAACAAACAAAAAACACTAATGGTTTTACTGAAATATTTTTTCAGTAATATTATTTGGCTGCATTGCAACTACATTGGAGCATATACAAAGAGTTGAACATTAAACATTTGAATGTTTCTTCTTTTCTAGATGAGTTGGAAATGTCAGGCTCTATAATCTACACTGTTGAGCTGAAGAGGTATAATGGACCACTGGGCATCACCATTTCAGGCACTGAGGAGCCTTTTGACCCTATCGTCATTTCAGGCCTGACCAAGAAGGGCCTGGCAGAGAGGTGAGCCGGAGCTGTGGGAGAGGTGAAGAAGTCAACATGTAAGGCACGACTCTTTTTAGTGAGAGGATTTACTATGGCCGGCTCATTTTCATTGTTTTATTGTTCTACCACTGCGCTGACATGTTGAGCAATAACTGAGGCCACCAAAGAGCCCCTGTCTGTCTTATGTAACCTACATTTTGCTGCCTTTTCTCTTTATCCTTTCAGAACAGGGGCCATCCATATAGGTGACAGGGTGCTGGCCATCAATGGAGTCAGTCTCAAAGGGAAACCTCTTAGTGAAGCCATCCACCTCCTGCAGATGGCGGGAGAGTCGGTCACGCTCAAGATCAAGAAGCAAACAGACTGTGAGTGATTTAAGGTCGGGGGGGGGGGGGCAATGCCAACTGTAAATATACGTCCACATCATGTGTGGACCATGTTGTTGTTTACAAAGTAAATACTAAAACTTCAATATGATGCATGCTATAATTAGCAAATACATCTGGTAACACTTATAATATGCCTTAATAAAGCTTGAATAAAGTCTTAATTCACAATGAACATATACTTGGTTAAGAGTGATCCAGGCTTAATACTGTAACTCTGTGGTTCCCAGAGTGGGCTCCGGGGACCACTGGGGATGGGGCTCAGAAGCATTGCAGGCTGGCCCTCAAAAGGTTGCCCACCCAACAAGTTGTAACGGTATTTCTTAACCTTAATTAAGTAGGTGCTAAGCCTAATAAATTATCTCTTCATTTTGACTTTCTTTGTGCTTTATTATGACTATAAATAGTGTAGTAGTTATTATCAAGTGTTACCTCACAGTAAGCCAGTTTGAGATCTATTTCTCTAATCACCTCCATCAAATAGAATCAATTTAAAAGATGTCCTACTCATGTTCTGCTAATCTACCACCAAGCATTGATCAGCCATTAAAATTGTCATAAACTGTGTAAAATCTCTTCTCTTTTATGCTTAGATTCTGATACTAGGCCTTTGCTGTACAGAGAAGGTGGATATCTGTGTGATCTGGATGACGAGCTTACAGACTCCCATAAAACCAGTAAACTGTCAGAGGCCTACTCTGCCACAGTGCCCAGCGTGGACTCGGCCATGAGCTCCTGGGACGGGTCAGGCTTTGACACAGGCTACAACAATCAAGGTACAGACATGCAACACCAAAAGACAATACTGAATATAGTAATACATGTTAAAGCTGTGTAATTAGAGCAATACAGTTAGGTAAAATTCTTATATTGCATATCAGCTAATATAAACAATTTTATACAGGATGTTTTTCTGAAATTGGTATATGCTTAATTGCATTTATTTCCTACATCATGCTTACTGTTTTAGTTACTTTTTACCTTTGCTAGGTACATATCTTCACAAACCGTCTGACTTCTTGCTAAATGCCAGTGACTGGCAACAATCAAAGCACAGGAGTCAATCAGGCTCCAACTCTGTTGGCCTGTCCCATCACACCATGTTATTTGACGCAAGGTTTACTGAAGATGAGTGGGACAAAGTACCAGGGTAAGAGTTCATCTGTGCTGATCCTCCAGTTTAGTGTTTTTGTGTTGTCTTTGTAAACAAAGGTGTATCTCAAATACCAATACTATCTATTTTTAGTTCAAATAAAAGCAAAATGTAAAAAAAATCTTAAGATACAGCCAATGTAAAGATTTAGTTGTGGTTGTAGTTGGTCATTAGCTGAGACCTGCAGCTGATGAGGCGATTTAATCTCTGTTGTTAATTGTTAATTTTTGTACTGAACTGATTGAATGACCATGGTTTAATTTGAGATTCAGCTTTCACAGCCCTTCATTTCCTGTTGTTGGTCTATTCTTGCTGAAATTCTAAGCACAATCTGAATCTTTTTTCATTTAGTGTCATGTGCTTTGTGCACTTTGTGTTTGTGCGTTTCCAACTGTCCTTTTTTCTTTCTTTCTCAGGTATTCACTTTCCCATCTGCTTTACTAACCATCTTCAGCATTCTTTTGCTATTTTATGTCACCTTTTTAAGTAAATTAAAACTGATTTTTGTTTGATTTCTAATTTTCTTTTTGAGGTGACATGTTTAACTATTTACTAATCTATAGAGAAAAAAAAGCTTTAATCTCCCAGCCCCACCAAACTACATCCCCCATGCTATGTGCTCGGAGGCCCACATGAAGACAACGTGGTCGCTCTCATAATCTTGGTTCCATCGTTGTCATAGATTTATCAGCCCTCCCCGTTGCCAAGGGAAACTGAACCACTCTGAGGATTCAAGTTTTTGGTCCCAGGCCTTGCAGGACCTGCAGACCTGTGGCCAGTCCGAGATCCTCCGGGATCTGGAGGTGAGTCTTGCCTCCTTCTCTCTCTGCCACACATAATCTGCACTGTGTTTATACTTATACGTCACACCAGATGAAGCATTATGATAATCTCAATCATATAATCTGACGTTAAATCCGCTACAGGCATCTGCTGTACTGATACACTGCCTTTTGCACACTGCCTCAATCTTGCACTGGCCAAATATAGGCCTTTCTCTTTCAATAAGGAATACAAGGGCACTCCATGTGAAATACCTTATTCTGATACAGATCCCCCTTATTTGCCATCTCAATCACCACTCAGCTATAGTTTAAAAAATGCTTCATTTACTTCTTTCTGCTCTTCTGCAGGCCTCAATGACAGGTAGTGCTTTCAGTCTGTATTTGGAAGAAACTAAAACTCTTGAAGACTCGATGTTTCAGTCCGAAAAGTCTCCCTTTAGAAAGGAGGAAGACCTGGAGTCCAAGAACAACAAACTCAACAAATTCAACATGTCCAACGGACCCAGCAGAATCTCCAAGATGGAGGACGCCAAGGAGGACAAATCTAATGGTCTAGCTGCTTCAGCTCTTGAAGTACTCAAGGTAGTGTCATCATGATATAGGCCTTTAAAACTTTATTAAACAATTAAATGTGTTCAGATGGTCTGGCAGTCTTGTGCAAATGAGATAACCTGCCCAGTCCACAGGGATGTGTGTGTTCAGAGCGGCAGGTCTCTGCTGAACTGTAACGCGGCCCAGTGGAAATAAATGTCAGTTCAGGACTAACACATTATACTGTTGTGAAAAGACACGCAATTACATATTTTCTATAACTGCTGTATATAAATGTAATCAAACATAAAATTTGGGCCCAGTTTTGTATGCAAATATATTGTCTACTTGTACGTGTGCCATAGCACATTACCTCATGTGAAAGTCAAAACCCCATTGCTTACCTCTGCTGTATTAAGTGCAATGAAGCATATCGAGATGCTTGACAGTGGAAAATATGCTGTTTTGACTTCATACATTCTGTTCCTATCACAGAAGGTCATCAGAGTATGATGTTTACAGCTGATGTAAAAAGCTTTTATAAACAGAGTATTCTGGTATCTTCCATCTTAAGGTAACAATAAGGAAAGATTCAGAGAGCCACGACTTTGGCTTCAGTGTTTCCGATGGACTTCTGGAGAAGGGGGTTTATGTGAACATGATCCGTCCGGAGGGTCCAGCTGATCAGGGAGGACTAAAGCCCTATGACCGCATCCTCCAGGTGTGACATCAGAAGTTCAAAATAACTAATAACACAGATTTATAAATACACACAAATATAGTGAAGACTTTTTTAATGGACTGGTAATTTCTGGTTGTGTACTCCAGGTGAATCGTGTTCGGACCAGGGATTTGGATTGCTGTCTGACCGTGCCTCTCATTCTGGAGTCTGGGCAGAGGTTGGACTTGGTCATTAGCAGGAATCCTGTGGCAGTGGGGCACTCTGGGCTGTTGGACAACTACAACTGCACTAACTCATTATTCGATTCTGAGCCTAGGACCAACAGCATTGCCCTCTGAAAAGTCAAAGACTTTTAATGTTTTAACAGACCATTATTTTGTTTAATACAGCCACAAGCTGCATTAGTATTTTCACTTCAGGCTTTCATACAGGTATACTGAATTTATTTCAACCTTAAAACTGCCCATATCTACCAAACCTCATTGCTGTGTTAGGATCTGGAGATCACCTGTCTTGTCTGGGGACACCACATGTTTGCAAATACATTTACTCACTATTGCCAATTAAACAAGGTTTATCGACACTTTAAATGACCCTCAACACTATATATTTCTTTAGATATTCACTATAGACACAACACACTGCCTCACTGCTTTCACTGTATTTCAAAAAACACCCATCTTCACACCTCATTATTACCTCAGATCACCTTTTTTATATAACATATAGGCAGATCTATTTATATCTGTCCCCTATACAGAAGACACGCCGCCTTGAAACCTCACAAACTGCATGTGTGTCGAATCCTGCCTGTTTTAGACACACGAGCAGCTGTAGGGCAGTCCACCCCCCCCATGTTTCAAAGGCAAAGCCACCACATGAATAAGGTTATATAACAAGGGAGTCAGTGCTTCTGACTCGGCCAGGATGTGCACGCCTGAACTCCCCAAAGCATTAGAACACTACACACTTTTTATTAGCTTATCCATCTTTCAGTTCACATGGTTTTTGCAGATTTTGCTTATTGCTCACATCAAACACTGAGTTGGATTTTTCAGGATCTGCCTTAGTGTCGAGTTATTTTGGTCATTGGCTCACTGCCCTGGTTTCCACTGGACAATTTCTTATAGGTGCCTGGCACATAGCATTAACTGTATTTTAAAGCCACTCAATTGTACCCTTACAAAACCAGGAATGTGTGCCCTTTAAAATAAAATGTCCCACATTGTTTAGGGTTCTGTGAATGCCCCTAGAAAACCAATTAATTTATGTTTCTGCACAAACTTCACATTTTGGGTTTTCTGCTCAGCCCATTTGAACTAAAAGTTACAATTTCAAGTGTTTTAAAGTTTTGCATCACTTACATTTTTGTTAATCACATATGTCTGCCTTCCGGGCTTTTCCTTTGGCTTGTTGTACACTGTATGTTTTAAGCATTATTTGGCTCCTGTCGTTTACTGTGGCTCCAAGCATGTTATGCATGCTCACTATTTGTCCTTATGGGGGGGTCACAGAGCAGATCCCGATTCACACACCCCTCTGTTTACAGAGGGGGACTCATGATTTCATAAACATGATGCACTTTATAATATCATTTCTGCAGCTGCAATCACAAGAGCCAAACATACTTTGCTCCACCCTAACACTGCATTTATTTTTCCAATAGCTTTTTTCTCAACATTTTGGTTTCTGATCATGAATTCTAATTATCAGCTATTATATGGTCTTGTTTGTTAAATTATTGTCTCAATGTTTTATGCAATTAAAGTATGAGACCATAGTCTGTGATTATTTTCAGAGGAGAAAATTGAACCTCAAATGTATAAGTGGATGTGAGAGACCATTTAACACAAATGTCATCAAGTAGCATAACTAAAGTTTATAATACTAAAAGTAGGGTGCTGCTGCTAGAACAGCTTTGGTCCGTTCTGTTTTGGCTGAAACTGTATTTGGGCTACTACAAATCATTACTTGAGTAATGGACTCTTCTGCTCATTTACTCATTCTCCTAAGAAGTTCCTGTTTCAACAATGGACAGAGAACCCTTCATGTGACAGCCTGGGGATCGAACTCACGACCACCTTAATTTTCCATAATCATTTGCCACTCACGGCATTTAAAACACGTTTATTTCCCACTCGAGTGACGTCAAAATAAACTTGGAGGGTGTTGGGAGGGATCAGGACAGAGCCCAGACCATGTCCAAATAAGTCAAGTTTAACGCGAGCCAAATGAATGTCCACCTGCTCCGGGCCGTTACACCGGCGCTGGAGGGACGGGCCCGTGAGTCCAGGCCGAGCTGTCACTGAGTCTCTCCGGCACAGACGTGAGCCACTTCAAAGGCTCGCTTAGATGTCTATATATCAGGCTATTTGAGGCGTGTAATCAATAGTGGCTGTAGTGATACTTCCACGCAAGAGACATGATCAGTGCGGCCGCTTTGTAAAGCCATAGCTCTGTGGGCTCGTGTGTCCGGACAGCAACAACTTGACGCCATAAATCCTTACTGTTTTATGTGTGTTTATAAACACAGAATACTTTATAATACTGCTACTTTATTACGTGCATACAAACGTAGGGACTTATAAACTTATAATCAGGCCGGTGTAGCCACATAGGCCTATGGGCTTTTACCATAAGCAGAGATGTGTGGGTCAGGAAGAGGTGGTGTAAATCTGATTCTGCTCAAATACTGCACTAAAACGAGAAACATGTCAACGGCAGAAAAATATTTTTATTTTGTGATGTGTAAAAATTAAGCATTATGCATATTAAATCAGGGACAAGAGAGAGACAAATTACTTTGGTACACATTTTTACAAATTAGAAATTTCCTATGATTTTTTTTTTATTTTTATTTGTTTGTTTTGTTATTTTGCAAACATGATTTAAATTACCAAAATGCAATTGTTTGAATGAATATTGCACACTAAAAATGTAATCCAGGCTCAACATTTAAAACATTATTGTTTCAGCACAATACAAGTATTAATTGTTGCATTCTTTCTCATGTACAGTATAAAATTGTTACAAAAAGGCATATGTGGTTAAATTCTGTACAGCAAAACAACTGAAACTACATCCTGCATTAATCTGAGGTCAGTGAAGACAGCAACATTTTAAACTTTAGCCCAGTGTTGTTCAAACAAACCCTATAAACTACATCAGAGTTCAAATCTTATGTTCACATTGTACTAGAAATACACAATGTATTTCATAAACTGTGAACTAACTATGAACTTTGCCATAGCAAAACATTTAGAGCTAATCTAAATCCTCCTTTATTGCATTGCAGATTGAGCAATAGTTTGCAGCAAACACTATAATAAAAGTGAAAAGACACATAAAGTGCAGAGACATTACATTGATAAAAGCACTGGGGCTGGCTTCAGTCATCACAGCGGCAAAACAAATACTCTAAAAACTTCCCTTCTGAGTTACATCCCTGATCTTACACTTTTCCCTTTTTAGCTTTTCCACTGATTCTTCTCAAGGTGATGCATGTGAAAAGCTCTCTCTATAAAGTCTGACTGAAGAGATTAGTCATTATAGGCAACAATACTGCTATCACTTTGAGTTCAGGCCATGACTACATTCATATTGTTAGTAAAGGGACTGGTGACAAGTGCAAATTTTTTACCAACAAAAAAAGCTAAACTAAAAATTTATCTTTAAATGAACATAGTAAACAAACAGACAGATGATCTATATGAGGATGCTGCCTACTCTGAGATCAGTGCCAACTACAGAGATCAAAACGTCATAATATTCACATGGTAAAAAAAAAGCAATATTACACAACTCCTTCATAAAAATCAAACCAGGTTCTATATGAGTAAACTATTCAAAGCACAACAAAGAAAGCACATTTCCTCTCACAGAGAGCTCACATCATTGTTTCTACAACATTTTGGGTGGGCTTCATCAGGTCATTGTTCCCGTTGGCGTTTAAAGGCTGCGTTAGTTCTCCGCCCTTCACGCTGTACTCTTTGGGCCGTGAGCTCACGCCAGACTTGGCTGGGGCTGCCACAGCTTTGATCCTCTGCAAAAAAATAAACACAGACAATTGATACTGGAGCCCAAATAATTACAATCTAAAAGTATAGTCAGGCTTATTATTTGTTGTAACTCATTTAAAGTTTAGATTCTTTGTAACATTAACAGAATGAAACAAAAAACAAAGACAGTTGTCCAGTATCAGTACCAAACCAGTGGCCCTCATGGAAAAGGGCGGTGTACAATATCTCCAGCTCCATTGTAAATATTTTTATTATTTCAGCAAATATGCAAATGTTTAGAGAGCGGACAAAAAACCTTGTTCCAGATGGGACAATTTTTTGTGTGTTTTTCAAATTCAAAGTTAAATAAATTCTGATCTGATCTAAATGCACTTCTCCCCCTCCTTATAAAAGACAGTTTCACCTCTATCAACGGCCCATTGGACTGCAGTATTTTGATGACCATGACGAGGGGGATGCAGATCATGGAGGTGAGGGCCAGAAACCAGCCCAGACCAATGGCCCAATCCGGGTACTCGTAGACTTTATTATAGGTGAGGGGCTTGTACTTGACCAGTGAGAAGATAAAGCAGCCCTAAAAGAAAGGCGGGGACATAAGTACAACTTGTTCATCTGTTTTTAGTCTGTATATATAGTCTGTATATATTTATATTTAGGAACATAGAGTTTTATCTCACCATGCAGAGGACAGGAGTGATAAAGGTCCAACTCCACTTCATCCACGGGTTTGGTCTGTAGCCAATCATATCCTCTACAGCATCATAGAAATTGTCTGCTCCTGTAAGACAGTTAATGCAATTATCATTAACAGTGCACTATGTAACTTTTTGATGTCACCTACTTGTCTCCATGGATACACCATTGCTTATATTCCACAGTAAGGCATTAAAATGTCTAGCAGTTGACAGCAACAATATACTGGTCAGATCTGTGAAGAGGCAAGCAATCAATGTAATTTTTTTTTTTAGCAATCAAGCATCTATAATTGATTTAATGGAAGATGGATAATTTGATACCATACTGTGGAACATTCCAGGCAAGGCCTTAACATCTCCATGGAGATCAGCAGATGACAGACTCTCCAGCATAAGTTACACAGTGCACCTTTAAGTATGCTGTCATTTCCATGGTCAGTAATGTTATAAGACAGTAACATTACTACTGATGGGTGATAGCTTATCAGGATGTAATTTTTTCTTCCCCTGACACCCACTAAAACATTAAAAGTTATTTACTACTTGACATGTATCGGACCACAAAAACATCTTTGTTTAGCACTGTTTAGAGTTTGTGTTTCTTTGGGATCATTACTTTGACAAACTACACAGACTTGAATTTGAATGAGGCCTTTCTACTTACCATAAACCCAGGCTACAGCAATACATTCAAAGAATGCGACCCACAAAAGGCACACACCGCTGGCTGCGTAGTAGTCAAACAGTTGAAACACGTACATGCCACCCTGAAACACAGAGGGGATTCATTATATGTGACTGGAAAAGAAAGACATGGCCAGAGGTGACAAAGGAGAGAGCTGTGAGGACTTCAGAGCAGGAGAATGCTGGCTACCTCCCAACTCAAGCACAGTTCAACAGGTGCAGACTTTTAACGTTTACGGTGAAATGGAAAAGCACATACCGGATCACTCCAAAGGCCTTATTTGGGTAGGACAACAGGACAATGAGCTTGGTGTAGCTTGTGCACTGCATACGTTTTCTGTTCTATATAGAGCCAAGAAACTGACTTACCTTTGTAACCATTGCAAGTCCCAGGAGATAGCTTATGAAACACAGCACAGCTATGAAGATTTCTCTTCGGTAACCCTTCCTTAGGAAAGACGGATACAGATCCACTATCGAGGTGATCTGTCCTTCCACTTCAACAAACTGTGGGTCAAAGTAAAAGTATTTAGTTTGTGAAAGAAATCAATGCATTTGTGTTTGCACTCTGTGTTTACATCTACAGGCCAGCGATCACAGAAAGAGAGCTTTGTTCTCTTCCAAAGAGACCAGAATCTGCTTAAACGGCCCATTGCAATCAAGTGATACCAGAAGAAAGCAACAGTGGTTCACTGTGCACATGTGTGACGCAGTGTTCATAAAGTCAGAACAGGCTCATGTTTATTCTCTGAGAACATGCATCTCTGTATGTTACAGAGGCGGGCACATTCTACATTCTACTGCCTTCAGAACAAAAAATAGCATAGTGCACATATGTTCATAAAGATTTATAGAAAAGCCCACACACATCACTGACACAGTTCCTCTTCAGAAAACAACTCGAGTATTTATATGTTTTGACCCCCAGTCGCTCATGTGCAGGAGGCTGTTGGGGTTTAATTACATTAGGAGCAGGAAATCTGAGCTCTCCAGAGAATCCCTGGGGCTTACTCTGGTGTTTTGTCTGTGGTTCTATCTCGTCTCAATCAGAGCTGTCTGACCATGGGTTAATGCTTGAATGTTCACCATGATTGTAATAACTGATCTATAATAAATAGGCAATTAAAGACAAGAGCATCTTTCAGCTTTTAAACAGCACTAATCCACATGTGGTAAATACCCCCATGGAACAAGCGGCACCTCCTCTCTGACACTTAGATAAATACACCAGCAGTGGAGATATGAACATGTGCCCTCACCTGGCTGTCGAGGCCCAGGAGCAGCAGCATGATAAAGAACAGGATGGCCCACAGCGTTGGCATAGGCATCATGGTCACAGCTTTTGGGTATGCAATAAAAGCCAAACCAGGACCTGCAGAAGAACAAACAGGGAGGGGAGGAGAGGAGGACAAAGCAAAATTAATTATTTCATCTACTGTCAGCTTGGACGAAGTCAACTATATATTTTAAGTTCTAGTCTAGTTGAGTCTTGCCAAGCCAGAAACATTATGTACAATCTTAGCAAGCACATCTTTGAGTGAGTACTTGAGAACAAGCCTGTTGCTCAGATGTTCAATACTTTGCCAGACAGTGGCAGAATGAATTCAGCAATGCATAACTGTGGATCAATGAAATACAGTGACCACAGGCACAGTCAACACAGACTGAAGTTAAATATTTAGAGAATTTCAACCATAATGGTCAAAATGTTTATGTATTATTTTAATTTTTAAAGACTGGACAGTGCGAGCATGCCAAGAGAAGATGCAGCTTCAAATCCACAGAAAGTGATGAAGCAGAAACAGAATCAAAAGAGTCCAGCTCAGGTCCATGGCTCTGAACAAAGTGGGCTTAAAAATAATAAACACAAATATCGCTGTGGAAAACACGCAATTTTATAAACGTAGTTTAACAGTATTGTGGAAGTCACCAGTACAATGTAATGAGTCCCATTCCCAGAGAGCTACAAGTCAAATCTTTATGGCTTTCATTCAAGGAGTGTGCATTTGCCGATACTTTACATTTTGATCTATTTCTTATTTTTTAGACCAGTTTTGAGTTTCCAATGGTCTCGGCAGCAGCACCCACCATCACTGCTGCCGTCACCTCGTACCTGACTCTGCCACATCGGCAATGTCCACCCCTTGCTCTTGTGCCATGAATCCAAGGACGGAAAATATTGCGAAGCCAGACACAAAGCTGGTACCGCTGTTGAGGCCTCCCAGCAGCAAACAGTCCCTGAGTCACACATATGTCATGGAGGTTGTTAATGAACACACAGGAACAGGTCACCACAGTCCCCACTTTAGTTCTGGGCTGCAAACGCTGTCTGAACTGAGCTGTGGTCACTACAACAGCCCCCACGCCCCCCCACACCAACCTCACCTGTAGCAGTTATATTTGTACTTGTTGTAGCTTCCCAGGGATGTCATAGCTCCCAGACAGATGGCGTACGAGAAGAAAATCTGTGTCCCTGCGTCTATCCACACCTAAAATAAAGACATCATGCAGCGTAGAGTGAATATGAATTTTCTCTAACCATAAAGGAGGTTGATTTGGTTGTTTTCCATCCTCATAGCCTGTATATTCTTTTACTTATTTTTTATACTTTTATTTTTAACCTAAATGCATATTTATATATTCCATATATTTAGCACTTGATTAAGTGTCTGATTAAGCCTTATTCTACTGCACATAAAGTGAAATAATCAGTTGTTAGTGAGATTTCAGATGATGACCCCCCTCATATTGGGTACTTTTGTCATATTTTTTGTATTTATTATGTCCTGAAATTGAATTCTGAATTGATATTGTGTCAAGTACTTTTGAAGGTTGGGGAGCCTGGAGGTCCTAGATGCATGTTTGACATTCATACATTTTTGTTATACATTATGATTGCATGCCCCAATGTTAACTCATGTTTGACACTTGCTATATATCACTACAGAAATAAACTACTGAAACCTTCTAAATATTCGAAGTGTTCAAATGTCACTGCACATTTTAAGTTTATCGCTGTACCTCTGGGTCCTGCAGTCGGCTCAGATCAGGATAAAGGTAAAACTTGATCCCCTCAGAAGCTCCAGGCAGAGTGACCCCTCGCACCAGGAGCACAATCAACATCACAAAAGGGAATGTTGCAGTGAAGTAAACAACCTAAAACCACAGAGGAACAACATACACATGTGACTAAAGACCTGACTCAGCTTCTCTATTTTTCTATTTTTAATATTGTGAGAAATACTGTATCTCCGTAACTGAAAATGTGGTATGAGTAATACAGCTTGAATAAATGTAGTTTCGTACATCAGTTAGCATTCATTTCTTGTGAATTTATAAAGAAAAAAAAAAGAAAGAAAAAAATCGATTCAAGAAAGGGATGAGAGTCATTGAGGCCCCATTTGGAGCAACCAGAAGCAAGAGAAGAGATTTCAGACTCAAAAGTTTGGATCATTTTTGAATGGCCAAACATCTTCAGAACATCCTGCAACTGAAACCCAAGATTATCTAGAAAATGTGGCTCTGTTCTTATTGATGAAAAGTTAATCAATAATGTTCTATTAGAGCTATATTAAATGAGGAATTTCTAGATAAATGTGCTTAGGTATGGTTTACTAGTTTTAATTGAACCTTCAACAAACTAGTAAAATGTTTGAAAGAGAACTCCATTATGGGTTGAGTTTTTGTCCCTCAATGAAAACAGAGAAAGAGCTCCTCTCAAGAGTCACTAAGCAGACAGCGAGTCTAGCCAAAAAGTCACATCTTACAGCAACCCCCAAATCAAACAAATCAGCTCGGCCAAGCAGTTTCTCTGGTGTTTTATCAGAACAGGACAATGCAGACCGGATGTGTCCAGCCAGGACTTACTTTCCCAGTGGATTTGACTCCTTTCCAGATGCAGAAGAAGCAGATAACCCACACAGCTAATAGACACAGGGCCAAGTCCCACTTCAGAGTCCCCACATCTTCAATCCCACTCGAAATGCTCAACACATTTCGCCTGGAAAAAAAACAAAAACATTTATAAGTTTTCTTTGCATTTCAGTAATATTTTTTTCTCAACACATTCAGATTTTCAATCTCAAAATACAACATTATAATAATATTGCACTGTTTTTCAAAACATCCAGTGTTTTACAGGGCATTATTCATTCACTCCATACTTCATTGTGAAAAGCTACAAATGTAGCCACAACTGCCCTGGCCTGGTTGATGGCATGAGGCTGCGCCATGGGCCCCTCCGACCACTACTCATCAAATTAGGCAAGGTGAGTGAAAGTGTCTGGCCTAAGGACACAACAGCGATATGCCATAGAGCAAGTGCAAGAGCAAGTCCACTGTGGCAGCTGGTGTTTCCAGTGGCGTCTCATCCAAGTGCTAACTAGGTCCAACATTGCTTAACTTCCAAGATCTGACGAGATCTCAGGTGGTACGACGTATAAATTACACATCAGCATGTAGGCCAAATAGTCATGTCTTTTACACTGTTTCAATACAGTTCATTATAATATAAATACAATATTCACATATTCTGTTGCCTAGTCTAGGCACACTTCTGGTTTGTTTTCAATGTCCTTTTCAAAACGTACTTACTATTACTAAATTATTTACCGTAGCTCAATAAACAGTGTGTTAAAATAGTGTGTCTCAATCATGCATGAGAGAAAACTCACTCCCAGAACTCGGTGACAGGAGAGGTAAAATTAGTCATGTTGGTGGCCAGCCAAAGGGTCTTGTTCTTGCGGATAGTGTCCTCGATGCAGTTTTCAGTGTTCCAGGGCTGCTTGCACTTGGCCCAGGGCAGCTCAGGCTGAAAGCACTGCAGCAGGTAGTACAAGCCCCAGGCCAAGATAACTATGTAGTAGATGTTCAAGAGGGAGACGATCACGATGGATGCATAGCCAATACCTACAGAGAAAGAAAATAAGTTCAGTTAAAATTCAAGGTTTAAATATAAAACATTCAAAAAGTACAGTACGCCAAGTTAAGCCTCTCAAAAGCAGAAGTTGCAAACATTGCAGTGAGGGTCCCCCATACTATCAGTTCCAACCATAGACTGTATAAAAAAATGGACATTGCTAACCCAATAGCCACCACGTTTGAAATAGGAAGTACCAATGGGGGCGCTGCCATCTCCATAGACTCCAGTTACACTGAAAAATTGTCAAGCCTCTCTCTGTAACTGCTTCACTGAGTCTTGTCATTTTGGTCTTAAAATGTTTGTATTAATGCACTCTACATGACCCTGTTACGAACACAAATTCAAATCTCATTCACAAGCAGATCTCATATTACTGCTGACACGTGTTGAGCTCCCATGTGTTATCAGTGCAGGTGTTAAGGACACTCAGGCACTTGACCTTTATCAGCTCTTCATTGTCCTAAAAAGGTTTAACATGTCCGACCTGAGCCCATGTGATGAAGTAGTCTTTCTGTTTTTGTCCTATTTTTAGATGGCTTTGTAATGAACCTGCACACAGAAATCCCCACTACTTGTGCACCACTACTCAGGACTATTTAAAACTCTTTATCTCTAACCAGCACCTCATTCCGACATTCTCCACGTAAACTTGGGAAGATTATGAAGAGAAGTTTGGTTTCAAGGAGCACTGGAGAATTTGTTGTAATTGCAGCACTGGTGACACTGTAAATGTGGTATGGGGAACATAATTGCTGCATGAGTGGTTAGTCCTGGTATAGACAGTTAGACATAGTAATGGTGTAGACAAAAATCCTGTTCAGAGCTGATCTTAAACTTGGTTAGGGTCTCTTTTGTTGCATTTCACATCATTAATCTAGTTGGGAGTAGGTTACTTCTGGTTAAAGTTCATGCCATCAGCATAAATATGATTAGTAGATGTTGGTGTTGAATGTATGTAAATGACGATTTTAGACCCTCAGCCGTGTCCTGGGACAGACTTGGGGCTCCATGGAAACATTAAAGAGGAGACCACCAAGTGACTCTTGTATTCAGCTGTTCCCGCCATATCCGCTCTTTTATGGGACATGTCTCATGTGACCTGGAGTCTGGCTGAGAGACAGCTGCTGTGGGTGTGGTCCCTCTGCACAGGCCTGGGCCAGTGGTGATGCAGGTGAAGACAGCAACAATCTGCTGCTGGCAGCAACACAAGCTTTCACACCAGGGTCATGCAGTGACCATTCTCCATTTGTGACTACGTTTAGGTGATCTTATGTTGTGCCCTTTTAGTGTTGAAGTACAACAGTGCTCAAGCAATAGTGCTTGTGCTCTTGGGCAAAACGATTCATCCACATAGCCTCTTCATGTGAATGCTTTATTGTCATTGGTGGTGTGCACTAATCAGTGTGTCATTAAAGCAGTTTTACTGTTGTAAAAACAAAACAGAAATATTTTAGCACTATTCAACACTTTCCTTCCGTACTCATTTAACCATTTGACTTTCCTGATTCCATGTCTCAGCTACTCTGTTTTTTTCCATTTAGAGTTACATGTGTCTTGCATATTAATATATTGACTAAAAAAACAGTCCAACCTTTGCTCTGTTGCTATTTAACATAAATGGTACATTGCTGAGATGTGTTGAGAGGTGTTGACTTTTCCTGTCCTGAGCATCCCACTTAACTATGCAGCCTGCACTGGTCCTCCACAAATTCCCCTGGTCTACAACTGGACAACTAATCACAACAGGGATGTAAACACATGTGTGAAATCTATAGACTGACCAGTGAAAATGGGGCAGATCTTTGCCCAGCAGGTGATGCCCCCCTCAGAGGTGTACTGTCCCAGAGCGACCTCCAGAAAGAACACAGGTAGCCCTCCTCCAAACAGGAAGATGAAGTATGGGATCAGAAAAGCACCTTGACAACAGAAGAATTCAAATTAAAAAATAGTAAAATATTCTTGCATTTTATACATTTGTTTTCATATTCATTGGTTTACAATTGTGGTACAATCACTAATAATGTGCAGGCTTCTGCACATTATTGCAGTTCTTTAGTTGAATTTGCATACAGTTTAAGTAGTTGTAGTCTTTATTTCCCACAGTTAGGCACAGTTAATTAACCCTTAGAGTCAGGGTTAAGGCTTAAATTGTTTTCCTTCTCACTTCAGATGTTCATCTTAGCTCTGGGTCAAGCACCAATCACAAAGTGTGTAGTGCTGTTTATGGACTGTGGATGTGCTACAGACCATAGGCATGCTGCTTGGTTCATAAACACTAACTTTATAACTGCAGATGAAAGGTGCCTTGAAAACATTTGAGTTTTATGTAAACATCTCTGACCATGAGTCTAGTTGTATAATTTTGGATTCCCACAATGCACCTGACCAATGATGAAAAACACAATGGACACTACAACTCAGCCTGTCACTGTATAAGCCAGGTTGGTTGCTTTGTCTGGGTGAAATACATTTTGTGTTTCAGTGTTCATATCAAATACTTGTTTTTCCTTGGTATGAAAAGTGTGACAATTGCTATTCTCTGTTATTGTTTACCTACCTCCTCCGTTTTTGTAACACAGATAGGGAAATCTCCAGACATTTCCTAATCCAACGAAGCCCCCAGCCACAGACAGGACAAAGTCGAGTTTGCTGGCCCACTTCTCCCTCTGAGGGACCTTCCCCTCCGCCTCGTCCTCGGGTCTCGTACCTGGACTCTTGCCTGGTGAGGGTTTGAGCGTGTCCTTGTGGAAGTCCTTTAGGCACTGGAGTTTCTCTTTTTGTGCCATGCTATGGACCAAAACAAGGAACTAGTGAGATTGTGGTTTTATTTATTACACTAGAGCTCAGAAGTGACGGCTGTCAGCTAATCAGCTACGTGGTAACTAATGATCACAAGACCTATAATATTATTTATGTTTCTTAAACATTATAAATTAATGTAAAAACAAGTAATTAAAACATTTCACAGAATCTTGTGTTTTAAATGTGTTTTTTGGACTCAGCATTATGAATATTAGCACATAGCTGCTTAGCCTCTGCAATGGCTTTGAATTCTTGATATTTGAATTTTTCAAAAAGTCAGTGGGAAAACTAAATGAAAATTTACTTTGGACCTGGAGCGAGCGGTCACTGTTGAGCTCTATTATTTGGTATCACACCAGCAATGATGCACTAAATGAAACCACACACTGTACATTGTGTCACAGCGAGTGCAACTCTGTGGTGATGAGTGAGCCATACTCTATAGTTCTCAAGCTTAAACCTTGAATATTATCTGCGTAAATTTTTACACAAATTATTGAACAGTGAAGGTATATTTGGGTCCAGATCAGTGTTCATATCAGTCCCCCATTTAAAGATTGGGAAAGAGGTATAAGATTTACAAAGGACTAAAACAGACTAGACCAAGGCAAAAGAAAATCACTACTAAAATTACATTTACATTTTTTATAATTTAAACCTATTTTTGAGGTGAAGTAAGCCATTATATTTATGTTTTTATCCCATGTTTTTGTGTTCTTTTTTTGAAATGGCCATATCTTCTAACCTTGTATAACCCCGTTAAATGAGTCACAACAAATTGGCCGAGGTGAAAAGGAAAGGGCACAAAATGAACGAGACTTAGTGGGATAAGTCTGTCTGCTTAAAGGACATGATACACACGTAGAATGTTAGAGCTAATCTGGCTAATCTGACGAACTGAGGTCATATCAACAACAGTGGAAAGATACCAGCCACATACAGTACAAATATATGTGTGTGCATTTATCATCACACCATAATAACTATAAAAACTTTAGTATCATTTTGTAAACGTAAATCACTGTACAACTGTACAATAACTCACCCTTATGTAATAGACAATCCTATGTCCTGTCTCTATTTCATCTTTGCACTGTTTCTCCAACAACTGCCTGTATTTGTATTACTATATGTCTGTATTTTTATTTTTTCTCGTACATGTACATTCATATAATTATGCCTTATTTCACACCAGTCTCTAGTTATTTTTGCTGATAATTTGAATGAATTTATTATTACCATTTATATGGTTGCTCTTTGTTGTTCTATTATATTGTGATGTGGGAGCTACTGTGTCCAAATAATTTCCCTTGTGGTTTAATAAAGATTATCAATCTAAGTCAATATCTTTTTGTTTATGTTTTAGAATCCCACCTAAAACCAAAGGTACTTGCTGAAATAATGGCTATTAATAAGAGCGAGTTAAAAATGAATGCATGTATGTATGGCTTAATTGACTTTATTATACACTACCACTCAAATGTTTGAACTCATCTCTCATTCAATATTTTTTTCTATATATTTGCTACATTTGATATACACACATACAGAAATCAAATATATGAAGTAAGATATATGGAATTATGTAGAAAAGAAAAAAAACTGGCTTAATAATGAATAAACTAAATAAAATTATATCCACATATCTTGTTTCATATATTTGATGTCCTCTGTATGTATCTAATATGTAGAAGGTAGTAAGAAAAAAAAATAACTTTGAATGAGAGTGTGCTCAGACTTTTGACTAGTAGTGTATGTTGGTTATACAGTAAGCAGCAATACAGTAAAGAGACCATAAACTGTCCACACATGATTGCGTTCTGTACCATGGGTTAACTAATGAAGTTATAAGCTTAAGTTTCCTTGACTGTTCTTTCCAAGAACCATCGGATTTATTATTACAGACCCAGGTATCGCCTTTCCACACATGAGCTTAAAGAGGGAGGAAAGTGATAATAATAGAATTAATAGAAATATACTGTATATACTGTGTACTAATGCATATCTGTCAGTGTAAGTTCTTTTAAAGCAGCCACACAATAATGATCTGAATCAAAATAGAAAGAAAAAATTATGAAATAGAAATTAGTAAAGTGTAATTTCCTCCCAGTCTTGGCTCAGAAATATATTGTACCTTATAAAGTCAACATCATTACTATTACGCAGAACAAGCAACTTCACTTTCCTCATAAAATGAAACTAATTTGGACCTACTTTTTTTTTTCTTTTGCAAATGTTTTACAATACAACTTTTAGAAAAAATTTTATCTTTTCCAATACTTATTTTGAATTAATAATTAGAATTTATATTTTTACTCTTTGTTACTGTGATGTGTGAGCTACTGTGTCCAAATCATTCCCCATGTGGATCAAAAACGTTGTGATCTTCTTGTGAGGGCAAGTTAAGTCTGCCCTTCCACTTAAGCCAAACTTTCTGGTACCAGTGTGGTCAATCCTTCATTCTTCCCCTAAAAACAATGTCTGCTTTCTTTTTATAGGGACACAATTAATGTCCGGGCAGCAGGAGCCTTGTCCCATGGCTTTGGAGGTATTTCTCTCCTCTCTTCCTGTTATGCATGACAAGTCAACTTGAACCACTTCCCACTTTCAGACCTCATTACATAACTGGATCACTACTGACTTTCCCTTTTTCTCATCTGAGTTTTGTCCTGGCTATATGCATGTTTACATCTTTACAATTACTGTGTTTTGCTGTTTGTGATAACAAAATAATTCATTTCTCTCTCTCTCTCTCTTTCTCTGGTATATGCAATTATCCGCAGAGAATGTCCAAAGAGCAAAGCATATTTTTTACTTAAAATGAATGAACTTACAACAGAGAAATTCAAATCCTGTCTTTATGTCTAATCATATCTTTGCAATCACAGTTTTTTAGATTAGAAAATACTAGGCTATGTTGAGTTTCATTCTGTAATATAGTTTTCTAATTTCAAAAATCCACAAAGTTAAAGCTTGCATTCAAAATGTCATTATAATTATACATAATATAGCATCTAACTTTTGTGTTCAACATTTCTTTCAAACAGCCTGTTCAAACTATACATTAAATGCTATCGCAAGAACCTTTTAAGATATATTACTTTTAATACACTTACATAGACACCTATATTAAAATGTACTCACACACTTAATATATTCTCTTATAACAACCAGCTGTAATCTATCTATATCTATCTATATATACAAAATCAGACAGACTTACAGTTCCTTCATGGCTAAGTTTAGTTTCCCAGTGTCTCAGCTGTCACCATGCCACTGTACTGAAGTGCCTTTATGCCGACCAGGGTCAGGAGAAGCAGAGCTGAAGGCAAAAGCCCCGCCCCCTTTGGGTAAAGACAATTAATTCCTAGCACATGATTGGTCAGAGCTCGAGCACTGACCAACTACTCAGGTGCCAACCAAGAGCACTGTAAATTTCCACTTCTCAACATGCTCCATGCCCACAAAACATACACAGGCACCCATGTGTAGCACAGCAGGAGTAGCAGGAGTGTGGGCTAAAGGACCAGTGTAGGGACGCAGAAGCAAATGTGTGCTTATGGACAGAAAAGTGACTTTACGTGAGGATGGGACAGTAATTGTATCTACTCAAGTAGAAATATTTACAGTTTTATTTGAGGTTGAGATATGTTATGAGATAAACATAGCGGCTATTTTGTCTTCTTTGTGAATATTATATAATATATATGATATTGTGAATAATTAATAGTGACAATAGTACACTAGATGTACAGCACTATGGGGTCAAACATACTGCTGTTGTGTCCATGGGCATGACACTTTGTCTAAATATCATTGTGTTGTGAGTGATGTGGTGGTCACAGAGTCTGTTACTGAAGATTGCCAACGACCTCTCTGGCAGTGTGCCAACTGAGACTGTGTGGTAAAAGATAATCTCAATAGAGTATGAAGAATGAATGAATCATTCAATTTAAAGTGACTTTCAAATCGCTATATTAGACTCATGCATTTTTAATATATATACAGTCTATGGTTCTTCTTCAACATCTGTTTTTATTTCAGAAATAAATAAAATTATATCAATGGCACACAGTTTTACAAGATAATTCCTATTTATACCAACAGATATCAATGTTCTGAGAAGTATTTGAAATTGCAACCTTTTTCATGGTGCACTGAGTGTCTGAGAAATGTAAACGCTACAGTTCAGCTCATAACAATGCCATATATGGTCATGTGGCTCAACTACAGTAGATGCAGGATTTACAATGTTGAATTAAGATAAGTACCACAGACTGGCTAATAAAAAATAAAAAAAAACACTGGTCCGCATGGAACAGCCCTTATACTTACAACTTGGTGATGTGCAGAATAATATGAATGTGAATGGTGTTGAATTCTCATTCAACACCATTCACATTAGTGGTGGTTGTAGTTGGAGGGGCTGAGGGATGCCCTGCATCTGTCAGTCTCCAGCGTCGCTGTGGGGTGCCTACAAGTATCACTGGGTGTGGAGTAATGAAAAATGTAGTGCAACTCTTTTTTAATGTCCACAAGAGCAATATAAGTCAAATGCATTATTATTTTAATCCTACAAAGAATACTTTGTCAGTATCATGTAAAGCAAATTAACTTAAGTGTGAGTAGTAGGCCAGTTGTTTAGAGAATAAAGAAGTCACTCTTTTTTTATTAATTTATTTTTTCTGTCACAAAGTAACAGTAGTTTGTTTTGTTTTAGTTTTGTTTTGCTTTTCAGACCCCCTGGACAGCGCCTCCCTGGTGTCAATGTTTGGGGGAGGGATTACACACAAGTGTAAAAAGTGCGTTGACCTCTGAGTAAACTCAGTCTCTGGGAGGCTGCGGTTTATTAGACGCACTTCATCATACTATATTGTTCACGCTGGAGACGACAAGAGTAGGTCAAGTCTATGACACTAAGTATATAATATAAGCTAATAAACGTCTTAGCCAGTCATACCCGCGTCAATCCTGTCGTTATCCAAGTCACTCAATTAAGAGGGTGAGGCTTTAGTGAGATAATGACCCCGGTACAAGAGGGGCGCACCGACGGCCGTCGCCCTGCTAAAATTCACGCGTTTCCTTTTGCGCTTGGTCGCTCCATGGTAAAGTCGAAAATGGAAGTATTCTCACTCTTATCATCCGAAAACACAAGAGTTCATTGCCTCTTAATTGGCTTGATAAATGGTATCACAACATATAGGCTGTTTTTAACTGGAGTAGTGAGCGCAAACAAACAGAGCCTGCAATGTCTATATAAAAAACAACTTTTGCAAAAATCCTAACGGTTTACCTAAAATACACTACATAAACGTTATCTTAAATAGAAACATATCTTTCACAGTATATGATAATAGAGATGCTCAGTTACCTGTCAGTGTAAATTTTCTATCATCGTATTTGAGGTCCTCGTTGGTGAACTGTGCTGCCAGATGGACAGTAGTATCAAGTCTTGCTGGACATTTGTTGTTATGAGCATGTGCGAGTCTAATATTATCAGTTTGAGTGGAAAATCACCAGCTTCTCCATGAAACTACCACTTCTTAAAGGGGCAGGCGCTCGTTTATTCACCCTTCACCTCTTCATGACGGTTGCAGCCGGAACTGGACTGCGTGCGTGCCCGTGCGTAAAGGTGGTAAGCGATGGACCACGGAATGTATTTTAATTGCGCTTATCAGCCCCATTTGACGATCATATGCAGCAGTATGCTGCAAGAGTTGGCATGCCCTGTGGTACACTGCCCTAAAAATCATCATGAAAAGAGTTTCTCGTTGGTTTAAATTTTACATGTTTCGAAGCTCTTAGAACATGGCATGAGCAATGAGCAGGCAAACTTTAAAGAAAAAATGTTAGTTGGCTCAAAAAGCTGCTATTATGCTGCTGTATTTAGGTCTATCTTTATTATTTTCTGACTATAGGCAAATTGGAGTTGGACTGAAAAAGCTTAATAGTTATGTTACTCTAATCTGAACCTTTAGATACAAGTTTGGACATTAGTCAAGACAATCTGTGAAGGAACTAGTCACAAAAACATAGAGAGAGTTAGACTCACTGAAACGTTTGCTTCATCTATGTTTGACTGTTTACACTGGAGGCGTCAGAGTCAAAGGTTGATGTTCTCAGTAGAATTAGCATCAGTCTCTTATAAAGGCCAGACCGGTCACATGATCCCACTGTGATGCCCGCTCACTGCTTGTAGAATACTAGTATACTACATTATCTTTCTTTCTGGAGTGTTTATCTGCAGAGACACTATATTATGTATATAGAACTGTTTCGCATTTCCTGTTCATTTGTGAAATAGCTCTGCTCTTTGTTGAGCCCAGCACTAGGTCTTAAAAAAATTATAAAGACGTTGGCATCTGGAAGAGCATCTGGCATATATTATTGCACAAATAACTGCACATAAGGGAGTTTCCTCTGCTTACCTCAGAGACAGAAACCCTAAAGGAAATGAGAAAAAAAAAAAACTACCTTTAGTTCAGTCGAGATTGTTAATTCCAGGTTTGAAATAATCAATATGCCGCTGCCAAGCTTTCTAACAGGAAGTACAGTTCACTGCTGCTGCTCAGACATAAATCCTTCAAATGCAAGGTTAATTTTACTTCTAAAATGATTATTTCAACACAGACATTCACATCGACAGTCTGGTGTGATAATAGTTTCGCTTTGGTGTTTTGTTTTTTGTGGCAGGCTAACTATGGCCATTGACATGCACTAGCCTAGCGCAAGCGACCTCTGCAAATACAAGGACTGCATGGAATATTTAAAAAGTGTTTCCTCACATCTCCAACACTCTGGCTCACTAGGAAATGAGGTCCTATGTCCAAAATTCTGGACTGTCTCTTTAAGCATGTGTGAATGAAAAAAAAAACTCCAGACACGTTTGCAAAGAGGAAACATAACATATACGGTCCCTTTAAACATCCATTGTATTTTCCCCATTATTCCATGTTAAAGCTAATGCCTCGCCTTGTCCAGTCATGACTACACAAACAGACTACGATAACACATGGAGATATTGCCATTTCATAACGGTCTGTTTCTCCTGTCTCCTTGTGTTTACTGTCCCTTATCAGCAGAAAGAGATTACTGTATTATAACACCATGGCTGCCTCCCTGCTTGCCTGTCTGTGTAACATCGGCTAATTCTTCAAGGAGACCGTGCACAGCTTAATCCCATATTACCCAGGCTATGTTAAGTGCAGGCATCTGACCGTCACACACTTACAACAGCAATGTCATCCATGTAGCGTCCATTGGAAATGTACAGTTCTTATTTTAGATACCTGAAGAGGGAAAAAACTAGAAATTCTCAACTAAACGTATTGGGGGAAAAAATTATACTATTCAACTTGGCATATTGTTACTACTAATACTATAAATTGATAGGCTGCTTTATTACAGCCTAGCCCTATACTTATTGCTGATACATGAATTCTCCAGCATTACCAAGTAAATTTCGATAAAAACAGTAAAAAATTTAGAACTACTAGTACTTCCAACGTGCTTTTCACTGATTGGATTTGATTGTTTTATAAGGCTTGCGACTGTAAGACCTGTGAATGCGTGTGGCTGGTTCTTTGCATGTTGTGGGGATGAGAATATAGGGGAAAGAGCCCATTCATTCAGCACAGGCTCCAATCCGATAAAGAGATCTGCTTGGCGAGTTCGTTTTAGTTTGTGTGTTTACTGTGTCATTTCTTACATAAGAGGTGGACACTGAGGGGACGTGAGTCACTGCAGACTGACTCAAGGCCCGACATGCAAACGCAAACATCAACTTTGTTTGGTACTAAAATACAGAAGTGAATGCATCGAGTATCAAGAGTGTAAAAGAACTGTTCAAATATGATTGTTATTGCCAGTGATGAAAAATTTATTTTGTAACGTTTTCTAATACATGGGCCAATCAGAGTACTGTATTCTGAATACTTTCACGCAGGGTTGTATTTAAATTACAGTGTAAGAAGGCAACATAGAATTTAAACAGCTTTATTTTTGTTTCACTGTTTGTTGTTCAGGGAAAGAAAAATCACACTTGGACGCATCACAAGAGCAGTGCTTTAGATTTCTCTCACTAGTTATGTGCAGTATGAAACCTAAATTGTGAGATCAAGTACTGCCATATACATTTTTTCTTTCATTTAATGTTTTTTCCTCATCAAAAATATACCTGGAGTTGTGTTTTGTAGGAAGTGCTCTACTGCTTTTGTAAACTTCACCTTTACTAGAATAATTTGGATAGTTTCAACCCTGGAATTGCCAATCTCTATTGCAAAAAGTATCTGTTACCTTGAAAACTACCGATACGTGACATCACAAGGTGGAACAGAGAATTTTGAGCTTTGGAGATGTAGACTAATCAAAAGGGGTTACTCAGACATACAGTATGTGAATGAAACAATATGTTTTTGTTTTTGACAACAACATTATAACCTGTCTTAAAGCTCACAAGATTCCATTTTGTGTAATAGGACCTTTAAGTATCTCCCAGTGTCACTGTGGACTATTCAAATTGTTTTATTTGACAGACACGAGACATGTTAGAGGAATATGTCCTGGGAGCTAATTCCCCTCTAGGTCAGACTGTCACTAAATACAGACTTAACCACTCTCTCCTTCACCAGTGATAATCCTAAACTGATAACAACGTACAGAAATACAAGAGATAGAATAAAATAAAATTATAAAGACCATGGCACTGTAGTTTGGCCCTTTATTTATTATGTTATTCTGTCCTGAAATGAGGAGAGAGAAATATTTTAGGTGAACCTATGCAGACCTTAATGTGTTATTCAATGGATTTTCTTAAAGCTTTATATTTAATTTTTTTCTGTGAGTCATAATTAAGTTCAATGAAAAGGACAGCCATAGTATATATTGTTCATAAACACCTTTTGTGTTGAAAAAGACTGTGAATTATTTGGTCACTTAAAACAATAAAAAGAGCTGTATTTTATTGTATTAGTTTCAAATATGCTAAAAAGGATCTACTTTTACTTTACTTTTTGCAATTTCCTGTCTCAAATGAATTTTAGTATTTCCTTGTGATGCTGCCTTTTGTTTGGTTTTCATTAACATTTCAACACCTCAGTCTGGGTAGTTAATGGTTTCCAATAATGTTATTCCAAATGGTAGGAAGAAAAAATAAAATTTTACCACCATCAATTAAAGCTGTAGTTTTAAAGCATTTATTAAAGATCTAATTACTGGAAGACTAGGCTGATATAAGATATAAACTTAAGGCTCAGTCGATTCCTCAGTTGTAACTTTAACATTTACTCTGGATCATTGGACTTTAAATAAAAGAAACCGATTTTTTTTTTTTTTTTTAATCAAACATAATATTGAGTGTACCTACTACCCCAGCAGCATAAATATATGTTCTTCAGAATTAACATAAACTGCAACCATAAAGATACAGAACCTTGTTAATCAAATAATCAATACCATTATTAATAATTAGGGACGGACTTGAGTGATTCAAGTTCAACAAAGAGGAGAGCACACACGCTGCTACTACCACAGTTTGAGTAAGAGGGGCAAGAGCAGAATTAAAATACAATGGCACACTATTAAAAATGTATTTGCAGGCATTATACATCTGTAGTCTGTGTATTTTAAATGATACAGTCTGTTAAAATGTATAATAATGATCTGTAGTTCAGACAGCTAAGACAAGAGCAGATGGTGCTAAGGGACATAGACAAAAGGTCAATAGTCAAATCCAAACCCGTTTAGGGCCACTTCCCATGGGCTCACTCTCTTCCAAGACAACGCAGTGCGATATTTAAAAAAAAAATTGGGAAATGGCGCCACCCTCAGGACGATAGGCGAGAAACAGAAACTGGACAACGCATACATTATAACAACAGCCCAAACAAGGTAGGGTAATTATCTTACTACTTTTTACTCCATGCTCTACTATAGCTTTTGGTATTTACTTTCTATATACAGAATTTGACTATCACATTACAGAGCTATATGGAGACATTATATATCTTATAAATTAGGGTGATGTTTTTTTTTCTTCCCATGAAGGGGACTAAACCCTTTTCTGCCTTAGTTCTCTTTTTTGGCTATCTTCTGTGTGGTAGCTCCAGTTTTAACTTTTGATCTAACCCTAATCTGACCACTGACTTTACTTCTACACATCTATGAGTAGCTGTGGTGTGCCCTCCTATTGGCAAAGCTACTAATTCCTAATCAAAGCAATCCTCACCATATATAGAAAAGATTATTTTTTTTGTATTGCCATGTTAAAAAAGTAAATGACTCCCCATCAAGCAACAAGTTAACTACAGTTATCAGTGTGGTAAATTGGTAGGAGGTATTGGTTTGACAGCTCGAGGACAAAAGCTGCCTTGATGTCTAAATGAATATAAAGAACAAGAGAAAAACAATGTATGAATGGTTGAATATGATGCAAAGAAAAATTCATTCTCATAAATACAGCATGCTTTATTTCTTACAATAGATAGTTTATTATCCATTTGACAAGACAAAATAAAATGGAAGACATTTTGGTAACAGGTGTCATGCTGTTAACACTGACATTGAAATATTGTATAGACACACACCCCTCATTGGCTCATAATAAAATAAAAGCTATTTTCTGAACATACTCTTAGGCCTATTTCATCATATAAATGTACATGTATTGTATGTTATATTGTGGTGACTTTGTATCCTGGTCATATTGCAAATTTAAAAAGCCTTTCACATTGATTTGAAGTTTTTTGATAAAGGTAAAATGAAAAAAAAAAAAAAATTTAGTATAATTTGACAAAAGATTCAAATATTTACTGTATGTTTATAAATTCATGAGAAAGTATATCTGAGGTCTGCAAATGAATAAAGTCACACAATCTTTTATCACAATTTGCAGGCAAAATCTACAAAAAAAACAACTTTGAAATATAATATAAACGATTATATTATTTTTTTTTACATTGTTTACCTTGTTTCAAGTATTTAACATTCAATGTTAAGGTCGCACAAAAGCTGCTCTAGGGCTGCGTGCTTCTGACTGGCCTCCTCAATTGCACTGTACGTCTGCACATTACTAGAGATGTGATAGCGGATGTCGTCCACTAGAGGAACAGAATCAGTCTCGTGTCGTCCTTTTACACTCGCTGCATCCTCTGTGATGAGCTCAGCAAACTCAGCATCGACTACCAGCTGGAAAAGATATATGAAATACTACCGGGGGCAGTGGTAAAGTTAAAATATAATCATTTGCACACTAAACCAGACCCAACATAGGATCACTGTTCATTTCCATTAACATATTTTGCTTTAGTTATGAAATTATTCCTTCTGTTGCTGGTAACACAACATTAATAACATTAAGCAGAAGTTTAAAATCATTATAGTCAAATAAAAACAAACTATTAAACCACATACAGCTGAATGAAGTCAGAATCTATATAATTGTATTGATGCTAAATGTACTTCCAGTGAGAATAAATTGTTTTTTTGAAAGGTTAATGAATGCCAGGGCTACTTTAAACCCAGGTCTCTAATCCTTACCTGCTCGATGATCTTGGCCATGTACTCGGTGCACTGATCTTCAAGTCGCGAGAGGTGAAACAGCCGAGCGGTTTTCCACAAACAGATGACATTGTCCCTGCTCAGAGCCTGGCCCAGAGTCTTTCCACAGAGACGCTTCAGGCCCGGCAGCAGATACATGTCAGCCACACACAGCACGTCAAACACATTGTCCATCATGAGCTGTAGCAGACAAGCAAAAAGAAACATGAGCTTCATTTGTAAAGAGACTTCTGACTTAACAAAGCCTATTGATACTTTGCAGTGACATCCTGTAAGGAGAGTTCTACATGCATTTCTTTTTCTCCATTTTGTTTTTATTTGGAAAGAGCAAATATTTACATCTTACAGATTTCCAGTTCAAATGTGATCTTTCCAATTTTGACATATAGCAAAAAAAGAAGGTAAAGAAAAAGTAAACTATTTACAAGAAGAGGGGAGCTTACAGAAACAAAAATGCTAACAAAAATATTGCCTAAGATAGTGTAAAATAAAATATGACAAATCTTCACCAGAAATGGAGAAGTTACAAGAAATCTTTTCTGATTGGGGTGATATAGTTAATCCATTTATTACAAATACAATAAAATGTATCTTTGAATGTTTATTGTTTAAATTAGCTTTTCTGTCTTAAATATATCAGATATTATGTCAAGCCAGCCATCCAGTGAAGGCGGGACAAGAATTTGCCTTTTTTGGTGATATTCTTTTTGCTTGCCACCAAGAGGGCTTGTTACAGCTTCTTATCACTTCTCTGTTCCAAAAAAGGAACCCTACCTAAATACAGAGTTTCAAAATTAAATGGTATATTCACTCCAAAAACTAAATTTAATCTTGTGTGGATCTCACTTCAATAAATTTTTAATTTGGAGCAAGCCCAGAATATGTGGTAATGATTCTCCTCCTCAGAACCACACTGCTTTCAGCATGCCAACCTGTTGGTTCCCTGAGTCGGAGTTTTAAAATATCTAATAACATTCTTCCAGCAGTGCTCCCTCCAGGACAGGGAAATTGTTGGAAACCACTGAAATGACCAGATCCCTTCCCATTCATCCTCAGTCATTTCTATTGCAGCCTTCCTTTCCCATTTCTGTTTCACATATAGCATTTCATTCTTGTCAGTAATAAAAAGAGCATTGTATATTTTAGATAATTTTTGGGGGGTAAATAGCCCGAATGTCAATTTCAATATTAAAAAAAAAATGCTTCTTCAGGTCAAGTCAAATGTGATATTTTGCAATTTTATGTAAAGTTTTGTCTGACTTGTAAGTATCTATAAAATCAGCTGCTTGCAGGTCATATCTATTTTCTTCTGTTCTTTTCTTTTCTGTTCTTTTCTTTCTGTTCTTTCTTTCTGTTCTTTTCTGTGAATGACCAGCAGGTTGTCGGATCCCTCTCTATCCAAAATTTTTAAATACAGTCGCTTCTGTTGTGGGGAAACTCAGAATCACAAGCACGCCATCTGAATGATGTTATAATTTTCTGTATTTGAGTCAGATTTACTACTTTTTGCCAAATAGCAGCAGTTAAAGTTGTGACACAATGCACAGACAAAGAGCCGCAATGTATCAATAGAGGTTGCACAGATTACTTTATTTATTATTATTATTATTATTATTATTTATTTAGATATATTTTTTATTAGTGAGTGACAAAGGTATATGAATGTCAGTGGTGAGAAATTAAATTTTCTCCTGTTAGAGCTCAAAACACTTACTACAGCGTAATAACAAATATAAAAGTCTAAAAAATGTAATGATGACAATGAAAAGCAAACAAACACATTTTGTAAGTTAAGATGACCACAGTTCTGCCAGCTGGAATGCTGAGGGGCATTTTTCAGATAAAATGTCAGTGCAGAACAATGCCTCAAAACAACCATACAACAGAATCAACCCCCAATGAAATAAAATTGACATATTCTTATTTTGTGTTTATATAATTTTTTGCTGACAGTGACAAAAACATGCTTAGCTAAACCCATAATTGGAACCAATTTGCCTGTCCAAATGTGGCAGTGACTTGAGCCTGGAGGCCTTGTCACTGGGAGGAATGTGCTTGCGTATGTGTTTGCTTTCCAGCCCTCTACATTTTGACTTTTTTACGGAGTAAACTCACCTCTGTGTCATCGCTGTAGATGTAAAACATGATGTGGATGAAAATTTGGTGAGATATATTGTGGAGAGTGATGACTGGAGTATCGGGCTGAGACTGCAGCTGACTGCCTTCACAGAAGTGGTCTTTAATTAAGGCCCTGAAGTAGTCACTGCGTCCACAGAAAAACGCCTGGTGAAAAATAACACTTGTTAAACCTGTTATCCACAGGTACCATTGTTAAAGGTGCATTGTGTAACATTTCTCCATGGAGATGTTATTGCTTTGTCTGGATTGTTCCACAGTATGGCATTAAACCTTCCTATCTTCATGGAGACCAAACCAGACCAAGCTTCAGGTCAGATCTGTGGAGAGGCAACCCCGCTCACAGTCAGAATGCCTGTTTTTTCTAGGTATTTTTGAGCTATAAAACCACCTCTAATTGAATAAATGTAAGGTAAAGCTGTTTAATGTCATACTGTGGAACATTCCAGGCAGAGCAATGATACATCCATAGAAACAAGCAGGTGCGGGACCTACAACCAAAAAAGTTACATAGTGCACCTTTAAGCACAGGAATGCACTGTACCTTATGACACAAAAAGTTGTAACCATCAACTGCAAAGCATATGTCAGGATATGTTGAAAGATTTGTACTTTTCTGGAAGGGAAGCTCTCCAAATCCAATCTGAAAATGATAATGAGAATAAAGAGAGGGCTGGAAAACAGTGAAAGATACAGGATTCATATCAAGCTCCATACAACTGTACAACAACTCACCTTTATGTAATGATAACCGTTTGGCCTTATGAAATTTTGTATATGGTCGAAATATATTTACTATATTTTTATATTTTGTTTTTTTTCTTGTACATATAGAGTGATTATGCCTTATTTGACACCAGTCTCTTGCTAGTTTTGCTACTTATTGTGAATTTATTATCACCATTTATATTATTGTTACTGTTATTATATTATATTAACATTGTGATGTGTGAACTACTGTGTCCAAATAATTTCCCTTGTGGATCAATAAAGTCTGTCTAAGTCTAAGAATGACCATGAGTAACTTTGTTGAGAAACTGTACAGATTAAGATTGTGTTACTTGTTTGTCCATTTGACTGTGTTTTTTACCTGTAGCTCAGCTGGAAGTGCACAGTCTGCTAACTGGGCCAGCTCGTCCTGCAGTCTGCAGTTTTGTGGCTCCAGGCTCAAAACCTTCACACAAATGCCGGGTTTGTTGGACACTACAGAAACAAAGCAACGCATTTATGAGATTACACTGGATAAAAATTCCTTTGCCTCAATGAAAAAACAAAAAACAAACTGGACAATAAATAAATAAGTAAATAAACAAATTATACATGACATTACACTATACGTAAATGAGAAAAAAATATAGAAATAAAATGTTTTGTACAAAGCTTTATGCCTAAATAGCAATGCCAATACCATAAAAAACATGATTTAAGTGTTTATAGAACAAACTTAACTTACCAAAATTATAAACCTGTTTGCACTTATTCTCTAGCTCTTCAATCAGAACTGACATTTTACACTGTTTGGCCAGTCGTGTGCAGTCCTCCAGGAAGCTTATATCAATATCCATACGTCCTGTAACATAGCAAGTAAATATTTAGGTTTTCTGCTTTTGAAAGAATTATAAACTGTTACAATTTATTTCAAACTCCTATTGCTTGTTTTAGTCCTTAATATTATCATTAGTGCTGTCATGCGATAAAAAAAAATTGAGAGATTAATTAATTATGATCTGTAATTAATTAATCTAAGTAATCTCTTTTTAATCTCACCTAAAAACTGCTGAGAAAAGCCTTCAATTTGAGGTATTTTCATTTAAATTCATTATTACATTATTGTGGCAGATCAAAAGACTGATATAGAACAAAAAAAGTGACTTTATAAAGTAATTTATTGTTTAACAAATCTCTTCAAATCGGCTGTTGAGCCCAAGTCTCCATGAATATGAAACTATTTGCTGTAAAGTAGCAAAGACGAGGAAATCTGAACATAATAACTTTTGTCTACTTAAAGACAATAAAAAGTCCAGTCTTTCCTTAACCATATTAAAAATATTATTGATAGAGAAATGCTTTATATATGAGATCAGTGGTTTTAGTCCTTGTTTTAGTCCTGGTTTAGACTTGCTTTAGTCCTACTTTAGTCCTAATTTAGTCCTGGAATGGGTTAGTCCTGGTTTTAGTCCTGGTGTTAGTTCTGGTTTAGTCCTGGTTTAGTCCTGGTTTAGTCCTGGTTTAGTCCTGGTTAAGTCCTGGTTAAGTCCTGGTTTAGACCTGGTTTAGACCTGGACTGGGTTAGTCCCGGTTTTAGTCTTGGTGTTAGTTCTGGTTTAGAGGCGCACAGGAGGAAGCGCGGTTTATGCAGCGTACGCGAGAAAACGTACACGGCGCACGGGAGCACGTCGGTGTCCGCGCAGTGTCTACGGAAGGAAACGTGGTCCGCGAGTTCTCAGGTTAATGACGATGATGAAGTTGTGTGTTTGTGTTTGTGTGTGTTTGTGTGTGTTTGTGTGTGTTTGTGTGCGTGTCCCCTCATGTGGCAGGTCACTATAGGCCAGTAGTGCAGACATCATGAGCCTATGCAGGTTGTTTTCACCAGTGACATTTAAGTTGTAGGCTATTTTATATTTGTTATTTTCTTTTATATTTCACGTCGGGAGAATAATTTCCAAGACACGAATGCGTTTTCACCTGTGCACTGCTGACTCTGTTCTACTGCCTCTTCGACCTCGTCCATTGTGACTGACGTTAACATGACGTTTACATCGCTCTTACTGCGCGCGTTTTGTGTGGGTTTCCGGCAATGAGTGGAATTACCAAAATAAAAAAATATATAAATGTGTTTTTTTGTGTGTGTGTTGTTGTCCCAACAACACATAAAAACAGATTTTATAATAAAGCAACTCGCATACAGAAACAGTAAAGTTAGAGATTAAAAATGAGATTAACGCGATTAAAAAACATAACGCGCTAAATATGACTGTAATTAATTAATCGCAATTAACGCGATAATGTGACACCCCTAATTATCATTACCCACCAGTATAAATATACTGCAAGATGGCAGCAAAAGCTGATGGATTAATCTAAAAAAAAAAAAAAAAAATTAATCAATTTTTTTGTTTTGTTTTAACCTGTTTGATAGGAGAATGTTCTTACCAAAGGGTGTTTTAATGTTATGAGAGTTTTTCCTTTCCATTTTGAGTTAAACATTTCAGAGAAATACTCAGACCGAGTGCTGAGGACACAACGGTGGGCTGGAAAAGTTTGTCCATGAACCAAAAAATTCACATCACTGTAGTGTCCTTGTTCCAGCAAACTAAAACAAAACAGAAACAACAGAAATAGTTCAATCAAATAAAATAAAGTACTTTGTAATAGCTCATTTGTTAATCACAGAAGGCCAAAATGAAAAATAATAAGAGCATTTATGCCTAAACTAGAACATCTTTGAGTGTCCAGGCACAGTGTAATATATGTGAAAGGCTTTCACTAGTGATGCAAGAATACAATATCATCTTGATATCATGACCTTAAGACTGTAAAAGGACATAGCTAACGCACTAGCCGGTGGGTTCCAAATAGGGAGTAAGCATGGGCACGCTTCTGGCTCCCTCGACTCTGGCTCCAATTCAGTTAACATTGAAAAATTGTCACCCCTCTTTCTGTAACTTCTGTTGTGGGTGTTGTCATTTTTATTTACTCACTCTACATGATCTTGATGTTGTTATTTCTTTAGTTTGTCTGTTAATAAATTCCTATTTCTAATATGGAACTCAGCTCCAGATTTGCCCCATAACTGCTAGCTTTGAGAGCTTCATTTGACTTGACTCCCTTAGTCCACTTCTAGACAGTCTGTTATCATGACCCACATATTGAGATATGTATTGTAGCATCCATAGCGTTCACAAAGCAGTACACATGGACTTACGTGTAGAGAAAGTGGTTAAAGGCATCCTGCTGCTGCATTGGGCATGTGTTGATGCAGTTGTATTCTTTTAACAAACGTCGGATCTGATCACTCAGTGACCCATATAGGCATCGCTCTCCTTCAAAAGTGTTGGCTTCACACTTAGCACCTGAAGTTCAGAAAAAAATGCATTACAAAGACCTAAAGGCTGTAAAAATAATGAGATAGAGCTGTGTACAGTACGCTAACTATTTGTTATTATGTGCGACTATTGTGTAAAAGCCTGATGCAGTAAAATTGAACAATATTAAGGCTAGGGTTTGGCAATAATAGAATCTTATACAACATTTATTATTTTGTGGATTGCAGTTATTAGTTTTTTAATGGTCTGCAGTCAATCCTCTGTCAAAAGCATGTGGTTTGAAATAGACAGTAAAATTATATTACATTATATTACGTCATTGTTATATTAGATTTTAATTATTTGGATATATTGCATTTTAATATGACCTTACCACTAGCCAGCAAGTACTGGACTAGCTCTTCATGGCCACAGAGACAAGCATAATATCTGTAAAGGCAAAAGTTTAATTAATATGTAATAACAATAAGTATGTTTACAAATGTGTACTTACAGTGGGGTGCTGTCCCAGTTATCTCTTACATTAAGATCCACGTCTCTGTGTTCGACCAAATATCTAAATAACATGAAAATAATGTAAGTGCGGGTACAATATTAGTGAAGCAAGCAACAATGAATAAACAAAGGCAGGATTATTATTTCAGCAGCACAGAAACCAACACATAATTACAGCCTCTCACGTTATATTACACTGTACAGTTTACTCAGCAATTTAAAAAAAAGGGCTCGACAATGACGCAGAATTTTTAGATGGGTGTTTAAGTGCATGTCTAGACTAGAGTAACCTATTTAGAAGAGTCATCCAAGCTGCAAGGTCCCTCTTTGGCAAGTAGCCTTAAGTGTCACCAAGAAAGCTATTTTAATTGTGAGTAAGCTCGGAGTCGGATATTGCTCATAAACCTGCTCCCTATTACAATTTAACAATATCAGCAATGTAATTTTGTGCACTAAATGTAACGTTGCACTATTTGCGCTACGACAGCAAGCGACTGGTTACCTGACTCTGCAAATGTCGCCCTTTTTGCAGCTCGCAAACAGGTCGTGCACATCCATTGCGTCCTCGGAGCCTGCTGTGGTCTGTACGGCATGGATACGGCCCGTGGGCTGGACAGGTGACCGTGGGTACCCGTTGTAAACCGGGTGTTCTGTAAAAGCAGTGGAAAAGACGATCTGCTACACCTTCTTGTTGTTCTTGGAAGGCTGAAGAGTTGTTGTTGACGGTCGGAGAGGAACAGTCGGATGTTTTGGTCGAAAAGGGGCTGGATGAGATCACGTGACTGGTGGTGCCTTCAGGGACAGTGAGGATGGTAGGATGACAAAGCTGTCCTAATTTCTAGGGTCCTGAACCTCCAGAACTGTTCTTATAAAATCAGCGGTTTTTAGTGTCGTCTAACATTTGTAGTTATTGATTAAAAAACAAAACAAAACAAAAACAAAAACAAAAAAACACTTAAGTTTCTACATTATCATGTTCTTTAAATATTTTGATTTACATTTCAAGGAACCAAAAACAAATCAAATAACTTTTACTTAATTACAAAAATACTGCACATGACGTTCTATTTTTGTTTATGTTATAATTTGATCTTTTTGTTCTCAAGACGATTATCCAATCGGGAAGCAAAGGGAGCATCACATGAGTCTCTCATTTGGGTTGCCAGTTTCAATACTAAAATCCAATCAGTTTAAAGCTAAAATGTTTTACTACCCCAGCACCTGCAGCCATCAGTGCTACAGTGCAGCTTCTCAGTTGTGATAGTACCCAAAACAGTAAGAGCACCGGGTATGTGCAATTCCTTAAAAATCTATCCATCATAACAATCAATATATTTCACATTTGTTTAATCCTAATTTGATATAGTTTACTGTCATTTATCCTAATGATTTCCCCCCATTGTTTTTTCCAGATCAAACCACTGCGTCACTGCTTCCTTGACACTGCTTCATTACCCCACTGGCTCACTGCCCCACTCATCTCCTCCCAACTCCCACCAAATAATAACCTATTAGAATCAACTCAATAAATATTTTAGCTGGACTTTCATTTTACTGAAGATACTATCACTTGGACTCAGTTATCATTAAGGATCTATCATACAGTCAGGCTCTGTGCAAAGCATTACACTAGCTAGTTCACTGTCTCTTGAAGTCACTTTCATTAAAATAAACTATTAAAATTAAATTCAAATGAATTATATGTATATATATATATATATATATATATATATATATATATATATATATATATATATATATATATATATATATATATATATATATTGTGCCTCCAGCGTGTCATGGGTCTTCCCCAGAGCCTCCTTCTGGTGGGACATGCCCGGGACACCTCCCGAGGAAAGCGCCCAGAAGGCATCTTATGCAGAAGTATCCTCCGCTGGAGTATTCATTTTATTTGGGTACTTTTTAGCTTGTTGTGACATCCACCCGCAGCTCCCATAGACAATTGGGCAGGAAGTAGTGACACTAACAGTGAGGTTGCAGGGTGCTTTTGTGCACAGAGCTCAGTTAATTGACTTAAATTTATTGGGACAATAATTGAACAGGAAAACAGGAAATCTGTAGTTTATTGCAGTATAAAATGTAAAAATGCTAAGAACACTACAACCAAAAAAGATCAAATAAAAGGTTAAAAAAAATGAAATGTTATGTAGACTATAACATTGTCTTTATAATTCAATCTTCATGATTCCTGAGGTGTGTTTTGGCAAGTCGCTGTTTGAGTAAACTTATCTGGAGCTGGAGTTTCTCTCTCTCCAGTAACAGGTTTTCCTTTTGTATCTGTAACACTTCCATCTGTAACGCTTCTAAAGAGACAAATACATTTTTAATTAGATTCACTAAAGGATTTTTCAAGTCATACTAAAAGGAGCCTTAATACTGGTAACTATAGGAGATTTACTGTGTAAATATACCAGAATACGTATTTTTGGTACATGTACTCAGCTACTTTCCAATACCCAACTAACTTCTGTCTTTACCTGTGGCTGAAATGGGTTTTTGTTGAGTTTCTTGAGACCAAGTCAAGCTTCGTAATTCAACCTCAACAGGATAATGATCACTGACGTCTAACGCCTGCAACAGCCAAAATATATTCATTCAAAAATTATACTGTGTGTGTGTGTGTGTGTGTACAATATTAAAATAAAAAAGATTCTTACCATTTCTTCAGTCATCCTAAACTCTTTGTGGAAGTTAAAAGGCTTGGCTGAATTTGGGACTATAGCCTCCAACATGTCATCACCATAAACCACAATCCTATTAAAACACAAGCACTATCTTATTTGTTTTGTAGTGGACTTTATTTTCATATTTCCTACAGCAAATTTCAATATAAGTATTCACTCTTGCTCATGCTAAAAACTATTAATTGATCTGATGGAAGAAACCAAGAAGTCTATGTTGATCAAGTCTATATATCTACACAGAGATTAAACATTTACTCAGTTTTTATTTTAAAGAATTGGCTATTTGAAACATAAGAATAAATGGCTTAAATTTAGAAATGAAATTATATATTTTGCCAATACACCTCTCTCTAGGTAAAAAATAAGAAGGTTCCATTACCGGTCATAGGTGTGGTTATTGGAAACATTAGCAGTGGTGTCTACTTCATCTCCGATCAGCCAGTGAAACTTTCTGTCACTGCGAATCCGAATGTCTCTCATCTTTTTCTTTGAGAGGTAAGCTCCATCTGCATTGAAATCCCCCAGGATCATTATGTTCTGGAAAATATTAAATTAAAATAAAAAATAAATGTAATTACTAGATCACTGATTTTTAAACAAATCCTTTTACTTCTGCTCTTCTTGTTATTCTAATCTAAACTATCTGCCTCCTACTGGACATTTTTGGAGGGTTTGTGACTTCCTAAAAGACACTGACCTCTTGTGGCTTTATCTATAGCAATGTAACTTCAAAATATGATAAGAGATAGATTTATATATCTGATATTTGCAATTTTTGATTATAACCTTTTGACCTACACTACCGGTCAAACGTTTTAACACCTCACTTTTTCCAGTTTTTACTGTTTACTGTTGACCAAAACATATTCTAAACTTTTGATTCATGAAAGTGTCCAACTTTGGCAGATATAACAGCTGAACACACTGTGACGTTCTTTTTACAATAGAAATCAAATATTCTTGTTCTTGTTCTTCCCAAGTCTGTTGCAGAAGTTCCCATAAACGTGTGTCACTTGTAGGTTGCTTGGCTTTCACCCTTCTGTCCAGTTCACCTCAAACCAGCTTAATGTGGTTTAAGTCTGGAGACTGCGCTGGTCACTCCATGTTTTCAAGCTTACCATCTTGTTCTTTTTTCCTGAGGTAGTTTTGGCAAAGATTGGACTTGTGTTTGTTATCTTTTATCTTTTTTTTTTCTTTTTTTAACCTCTGGGTGTTCAGTACTTACCTTTGAACCACTTCAAGCTGTTCATTGGACTTGCATGACTTGAATTGCAATAAATAACTGGAAAAATGTAGGTGTTCTAAAACTTTTTACCGGTAGTGTACATACTGTAAAATACATGAAGCTTTGTTTGAGCAGCAATAGTCTCAGTCCATCAGAAGACTAATTGCCGTACAATGCTGTGTTAGGAGTTTGCATGGATGTAGTGGATGACCAGAATCATTGTTATAGCCAATATCTTCCTTATTATATTATTGTTATGTTATTTAGTTGGGATACATGATTAAATCTGACTCTACATCAGTCCCAAAATGGGTACAGGTTGTTGTCCATCAGTGGCCCCGGATTTTAAAAGTCTGTATTGGCCTAGAAAGAAAAATATCACTTGATTGCTGAATTTGATTATGTATCACCAAAAACATATTTGCTTCTACTCACCCTACTATTATTTTTACTCTTACTGCCACCAACTAATGTGTACTTAGTATTTCTTCAGTAAATGTACTTTTGTATGAATGAAGTCACCTACATCAGTTTTCCACTTGTCTCTGACCACCAGGAAGACATCATACAGTTCATCAAGCTCTTTCTCAGAGTCCCATGGAGTAGTATGCACTGGTATCAGCACTATGTCCTTCAGTACTGCATATGAACAGAAAGGAACAAGTCTGATCACGTCAAAAGCAACGTATGTGAAAACAAACTCTACAATGCAAGGTGACAAGCTATATTAGGCTCAAATGTTTTAAAACAGTACAGTAGACATGAGTCACACATACCAAGGAAGCATGGGAAAGAATTATGAAACATGTATGTCCTATCTCCACCCTTGAGTACTCCGCCCCACTACTTAGGTCACTTTATGGCGTAAGTGTAAGGACAATTGGATATGTTCTTTCGCAAGGACACACTGGTTTAACACGTTTTCATCTTCATTTCAAAGTAAAATTACTCCACAAAATGATAACTTATGTACTGCTATACCTATAACTACCTGACAAAATTCTCAACAAGGCTTTTCACTTGCAGCCAGTGTAAAATGAGTTTAAACAGACCAGTATTGTGGGGTTTGAAGTGAAGGATGTACGGCTCTCGGGCAAAAGCATCCACATCGTTGGCTTGATTGTCCTCATACTGGTAACTGTCAATCAAAGTCACTACGTCATCCCTTTAAACGAAAAGAGAAAATACACAAATGTACAATGGGGTCAGAACAAGTTTCATATTTGAAATTAGTAGAAAAAGCATGTCTTAACCTGTATAGAAAGAGGAACTGCTCTTTGTAGCGTGTCCTCCCAAGACGGGCACTCAGTTGGAGTGTATAGTGGTGGGTTGTACAGACTCTGAAACAGCAGATAATAATGGAGTAGAGTTTGCAGTAGTACTAGAAGTAGTAGCACTAACTGTAGTTAATAACAATGGAAGTGGAAACTATGTAAATGTACATCTTTACAATGAATACAGGCATAACTTTTTTTTAATTAAAGTTGGTTTAAAACCAGTAGTACTAGAAGAAGTAGTAGTAATTGTGGTAATAAGAATAAGAGTGAAAAGTGTGTAAATACACATCTTAAAGGTGCACTGCGCAGCTTTTCTGGTGGAGGGTCAGCTACCTACTTGTCTCCATGGTTGTCAGTTGTCATTGCTCTGCCTGGAATGTTCGTAGTATAACATTAAACACACTGGGGAGACTCTCCACAGATCTGAATGGTAATGTAGTGTAGTGCTGTAACCTATTGCTCTCTCTCTTATGATGGATAGGTGTAAAAGTTCTACACAAAACAATAATATATCCATGGAGACGAGCAGATTGTGGACCCTGCACTACAAATGTTACACAATGCACCTTTAACAATGAATGCAGGCATAGCTTTTTTAATCAAAGTTTAAAACCAGCAACTTTCAACATAAATATACAGACTGTCCTACCTGTTCAATTCTTCCAAAAACAGTTTGACAGAGGCACCACTCACATCCACCACCTCCAGAATCAGTATAATGTCATATCGAGACACTATCTACAAAATAATACATTAATCAGTGAATCATCAACTCAATAAAACATAAACATTTGTACATTTGCGAGCAATTTAAAACCGTTTTAATTGACAACCAGTTAATTGGGAATAAAATTACATACATATAAAAGATACTCTGCTCCAATTTGAATAAAGTTCTTATACATCAGATATACAATGTATTATACTCCTTTACAAAAAAGTGACCTTACTTGGCTTTTACCTGACAACAGTGACAACATATGATATTCAAGCAACACCATAACATAATTCACATTTCCATTTATCCTTTTCCTTACCTTTACTAGTGTTGAGAGGACATCTGGTTTAGAAACTTTAGATATCCCAAATCTCTGAACATTGAATGAAGCGATCTTCATGCCTGCTGTCTAGCTTTTAAAGTATATAATTTGTCTTTCAATCTCTGTCTCTAACCTGTTGGCTTGACGTGACAACAATGATGTATTAGAGGTGAGTGGAGCACATTATGAAGCTTGACATGACAAAAGCCCACGCCTCCATGAGTGGAAAAAAAATAAATACAGTGGTGCCGTGTCAGAGTGTGTTGTTTTTAGCGTTAACAGTCAGATCTGCAGCAGAGTAAGAAAGAGGATGTGACAGGAATGTGACTGGACGACAAACCAGTTTCTGGCTTTGTCCCAGCAGCTACCTCTACAGACTTAAGCTGTACATGTAACACATATAATGACAATACAGTTACAAATACAATAAATGTTACTTCAAATTATTGACAAGGTTTAGCAATTTTACTTTTCTGACTCTCTGCCCCTACTAGCACTGCTTCAATCACCTTATTATGGCAATTTTAATGTTACCATAAAACTTATCCTATTACCCTCTGTCACTAAGCCAGTTCAGAGTTTTATAAAACAAAAAAGTACAGTAGTAACTGCAGTCAGTGCAGTCAGTGCAGTTAAAACATTCTCAAAAAATTGATATAGATTGTTACGATATTGATGCATTAACTAACTAAATGAACAGACTACACTATTTATTGTAAGCTTCATGACAGTAAATGTGTTTGAATAAAAAAACCTGAAAATGTATTTATTTATGTTTTAACACCCTAATGGAAAAATGGTCTGTAGCCATGCTTGGCTGTATTATTAATGGTAGTGGCACTGTGGTGGTAGTTGAATGTATTTTCAGTTATTTTTATTGTTTTTCCATGCACAGCAAATTCAAAAGTGTTAAATTCACGGTGTTGGTGTTGTTGTGAGTAAAGTGAAGAAAGTCCAGAGATGTTTCAACATAGTCAAGAGTTATTTCAATTATGACAGTGCTGTAGAGTAAAATAAACAGTTGTTGATCCACAGTGTTAACATCAAACACTTAGAAAGTGTCTATTTTGAATATTACACTACATCAGTACTGGGCTTTTGTAATGTTTCTAGGGGAGAACCATAATCTGAGAGAGAGGCCACATTTCACCATCTGAAGCTAATCTAACAGCTAACAGCACAAAGCCAACAGCTAATAGCGTTTGTTTTCAGCAGAACCTGAACTCAAAGAGCCTCAAGTCCAACCACCTGAGCTCTCACATGCCCCGGGTCAGCTCCTAAAGGCTACAGTGGAAAGATGAAGACACAAGCCATTAACTAGGTTGACCAAACGTCCGTTTTCCCCGGACATGTCCGTATTTTGCGTCCTGTCCGGGTCGTCCGGGTTTTTTTTTTTTAAGTGACGCAAATGTCCGGGTTTTCAGTACTGTTCATTGGGGGCATTAAACTGAGTGTTTCTCGTAGCGTCTGTGACTCAGAAGGAGCGAGACACAAACAGTAGGTCAGTCTGCAACACGCCGAAACGAAATGCACATTTAACAATGACTTGTTCTCCGTTTTCCGGCCCGGTCGGGACAAGTGAGAGGCCATGTGCACAGGTTGCGAGGTGAAAGTACAGTGGTCCCAAGTTTATTGCGGGGTTACGTTCTAAAAATAACCCACGATAGGTGAAATCCGCATAGTCAATTTTATATTTTACAATTATTCTATCTGTTTTAAGTCTGTAAAACCCCTCACCACACACTTTATGCACTTTTTTCAGACAGGAGAGGTGCAACCCTCTTTGCATCCTTCTTAAAACTTATTGCTGCTGTCGTCTTTATGTTATTTTCCTCCTTCTTAATTAACCAAAGATTCTTTTATTCCGTAATGGAGCCCAACAGCGCAGAGTCCTGCACGGGTCCGTTTTTGAGACCCGCAGTACAACACTGCTCAAGCGAACGTCAAACGTTGAGCCAACTTCATTACGCTGCACCGCAGCGCAGTACAACACTGCACCTGCCCGTTAAAGGTTGTATGGAGGATTTTTTTTGTTTTTGTTTCAAGTTGTCAATGATAGCATTATAGAGGTGCAGTAGCCTTGTAATTATGATGACCAAAGAGAATAAAAATTCATCAACTCTGGACGTGGTGGGGCCAGCTAAACATTTGCCAATAGATAACGACACTGCCTCTTATCTGTTAGCTGACAGGCTGTCAATCAAACTCCCTACGTTTCTAGCGTAACTGACTTGCCTGCGCGCCGCCGGTACGTGGTTTACGTACGCCTGTCACGCAGTCCACAGACGCAAGCCGCACAGACGCTGTTTACTCCACCAACGCAACAGTTCTTAGCGGCTTTTTTTGACCTATATCTTCCTCGCAGTTAGCAAAAAGTTTGTTGCAATGGCAGACAAGAATCCAGGAGCAGTTAGCCGCAAAAGAAAGTCCGTTTTTGAGGTCGCTGAAAGAAGAAGACAAGGGGAAAAGCAGCGAAGCCAAACTAAGGTGATTCTTATAGATTCATTCCAGCGATGGCGCGACTGAAGCAGACGCAGAGTCTAAAGACTGACGCATTGGTCGCCAAATTACTCCTGGACAGGTCACTTCTGCTTATTATGAAAACGTACTTTATTTCCAAGAGCGAGACAAACGTTTTTCAGGACACGAAAGCGATATCCTATGTCTGAAAACGTAATTTTCAAGGCAAAGAAAGAGTCCGCTTGCTGCTGCATGTTGTAGCTAGTTCATTCGCACGGAATCTCCGCGCAACCTTCTCTGCACCCCTTTCCTGCTCCTGTCCCCGCTGCCCGTTCCGCTCTTCCCCCTGCTCCTCACTTCTCCGGGCACGGAATCTCCGCGCACCGCTCCTCTCTCCTCTCCCTGCTCCCCGCTCCGCTCTTCTCCCTGCTCCTCACTTCTCGTCCGCGAACGAAATGTCCGCGCACCCGCTCCCCCGCTCCCCCCGCTCCCCACTTCTCCGCCTTGCCTAACCAACACTGTAGTTAGTTGTTTACAGCAACATTTGAAAAAGGACAAACAGTCGCTGGATTTCTCGTTCCTTGGAAAATCCTCTATACAACCTTTAACCCGAGATTATATCAAACTTTTGCGCTGCCTACTCCACGGACTGAACTAAGACTAAACCAGGACTAACCCAGGCCTAACCTAGGATTCCAGGACTGAAGAGGAGGAATAAACCAGGACTGAACTAGGACTAAACCAGAACTGACACAGGACTCACTGTCGGGACGGACTCGGAGTTGACCGCACGAGAAAGGACAGATGGAGAGCTCTGCACCTCACCCAGGTAAGCGCGGCAATTGCCCGATCGCGCTTTGCGGACAAACTGCACGGCGTTTTCTCTTTTAAGTCCAAGAGTAGTCTTGGTTTAGACCTGGTTTAGTCCTGACACGCCCCCCCCTTTTTTCACAAATGGAAATATGGTCACCCTACATTAACCATCTCGTCAGAGATTTGCATGTATGTCATGAAATGGTTAAATGTAGAACTTAAATGTCACCTCACCAATAATTTTGTAATTAACTAATTGAATTTTATATATGTGCTAAGTAGTAGCCTGGATGGCCTTTCTACCTGTGACTGAAGTGGGAAAGACAAAGGTTTTTTATGTCATTGTTGACCTGGCTGAATTTGGTGAACATTTCAAGGCACTTGGTCCTCAGACTCAAACTCACAAACTTGACACCTGTATTCGAAGAATTGTCTAAAGAACTTGGAAGTATCAAAAGAAACCCCAAGAGTGAAAGACTGACTCTTGAGGTAAAAAGTTTCTGCAATGTTAATGTTTCATAATTAACAGGACTGCCTCTATTGTGAACATTGTTATGTTTCTATAATGGAGAGAAGATCTTGTTTCAAACAATCAGACATGCTCCTCATTTTTGGAGATGAGCATGCCTGAATTCCATTCAAAACAAGATCTTGTTTCATCCATCGACTGCTTGTACCTAAAAATCAACTTAAAAAAAAAAGACAATCATTTTGACAAACTGTTGAGGGAACAGAGAATTCCTGCTGTCAGTTGGATTTTGCAAAAACAGTATTTTGTCATATGACTTGTTTAAATTGTGTTGATTGTATGATGTGCATTGTTTTAATACAAGTTAAGTTGAGATGGAATTTTGTGGTGATTTTCATTATTTTACATTTGTAAAAGGGATTATGAACTAGAATGGCGACAGCATTTGCACTGTATTTAGTGAAGAAATGGTTACTGTTGAATAGTGTAACATGAAGAACACTGTCTACACTATTTCTACTTCATAAATTGGTAAAACATTGCAATATAGTGATTGCTTTTTCACTATACACTAGTGTAAAAAAATCTAATCTTAATCAGTGTCAAATTCAACTATGAGGAGTGTGGTTACATCACTTTACCAGTGTTGAGCCTTCTACACTTTGGAAAGTGTAGTTTTAACTCATTTTATTGTGGACCCCATATGACATAGTAAAAGTGTTAAAATTAACAATATACGAGTTGAATTAACACTCTTGAATTTGCTGTGCAGACATCATTTGTAGCATTTTACTTAGAGTAAAACATTTGGCTTTTAACATTGTTAAGTGTATGGCACACATCACACTATATTATGATATCAAAAATATAAATGGTAATAAATTCAAAATAAGCAAAAATAACAAAAACTGGTGTCAAATAAGCCACAATTATATAAATGTATATGCAGTAAATATAAAAAAAAAGTAATATAGTAATACAAATATCTCTCAGCTATACATTAGAGCATATAAGACAAAAACAGTGCAAAAATAAAATGGCAATTGACATGACAGAGGGTTGTCATCTGTAACATAAGGGGTGAATAGTAAAACGATATCCTCACAGAGCCCTTAACACTATCAGGTGTGACTCGGCTCGGTGAAGAAGACAGATGAGAGCATTGTTCACACTAACATGGGGCATGGGGCAAATTGTAGCGGGTCTAGGGAGAGAGCCACCATGGGTCTGATCCAAGCCAGAATAGGTCTCTCAAACACTTTCATGATATGAGACGTCTAAGCAACTGGTTGGTCATTATCATGATTAAGTCCAGACAAAATAGGATTCTTGAGCACTGGCACAATGCAGGAGGGCTCCATAGCACAGGTATCCTGTCAAGTGTCAGACAGAGTGATGAGAAAGTGCAGGATTCCAGCGAATCCTCATGGTAATATCAGAATGATTATATAATACCCACCAAATGTTACATTGACATTTTTTAACAATAAAACTCATGAATTAAAAAGAAATGCAGTGCATACTACTTGTCAAAGCCTGAAAGCCTGATCTCGCCACAGTGGGGCGCCAGTGGCAAAAAAAATCATCTGTTTACGCACGTTGCATAGTTTGAAACTTGTGTGTTAATGAGTGTTGGTGATGGTTGGAAGAGATAATAGTGCAGATTTGCAGCATTACTTCCATCATTCTACCCCAGGGCAGCTGTGGCTACAGTAGTATCTTACCACCACTGAGTGTGGACTAAATGAACACTGCACTATAAAGTGCTTTGGGTGTCTTGAAAGGCACTGTATTAATAAATAAATTAATGAATACAAGTCTGATTCCTACAGAGGCAGACAACAGAAACAGCAGGCTATAATGCACCACAAAGTGGCATCTCAAGTTTACATTATTTGAATTCAGAAAATTTGAGTCACTTTTTTTTTAGATTTTTAACTTCAAAGAAAAAATAGATAAGCTAGGAAGCTAGGGTAGAATTAGTGTCTAGCAAAAGTGCAGTTCTAACCCTACCAGAAGATAATCTAATAAAAAAATTAAGCTTGAAAAACAGCAAAATGGTTAAAAAAAAAAAAAAAACTGCTAAAAATTTAAGATTAATATTGTAAATTAAAACATTTTAACTCTGCATAAATATTTGGAATTTTTTGGAATCATCCACAAAAAAAGTGAAAGTGAAATGAAGAGTGTCAAAAATATTCAAACAGAAACTTCTTCATCTTCTTCTGGCTGAGCCTTTTTGGGGGGTGGACCGCCCAGGACCACCTTTCTTACCAGTGTTGCTCTGTCCAGCACCAGCCTTTGCTTTGTAGGCAATCATATCCTTCACATATTTTTCCTTGAGTTTTGCAGCCTTGGACTCGTATGAAGCCTTGTCTTTGGCACTCTGTGTGGCCCACATCTCCCCCAGCTTTTTGGCAATGTCACAAATGGAGATGTTAGGGTTTTCCTCCTTGATTTTGGGACGTTGGTCTGAGCAAAACACAAAGAATGCAGAAAGTGGCCTCTTGGGGGCATTGGGGTCCTTCTTTTTTCTTGCTCTTCTTAGCTCCTTTTGATGGGACATAGTCATATCGGTCTTTGTCGTTTTTTTCCAGCTTGTTTGTGTCCTTGATGGCTCTGTTTTCTGTTAACAGAAAGACCAAGAAGATGATGAGTCAAGTTTCATAAACTTTACTAGTTTCCCCCAGATACAAGGTAACATGTACAAATCAAATACTTTTACTCATAACAATAGTGACCTATACTTAATTACAAATACATTGGACATGACATCTTATGTATTTATGTTATATGGTGTTTTTGTTCTCAAGACGATTATCCAATCAGGAAGCAAAGGGAGCATCATATGAGTCTCTCATTTAGGTTGCCAGTTTCAATGCGGAAATCCAGTCAGTTTAAACCTAAAAAGCCTCACTACCCCAGCACCTGCAGCCATCAGTGCTACAGTGGAGCCTCTCAGTGAGTAAATTATAGAGATTTAGAGTTTTCGCATGAACCTTGGCCTGTCTACTATAAGCAGGTTAAGGAACCTAGATTCAGTCATAATTACACCTAAAACAGTAGGAGCACAGGCTACGTAAAATTCTTTAAAAATCTATTCATCATGAAAATCACTATATCTGATGTGACAGTAGCTCCATAGAATGAGATGGGAATCTGTAAATGATTATTATCTTTATAACTGAATCTTCATGATTCCTGAGGTGTGTTTTGGCAAGTCGTTGTTTGAGTAAACTGATCTGGAGTTGGAGTTTCTCTCTCTCCAGTAACAGGTTTTCCTTTTGTAGCTATAACACCTCCATCTGTAATGCTTCTAAGGAGACGAATACAGAGATTCACTAAAGGATTTTTATAATCATTAAATGGAGTCATCTACACCACAGTAGAGTTCTGTTTTTTAAAGAAACATACAAGTTTATGACTCTCGAATGTTTAATGTTGTTCAAATGTTTTGTTTGAGATTGGCTGCTACACAAAATTGCTGTATTAATCTTATTTCCTGAAATAAAAATATATTAACCATAAACAAAGTGAAAATGTTCATATGCCTTCCAGTTTAATTTTAGACTATGGTTATATCTAGAGGTGCAATGGAAACTGTTCTCACGACGCAAGTTACTTGTGTGCTGCATTTGTACAGTAGCAGCATTTGTACAGTAGCAGCTTTGTGCACAGACTTAGGTATGTAGATTGTAATCACACATTTAAAAGAAGTAAACATAAATACTTCACATTTTGTCACTTTTGGACCCACCCTGTAATACACTACTGTACAGTGGAGTAGCTGTAAAACACAAGCACTATCTGTAAATGTTTTCATAACTTTTGTCTTTACCTGTTTGTTTTTGTTGAATTTCTTGAGACCGAGTTGAAGTTCGTAATTCAACTTCGACAGGATAATGATCACTGACTTCTAAAGCCTGCAACAGCCAAAATACATTCAAAAATTAAACTCTGTGTGTGTGTGCGTGTGTAATTTTAAAATCAAAAAGATTCTTACCATTTTTTCAGTCATCCCAAACTCTTTGTGGAAGTTAAAAGACTTGGCTGAGTTTGGGACTATGGCCTCCAACATGTCATCACCATAAACCACAATCCTATTAAAACACAAGCACTATCTTATTTATTTTGTAGTGGATTTTATTTTCATATTTCCTACAGCAAATTTCAATATAACTAATTACATTTTGGTTCAGATGCCATCACCATATATATACATGTACCGTCACACTCCAGCCCCCAGCAGCCAATTACAGCCTGATCTGGACATGCCCCCCTTGTTAAAACCTGCAGTTATGCAAAAACAGGTGGCAGGAAGGGCCCTATATGTCCCTATATGTCCCTATATGTACAGAGACACACATTTATTGTTTGTTGTTTTTTTTTTTTGTTTTTTTTTCCCCAGAATTTATTAATGTTTTTGGAGTCGGATTTATGAGTTTAATTTTATCTTCTTGATAAATGTTAATATTATACTATTTTATATACATATTTTATATACTCTGCTTATGTACTTACTTACTTCATGTGCTCTTCTCAAAACTTTGGCTAATCACAGGTAAGAACAGAGAAGTGGGTGGAGATAGGCAGTGAAAAGAAATAAAAATGATATTTTCTGATCATATTACTTCACACACTAAAACAACAGAGCAATCAGATCTGGCAAGAGTAGCACCCATATATTCTTATTTTAAAAAAAGTCTCTTTACCGGTCATAGGTGTGGTTATTGGAAACCTTAGCAGTGGTGTCTACTTCATCTCCGATCAGCCAGTGAAAGTCTCTGTCACTGCGGATCCGAGTGTCTCTCATCTTTTTCTTTGAAAGGTAAATTCCATCTGCGTTGAAATCCCCCAGGATCATTATGTTCTGGAAAATATAAAATTTTATAAAATTTAAATTAAAATTACAAATTTACACATCCTACCTCCCTCCAGCCAGACATTGTCTGGTTAAACATCACAAAGTCAGTAATCATGGCAGAGTTAAAGGTGCAATGGGAAAATGGGATTGCCCAAACAGCACTGTTCAGATCCGACTACTTCTGTTACTGTTACCACTGCTACCACTGCAACATGTACTCCTAATGTTGTTTAATAAACAACTTGTAATTTGGACATTTTAATTTGTACTTGTGTCACACAGTCCATTTCCTAACGTGCTTAAGTGAGAGATAATTCCAAACATGGGTTTCTAATGTGCACTTTTTAGTTGTTTAGTAAATGTGTCAAATGAAGCCACCTACATCAGTTTCCCACTTGTCTTTGACCACCAGGAAGACATCGTACAATTCATCAAGCTCTTTCTTAGAGTCTGATGGAGTAGTATGCACTGGTATCAGCACTATGTCCTTCAGTACTGCACAGAAATAAGAACACAAATGAGCAAGTCTGATCATGTCAAAACCTATGTATTTGAAAACAAACACTACACACTGAACTGAAATGGAATGTGTCAGTCTATATTAGGCTCAGTTGTTTTCAAACAACATGGTAGAAGTGTAGACATGAGTCACACATACCAAGAAACCATGCAATTAGAAGAGATGTAAATGTATGTCCTTCTTTCTCCACCCTTGAGTACTCCGCCCCACTACTTAGGTCACTTTACAGCTTAAGTGGAAGAGGACAACTGGATTCGTTGTCTCGCATGGACACACTGACTTAAGATGTACTCAGCTTCATTTCCAAGTAAAATTACTCCACAAAATGATAACTTATGTACTGCTATTACAACTACTTGACTAAATTCTCAACAAGGCTTTTCACTTGCAGCCATTGTAAAATGAGTTTAAACAGACCAGTGTTGTGGGGTCTGAAGTGAAGGATGTACGGCTCTCGGGCAAAAGCATCCACATCGTTGGCTTGATTGTCCTCATACTGGTAACTGTCAATCAAAGTCACTACGTCATCCCTTTAAACGAAAAGAGAAAATACACAAATGTCCAATGGAGGCAGAACAAGTTTCATATTTGATAATGCGTGAAACACATTAGTGAAAAAGCATGTCTTAACCTGTATAGAAAGAGGAACTGCTCTTTGTAGCCTGACCTCCCCAGACGGGCACTCAGTTGGAGTGTATAGTGGTGGGTTGTACAGACTCTGAAACAGCAGATAATAATGGAGTAGAGTTTGCAGTAGTACTAGAAGTAGTAGCACTAACTGTAGTTAATAACAATGGAAGTGGAAACTATGTAAATGTACATCTGTACAATAAATACAGGCATAACTTTTTTTTTTATTAAAGTTGGTTTAAAACCAAATTTCAACAAAAAATATACAGGCTCTTACCTGTTCAATTCCTTCAAAAACAGTTTGACAGAAGCACCACTCACATCCACCACCTCCAGAATCAGTATAATGTCATATTGAGACACTATCTACCAAATAATAAATTAATCAATGAATCATCAACTCAATAAAATGAATGTGTACATTTGCAAGCAATTTATAACTATTGTAGGTTACAAGCACTTAGTTAATTGGGAATAGAATTGCATACAAGCATAGTAAAGTATAGGGACATACATAAAATATAGGCTACTCCAATCCAGTTTGAATAACATTTCATAGCCTACTTGTACATGTTTACTTTACTTAATTCCTATACAACATATTATATTTCTATATAAAAAGTTGCCCGAATTGGATTTTATGTGCTGGGACAACATACGCTATTCAAGCAAAACTATAACATAATTCACATCACCATTCTTTCCTTACCTTTACTAGTGTTGAGAGGACATCTGGTTTAGAAACTTTAGATATCCCAAATCTCTGAACATTGAATGAAGCGATCTTCATGCCTGCTGTCTAGCTTTTAAAGTATATAATTTATCTTTCAGCCTCTGACTCTAACCTGTTGGCTTAACATGCCTTCAATGATGTATTAGAGTTGAGTAAATGAGTGACTTGATAATGTCCACGCCTGCTTGTGTAAGAAAAATAAATAAATAGCCTATAGTAGTGCTGTGTCAATGCGTGTTGTTTTTAGCTTTAACAGTCAGATCTGCAGCAGAGTAAAAAGTGGTTGTTAAGACACAATGTGACTGGAACCAGTTTCTGGCTTTGTCCTAGCTGACATAAGCTGTAGGTAGAGCTTGAGATTACATTACAAAATACAATGCAGCTGTGGCTACAATTGTGGAAAGAATGAATAATGCATTGTGTCTTCTCTAAAGGCAGTGGAAAAGACAATCTGTCACACCTTTTTCTTGTTCTTGGAAAGCTGACGAGTTGTTGTCAGTAAGGACAGGAAGAGTGAGAAGTTTTGGTGGAAGGGGCTGGGTGAGATCACATGACTGGTGGTGCCTCCACGGGCTGTGAAAATGGTAGGGTGTTTGAGATTCAAAACAAAGCATTTCTATGCTCCTGAACCTCCAGACCTATTTTTATTATTTATTATTATTTTTTATCAAATTCAATTTGCAGCTCATCCAAGTTGCTTCTTCAGTTTTGGTCAAAATTCTGGTGGACACTTCCTTATATTTGCCTGAAAGGAGGAGCTAACTACTCTGAAACTACTCTGAAACTAATATCCCTACCTGTTTGTTAAATAGATCTATTGAACTGCACTAAGTGGAACTGTGCCTTTCTTAACAAAATTAGCCTGTTTAACTTCCCTCTCAAACCAATTATTTTCTCTGGCTAAGATCTGTACCTCACTGTCCTCAAAGGAGTGGCCCGTGGCTTTTAGATGGAGGTACGGCAGACTGAGGTCCACTATTGCTCCCTCGTTTGTGTTGGTACATCCTCTTGTGAAGTGGCTGTTTAGTTTTTTCAATATAACGCTCACTTTAACCTTCACTACACTGAACTGACTAATACTACACTGACCACATTGTTTTGTTTGTGGCTCGGTGTTTTGTCCTTTGGGTGGACCAGTTTCTGTCTTAAAGTGTTTGTAGGTTTGAAATAGACTGGGATTTCATGTTGTCCTCTGTAGTTTTTCCAGAAACACCAGCCATGTAGTGAATAATTACACCCTTTCTCCTGGATTCTGATTCTCTGTCTCATTGTTTTATTGAAAGCCCATTTTAGATATCCACAAACAGAGAGGGCTTGTAGAAACCAATTGGGCCCTGCATTGTAAAGTACAAATAAAGTTTGTGTTGCAGTGGATGGTGTGAACCAAAACCAGGTCTTGGTCAGTGTGTGTGGGTTTCCTGAAGTCCTCTACCTGGAGTCACTGGTCTTCTCCTATGAATGTTTTTTAGTGCTAACATTTTATACGAATATTTGGAGTTACTGATAAGACTATTGTACAGTTAGGCCTGTAGGCAATTGTTCTGGGTAAAAATTTCTTCCATGGACCTTTTCCTATTAACACTGAAGTTACTACATTATTATGATTTTTAAAGATTTTGATTTAAACTTCATAAACTTGACTAGTGTTCCCCAGATACAAAGTAAACATGTATAAATCAAAATGCTTTTACTGATAACAATAGTGATCTATAGCCTAATTGCATTACTAAAACATTGCACATGACGTCCTAATTATTTATGTTGAGAGAGAGAGAAAGAGAGATACTTTATTGACATTCAAAGGTCTCAGTGAGGTTGAACAGGAGGACTGGTCATGTAAGGTCAGCAGATCCTGTGTCAGGGTAGTTTAAAGAGAGGAAGAGCCAAAAGTCCCGCCTCTGTGTCCTGCAGCATCACAGCAGCATCCACAGGAAGCCAGCCACAACAGGAAAGGCTTCATTCCTACTCTGCTCTGTTGTTTCGGCTGGTGATGAAACTGTGCCTGCAAAGATAGGTGGGATCCCCCGGACCAAAAAAAAAAAAAAAAAGAGAGAGAGACCAGGGGGTTTAAGCAGGTTAATACTACTGCTTCAGTTTCATAAAAAGTAAAGTGGTAACTGCAGTCAATGCAGATAAAAAGGTCTGGATAACTAACTAACTAAAGTGTTTGAATAAAAAAAAAACTGAAATTTTTTAAAATTACAGTGGGAAAGTGATTGATGGAAGTAGCACTGCAGTGGTAATGAAATGGATTTGTTTGTTTTTGAGTTGTTTTTATTGTTCATTTTCATGTTTTCATTATAATTTTTTTCATTTTAATTTGTAGCATTTTAGTCTGAGTGTAAAACATTTTAACATCGTTTACTGCGTGGTCTACCATTTGCAATTTAACATAGTCTAGGAACTGCTGATGCAAGTTAGTAGTTTATCTTTTTGATGTTTGCACAGCTCCAGTAATAATAATTGCAATTGTAATTTTAGCAAACATGTTTTTGTAATTTTGTTTTGTTTTATTGGTAATATCCCCCCCCCCCCCCCAAAATATTAAGAACATAAAGAATTTTGTGTTTTCAGGGGTCAGAGGGGGTCGGGTTTGGGGACCACAGGATCTCATCTCATATTGTCCACATGGCTTTATCAAACCAGGATCTGCAGGGATGAAGATCAGCTCCTCCAAGTCTGTCTCAAGTGGAGGAGATCAAGTACCTCAGGGTCTTGTTCATGAGTGAGGAAACGATGGAGCATGAGATTGACAGGCAAAACGGTGCAGCGTCTGCAGTGATGCTGTCACTATATGACCATTGTGGTGAAGAAGGAGCGGAGTCAAAAAAAAAAAAGATTTACCAGTCACTCTCCTTTCTTACCCTCACCTATGGTCATGAGCTTTGGGTAATGACTGAAAGAACAAGATGATCTTTGAATGAAGACCATCTTGTCCACCATCTTAAACATCTTGCCACCCTGTGGCATAAACTCATTCCACTGCTTATATCTGTGAAAGAGCGAAGAGCTCTGTCACACAGGAGTAGTTCCTCTACGCAAGGAACCAGATGAGGTGACTCAGACATCTGCTCCTGGTGCCTTCTGGATGCCTCCCCAGGGAGGAAAGACTGTGTCTCTCAACTGGCCTGAGAATGCTTTGAGGTCCCACTGGAGGAGATGGAGGAGGTGTCTGGGGTGAGGGAGGTCTAGGAGTCCTTGTCTAGACAGCTGGATGGATCAGCTGGAAGTATAAATGCTATCGGAGTTGAGCAGTTTCACTGATAAATCTTTGATATTGTACTGACATGGTTGCACAGTGTTTTTTTTTCTTAAACTGATTTTTTTAATAGTTTATAGTCAGGCTGTCAAAATTAGCACTTTAACAATGAAAGCTCTTGTTTCTCCTATCTTTTTCTCCTATCTTGATGTAATAGAGGAAACACTGTCACAGTTTTACAGATCAAGTCAAGGCATCTTTGGCACAGTAGCAAGCAACTACACCTGTCTTACGAGGTTTAAATTCCTTAGATAAAGCAATGCTTTCTTTAGAACTATTGTAGTAGCAGTCCTTGTCAGAATTTTAGAAACAGGAAAACAAATTGGGATGGTAACTAGTAATCAAATTGTGATGGTAACTAGTATTTTTATTTTTTTTCTATTCTTACAACAAACATTTAAACAAATATATCTTGTATTGCAATGTGTTATAGAAGAGAGAAAGAGATAATAGGAGACACAATTAATTGCACGTACCTAGCGAGGTTGAAATTCCTTAGAGGAAACAATGTAGTCTTTAGACTTGTGGGTAGGTGGGAAAGGAGATGGCATGTGTTGGACTGGTTCACCCACATCTCTCCATAGACACACCCAGCTTCTGGACCTATAAACCTGGTCTCAGTGATAAGACATGCTCAGTGCAGACTTACTACACCCAACATCCCACATCACAGTGGTAAGTCATTTTACATTTGTACTCACATTTTTAACTACAGAAGGAAGTACCCTTTGAAGTACAAAATAGTTTGCATGCATCTATTCTGTAAAAGTAGTTTTTTCTTAATCTATATCTTATAGCAGAAATTGTCTGCAACAAGTACTGACTATTGCAATACTGCTACACTGTTAATATCATACTACACCTTAAACTAGTACTATTAGTATTACTTTTACTATGACTGATTCTCACTCCTACTGTATTACCATAACTGCTTCTTCAAAAAGCTGATCTGACCCCATAACCCTCTCTCCTCAGCCCTCCACCACAACCATGAGTCTAAGGACCAAACGCACAAACTCTCGCCCGGGGCTCTACACCTCCTCAGGCTTCAGCAGCATGTCCATGAGCTCCTACAATATCCCACGGATCAGCACCGATATGAACCATGCACCCTCCATCAGAGCAGTCACCATAAACAAGACCCTCCTCACTCCAGTCGACATCTCCATTGACCCCAATGTGCAGGTAGTCCGCACCCAGGAAAAAGAGCAGATCAAGAGCCTCAACAACCGCTTTGCCTCCTTCATTGATAAGGTCAGTAATTTATTTTTTATACACTTAAACACTATATCTGTTATATTTTTTTTACTTTGACATAATAAAATATCAAAAACAGAAAAGTAACTGGTGGTGGCATAACATAGTTCTGGGTAATCAGTGTGTAATCAGTGTTAATAGAGATTACTGGTGTGAGCATAGGAATAAAGAGGATTGTTACTGTTCTGACTTTATAACAGGGATTTCAAAGTGCAGCTTATTTTAGGAAAGGTCCAGGATAAATCTTGCATTTTTGTGTTAATTCAATCCATTTATAAGAATTTAGTAGCAAAATATATACATTTAAGACATCTGGCCAACACTAAGCATTTTCACTCACTATAATGAATCCATTGGTGTCTTTGTAATAGAGGCATCTTTAAACATTATCAGTGCAAAACAGGGCCAGCTATGTGCATTATGTACACACTATAAACTTCTTAGGTTCTTTTGAAAGACAACACAGTAGGAGCCCAGTCTACACTATTGTTAATAATAGCTCATATCCCACTTTGATTAATCTTGTCCCAGGTGAGACACTTAGAGCAAGAGAACAAGAGGCTGGAGACCAAGTGGAAGATGTTGGAAAGTCAGACCCAGGCCTCCTCTAACGTTGAGCCCATGCTAAAGGCCTACATCGCATCTTTGCAAAAACAGCTTGAGTGTCTGAACCAAGACAAAAGTAATCTGGAAAAGGATAATAACATCATGCATGAAAATGTTGACCTCTACAAGACAAAGCAAGTACTGTTCATTATGATCTAATAGATTATGACCCTGCCCTAAGATGTCACAGTATATTATGCAATGGTTTAGGCTATTGTCTATACCATTGCATAATCTGTGCAGATCTTTGCATGGCTAAAGTAAAATAAATAGTATGGGAGTTTGTGAGTCATGCTTAGGTATACTGCAAAGTTTTAGAGTGTAATAATTATATTTGTGGACTGCTGTAGGTATGAAGATGAAATCAACAAGAGAAATGATGTTGAGAATGACTTTGTTTTGCTCAAAAAGGTAAATATTATGCACTATTAAGACCTGTAGCACTGAATAATAGAGGTTTTAATAGTTCTGTTTACATTTTTGCAGGACGTTGATGCAGGTTATTTGTCCAAAGTGGATCTGGATGACAAGGTGATTTCAATGGTTGACGAGAGGAACTTTTTAATGGCTCTCTTCGATGCGGTAAGATTTTATTTTATTTTTTTTTTTAGAAAGGCTGATGTCAATAAATGCTGATTTGTTAAATGTATAGAAGTACACCAACCTTCTTTACACCTGTTTTTTAATAAAGTATGCAGCTTCATGATTATTATAAAACTATGCAGTGCTTTTGTGTTTTTCACTATTATTGCTTATGGTTTTCTTTGGCATGTACAGGAAATCCGTGAACTGCAACAGAACATGAAGGAGACATCTGTGGTGGTGCAGATGGACAACTCCCGCGACCTCAACATGGAGGAGATCGTCGCTGAAGTAAAGAGACAATACGAGGAAATCGCTAAGCGCAGTCGAGTGGAAGCTGAGAACTGGTACAAGAACAAGGTAAAGAAAAAACAATTCATCTCTATTATACTGGTTTGCATGACATTTAGACTAACAGGCTTATTGTACAGATCTTTAAATGTGTTAAATGAGTAGAAATTGGACAGTGATAAAAGGGAGAAAAAGTTTTGGCCAGCAAGACTGTAATGATCAAAAGAGGATGACAGTGAAACCAACCAGACATATCTCAGAATAATTGGTGCATGGCTTGACTATAAGAATTAACATTCAGAGATGATCAAAAATAAATAAATTCAATTACATAATAAATTTAACTGTCTAGACACTTAACTACTTGATTTTGTTTCTCTGATCTTTGTGACCAGTTTGACAAGATGTCTGCTGAGGCTGATCAGTATGGAAATGAGCTGAAGAACAGCAAGTCAGAAATAGCAGAGCTCACAAGAATGATCAGTCGCCTGAAGAATGAGATTGAGACTGTAAAGACCCAGGTGAGAAGGTCAAGAATGTTTGAGGCAATCTCACTCAACACCGACACCTGGAAGAACTGGTTATGGCTTTATATGCAAAACATTGCTGTTGTAAGATGAAGCCAGAGAGAATACCACAAATATGATAACAGTCTGCAACAAATAACAACACATTCACAAATACTATAGATATATGGATGCATTAGTTATTTAGTGGTATAAAATAAAAGTTTATGGACCATCAAGTTTCATTCAAAACTTTAAACTAAAACATTTATGATAAATTATACTTTTTTGTCTGAAAGGTGCAATGTGTAACTTTTTGGTTGGGGGTCCGTCACCTGCGTGTTTCTATGGATATGTCACTGCTCTACTTCGAATTTGACTTCCACAGTATGACATTAAACATTTCTACATCAAACTGATCCAATTACAGGTGGTTTTACAGCTCAAAAAAAAAAAAAAGCAGGCCTACTTTGGTCTTCGAGAATAGAGAAAGTTTGAATACCTCACTTTGAAACATTCCAGACAAAGCAATAACATCTCCTCAGAGAAAAGTATTTGACAGGCCCTCCACGAGAAGTTACATAATACACCTTTAAACAGTATCAGTGAAGTAAAAACATATTTGTACATTACTACACTGTACAATCCTACCTTTATTTTCTCTTCAGCGTGCCTCACTTGAGACTCAGATCACTGATGCAGAAGCATGTGGGGATCTGGCCATCAAAGACGCTAATTGTCGCATCCATGACCTGGAGGTGGCGATGCAGAAGGCCAAACAGGACATGACCCGGCAGCTCAGGGAGTACCAGGAAGTCATGAATGTCAAAATAGCATTGGACATTGAGATCTCCACATACAAAAAGCTGCTGGAGGGAGAGGAGCTGAGGTGGGTAGAACCAGTTCAGGCAGAACAATCAGATAGTGCCTCTGATTAAATGCCTACAACTATAGGCCTTAGGCAGAGGACACGGACTGAATAACAATTATAAAGGATAAGAAGAAATGTTCTGAACTTTTTTGGCAGTCTATTTTTAAATTGATGGGACAATATGATCCCTCACTATTAGTATTTTTGAGTTGTGGCTTTACAAGTATGTTTTTTCTTTTGCAGGCTTGGCAATGGAACAATCGTAAACATCCAGACAGTGCCTACCAGGAGTAGTAAGTCATAGATACTTGTGACACAGTATTTGCACAGTCTCATTATTCCTGTCTAGAGCCTCTGTGTAAGTTGGTCTATATAACGTTGTAAAGTCTTATTCTTTGTTTTTAAGGCTACTCCAAGAAAAAACTTGAAAAAAAGACATCAGGCCCGATTGTCATCAAGACCATGGAAACCAATGATGTGACATACAACAACAGCAAATGAAAACATGAATCTTTTATCTTTGCAATTTACATCAGCATATCTTTGCTACTCTATGAAGTTACTGCAGCATGAGCCATAGCTATGTTTCTCTCCCTTTTACTGGTCTTACTGAAATAAACAGGTGCTCTGGATCAATCCACAGTTTAAGATTGTGTTTGGTATGGTCATTTATATACTTATCAATAGCATTTGTTTACCATTTATTGGATTAGATTTGGACATGGCCAGTAAGATTAATTATTTTGGGTGGATAAAGAAGACATACTATGAGTACTTAGTAATAAAGTATAACATATATCATTCTTTTAAGTATTTTTCATTGTAATCCGCAAAATAGGCTTGGTCTAAATAGTGGAATGGGACCATTGACTTCCTGTCACCAATCACAATGTATAAGCTCTTTGTTGTTGCATTTTTCCTTTGCGAACTGTGGATTGTCATTTAGGCAAGAATTTTACATTTGACCTGCACATATAAGAGTAATTTGTAAAATAAATGCATGCTGTGCAAGTTGAAATTGGGTGTGGGTATAGGGGGTAGATGACAACAGAAATTGTCTTAATTTAATTTTCTTAAACTTAAGCCTTAATGCAAGACATACAGGATTACTCAAATGTGCATGAACCTAAACAGAGCACTTGGTAAATAATAAATAGTATGGTTAAGCTCATAAAGTCTGTTTTGCATATTATATGTCCTTTATTGATGATTTTTAAAGAAAGAAAAAAGAAACCAAAAAGTACCATACGGTCTATGGGTAGTACTGGTTATTGTTGTATTATGTAGACTAAATATGAATTTTTTTTAAGTTTTGCATACGCTACAAGGGTCAGAGCTGAACATTTGTGAAAACTGTAGAAGTATTTTCAGTAATCATTTAGGGGTAGATAGATATAAGTACAGAAGAACAGGCTACTCTCCTACTCCTGGATGTTGCTGTGCTGCTCACGCTGATCTGCCCTGTACTGAGCAGGGAACAAAAAAAAGACTGAATGGGAAATAGGATACTTGTGTATTAATTTATGCAAAAGTAGTCTATATAACATAGGCACATGTGTTAAAACATTTTACTACTCATATAAAACAAATACATAATCTATGCAAAGCAAACTGTATGATTCTATGTACTCTGTTTAGTCTGTTATGATAAAAGTTAAAAACTTTTGCCTGTACGACAGAGCTCAGGAACAAAGCATAGCTTTTATTTTTTTATTTCCTGTTTTCTTGATTACAGCCGTCCTCCATTGGGCGTAGTTTGCAACCTCTAAGAACGCGTCTTGAAATATGTCTGCAGTGTTTCTTAATAATGTCTTTACTCTTGTTTTGAAGTAAGTATCATGCCAACAATGATATTTAAAGTGGTGACTGAAAGTTGTAGCCACGTGTTGCTCACAACAGTGCATCGCTAGCATACTTTTCAAGTGTTGTACTCGTGTGTAAGGCCTAGGCTCTATTGCACGCGGATTTCGCCCTACGCAAGCGTAAAAACTGCAAATTTTGGGCGCTTAATATGTATAATGCGTTAAAAGTGATTGAGGGTGGCTCCACTGCACGCGCTAGACCCGTGTGTCGAGCAGCACGTCAGAAAATTACAAATACATAAAGAGCATTCATCTATTGTATTTGTGCGTTTATCATCACCACAACGTGCTCCTGGAGCAGTTCTGTATAGTTTGAAAGAAGCCAGTCGAGAAAGATGTTAATTAGTGATTTGAAATTTACTTTTGAAATCTTGGCGTTTGCTCTGGTCAGCCTGTACAGAAGGTAAATACAAACCTGTTCAGCTGTTAGTTTCACTGTGGACCTGATACAAGTGGCTCAACGCTCTCAGTCAAGTTTGATCGGCTTTCCTATTGAGAAACAGCCGTGCCACGCGTCTACGTCCTGCTGGAGCTGCCGGTGGAGCCGCCCCCGCGTTGACGCGCGTCTGTGGTTTCGCGAGGTTACGCGCGTAAACGCTGACACGTGCAATGGAGCCAGGGCCTAATCCATATTTAGTCTACCTTATTGTGTTGTAATGTTTATCTGTGTGTGTTTGTCTGCAGGTAATATCGTTGAAGTTAATGAATTAGTAAACAAACTATCAAAATGTCAACACTTCTTGGTGGCGAGCTGCCTGTCAACTTGATCAATAAAACATACATACCAGTCTTAACTTGTTGTAGTAACGGAGAAATTTCATTGGAGGAGGCCATCCAAACTGCGCTATGTGAAGACAAGGCTCTCTTTGTCGTCGGTCCTGGAGGTTCTGGAAAAACTTCTACGTTAGAGAAACTTTTTATAAATGAAACACAAGGCCAGCAAATTGAGAAATTCAACCACGTTTTCTACTTTCGAGGTTGTGACATTAATTCTCTTGAAGGTCCCATTTCATTAGATGCGTTTTTACAATGGAGCCATATTCCCCAATCAAGCCCAGTTACAAATTCTGAAAATGTTTTGTTTATTTTTGATGATTTAGACAAATATATTCACAATTTAAATCTACCAGACACAGATCTTTGCTCTGACCAAAACCAGATCACCACTGTGTCTTGTTTAATTGCCAGTCTCCTTTATGGATCTTTAATGCCAGGTGCAAGTTTTTTAATAACAACCAAGACCACACCAGATCTGGACCTTGTGAGTGGAGTCTACCTTGAGATCTTGGGATTTCAGAAGGCACAGAGAGATGCTTATTTCAATAAGTTTTTTACAGACCCAGAAGTTGCCAAGGATGCCCTGCAACATTTTGAAACAACTTTAGGGTATTATGACTTCTCAAGGCTCCCCCAGTTTTGCTGGACAGTTTGTTCTACCTACAGCTTTCTCATCAATTCTGGTACTAAGCTTCCTGATACCCTCACTCAACTTTTTGTACATATTTTGGCTCACCTGATTGAGAAGATACCGCAAAAAGACACAAAGCAAAGTATAGTGATGGCTTTTGGAAAACTAGCATCCTATTGTGCATTAGGTTCACATGTGGACTTCCAAGAAGACAAACTTGTTGAGTTTGGGTTTCCTTCAGAGTTCTCCCCTAATGATTTTTTACATGGATATGGGGGGGCAGGTAAAGTTGTCTATTCTTGGCATTCACAGCTAATCCAAGAATTTATTTTAGCTGTTTCTGTCTTTATTGGTCCAACTTTGGAAAGTGTGGAGATGTTTTTGGAAAATCATAAAAACCATACAAAATTTCTAGATGTTTTTATGTCTGGTCTTTGTGAGCAAGTTAACCAGAAACCACTGGAAGATCTACTTGGACCATTTAACCCAGAGCAGATTTTGGATTTTAAAAACTGTCTCAAAAAACTATGTGAGGAAGCTCTTCCTGGATTTGACAAAGAGGACCACTGCCACTGCTTTCACCTTCTTTACCAAATACAAAATAAAGATGTGGTGAAAGATGTCATAACTCCTTCAGCGAGACTTGGACTCAGTTATGGAGATCTCAGCCTGATGGACTATGTGGTACTAAACTATGTGGTGATGGGGCTTGGAGAGATGGAGCAGTTGAATCTATATGGGACCTCATGTTTTACAGAGGAGATGGCAGAAATCCTGGCTCCAGCAATGGCATTGTCACATAACATAATGTAAGTTGTATAAAATGCAGGCTACATATTCATCTTCATTTCACATATTGCCATAGACCATTTATCATCTTAAGTCTGATGGTACTGTCTGCTACATCTCCACCTCTGACCACAAAATCCTAGCAATCTCTCCTTACATGTTAAAAAATTATCTTTCTCCAAAGCATCTACTGCATGGACACTCAGACTCATATTAATCTTATGTCTTACATGTCTTACATTTTCAAAGTCTAAAATGTCTCTTATTTCTTTTAACACGCAACAGTCAACGTGTTCAATTTTACACCATAGGAATTAAACTTGAAATGCGATCTAATCATCCATTCACTTGAGTTCTGCTGCCCCCTGTCTATTCCTCTCTGCCACTCACTTTTACGCTGTTTCATTGGGATTGCAATATATTTCTGAATATGTATTATGCTTTGTGTTTTTCTTTCTAGATTAAGTCAGTGTTTGTTTGAGAATGGTGCAGTCTCTCATTTGGCCTCTGCTCTTCGCAAAGGAATCACTAAGAACTTGGATCTGTCCTACAGTTGCCTGAATGAGATACAGTTTAAAAGTTTGTGCACTGGACTAAGCAACTGCAACCTGCAATCACTTAAGTAAGGAAATAACACAGTATTTAAAAAGTTCTAGAAATACTCTCTTTTGTACCCAGATTTTTTGTTTCAATGCCGATATCGATATTGTGTCTTTGAATATCTGCTGATATCTGATAACCAGTACTTGGGATTGAAAGTGACTTTTTTTTTCTCTCCGAATACATTTAACTTACTACAAAGTTTCACTGTGTTATGTAACTGTTATGTATCCTGCTAGTAACTACTGAACAGCTTTATATTAATTAAAGTTCAAACATCCTAGATCGGTGCATCCCTATTTGTCACCATTTACCAAGTTAAGATGGTGTTGTTGAATTATAATATTGACCATAAAAATAGATATATTCAAGGCTGCAGAACCTTCACTGTACATACAGACACATTTACAGTGTAAATACATGTAATAGAAAATATTGCAAATATTTGTCAAATATGTTGATACAGTAATAACTAATGGAATGAAAAAAAAATTACCAAGAGCAAAAAAGTCATAGTAGTGTTGTAATTTCTCTTAAGTCTTTCCAGTTGTAAGCTGACAGAGACATCATGTGAAGATCTGACGCCTGCTTTATCCTCCACATCCTCCCGGTTGCGTGTGCTACAACTTTTTGGTAATCAAATCAGTGACCAAGGCTTGAAAAGGCTTTGTGGGGCACTGCAAAGTCCACACAACAAAGTACAGGAACTACAGTAAGTGATTCAAAAATACAACTTCAATAGGAGATTTGGGGTTTATAGTTCTATGGCCAGGTGCTTTCCATTTTTAACACTTCTTAAACTTTTTGCTTGGTATATGGTGCCGGCCAGCAAAAAAAAATGAGACCATAGTAGGATAAATTATAAATGAGATTCTAGATTAAACTACACTATCAATCAAAAGTTTCATTCATTGTACATAATCCCATACATCTTACTTCATATATTTGATGTATATGTATATTTGATTCTGTATGTGTATCAAAAGTAGAAAGTAGTAAACATAGAAAAAAATATTGAATGAGAGGGTGAATCTAACCTTTTGACTAGTAGTGCAGGTCTGAAGAATGACTAGATAAAATACATTAACTTAACTGTAATGATTTAATTTTACCAGTAGCCAAAATCACCATAAAATATATATTTTTTTTAAACAAAAAAACAGGATGTATGTAGACTGTATTACATTACAAGTGCATTGTGGAACAGTTCTGGTAGAGGGTCCGTCAAATGCTTCTCTCCGTGGAGATGTTATTGCTTTGTCTGGAATGTTTCACAGTACAGTATTAAACCTTTTTATCTTTGTGGAGATTAAACCAGACAAAGTTACCTGTCATATCTGTGAAGAGGCAACCCCACTCACAGTCAGAATGCCTGTTTTTGAAGATATTTTTTGAGCTATAAAACCACCTATAATTGAATAAATGTAAGGTAAAGCTGTTTAATATCAAACTGTGGAACATTCCAGGCAGAGCAATGACCTATTCAAGCAGGTGACCGATCCACAACCAAAAAACTACACAGTGCACCTTTTAACTGCTGTTTTTTAAACCTCTTGACTAAAGATTGCAGTACTGCCATGTAACTGCAGCTTCGATGGAGCACCTCTCGACAGCTTTGAGTTCTGGTTACTCACAACTTCTGAAGATCAACCTGTCAAGAAATACAGTAGGAGATACAGGAGTTCAAGCCCTGTCTAAAGCCCTACAGCATCCTTTGTGTAAACTGGAGAGTCTCAGGTAGGCGTTGTATGTATCTACTACAGTTTTTCAGGGTTGTAAATGATATAATATTTCAGGGGTGAATTCTTATGTAGCCTTTCAGATTGTGAGCTGACTGAAGCATGCTGCCCTAATCTGATGGAGGCTTTGATGTTTAAACACTGTCCTTTGCTTCAACTGGATTTGTCAGTGAATACATTTGGCCAGGAGGGGGCACTGCTGTTGTGTAATGCCCTCAAAAGACCAGGCTGCCCCATAGAAAAACTTGAGTATGAAAGTCTTTATTTGCTTTGCTCAAATCAAAGTGTCACCTTTTATAAATATTTGGTTGAGATACTATATCTTATTTCCTTTTACATCATTCAGCCTGGTGAGATGTGAGTTAACAGAAGTGGTTTTTGTTGCACTGGCTGCTTTCTTAAAGAGGGGGTCTCCTCCTCTTAAGTGCTTGTCTGTGGGTCTGAATAAAGTTGGAGATCAAGGAGTCTATCATCTCTGGGAGGCTTTAAGGCATCCCTCCTGTGTGCTGGAGGAGCTGGAGTGAGTATAATGCCATTCCCACAGGGCCTTTCACTAATATTACAGACTATTTGAAATAATATACAATTTACATACTTAAATGCATGTTGGCCTAACACCCACCCAAGTATATATTTAAAATTGTAAAACTTATTTAAATTTTCTGTTATTTATTGTGTATGTATTACTGTGTGGACAAACACTGGGCCCCCCGTCGTGCCTCTGAGATCACCCAAGGGGGCACTACACTTTGGGAATATATATATATATATATATATATATATATCTGCATGGATGGTTTAAAAAAAAAAGTCACAGTATTCACTGCCAACAAAAGCTCTTACAGGATTGCTTCTCCCCCAGAAACATTTAAAGTTAATACTGTGTAATTCTTTAGCAAACTAACTACCGTCTCTTTCTACTAGTGTGGAAATGACTGGTTTGACAGACTCTTGTGTTGAAGACATGTGTGCCGCTATAAAAGCCTCAAAGACACTGAAGAAACTTGAAGTACAAAATAACTCTCTCACTGATATCTCTGTACCTGCTCTAGTCAGAGTAATGCAAGACAGTCCCAACATGGAAGAACTGAAGTAAGTATAATTTCAATCACTTTTCAGTCATTCAAACAGCGTTGTAAGATTAATTAATAAATGTTCTCTTTCTTTCAGTGTAAAGTACAATGATTTTGGTGAGGAAATGTTTGAAATTTTTGAAACAGTTACCAAAATAAGGTATTAAAATGTAGTTCATGACAGCCTTTTTGTATAGGAGTTAAATATTTACATGTATCTCTATACATTAAAATGAATACAAAATCTTTGTATGTACTGCTAAACTGAGTTACAAATGGGCATACATTATATTGTAAAACATATGCAATTATTACAATTAAATAATAGTTCTTACTTCATTTTTCCTGTACTCCATCTATGCAACTATGGGGCTCAGACAGGTGCTCAAATTTGATCAGGCTCACATTCATTTGCTCAGCCAGTATGGATACAATATAAAAACACATATTATACATAATATTTCAGGTTTTATGGTAATAAAAAATATGGCCAACAGTACACTGATATTTAATTACAATGCATCATTCATTGATAGCCCTTTAAACTTCTCATAAAAATAACACATCTGTTCATACTTAATTCATATTTAATTTAAATCTATAAACCAAATGTATTACACACAGTGACCAACTTCAGGTCCCATAACTTAAGTCAAGTAATTACATCTCCCATTTGTATTCATATTGATTTTTTGCTGCAGTTGGAGTTGATTTCTTCCTCTGAGCTGCTCTCAACATCACTTCTGTTGTCTTTGGACACCTAACACACATAAAATTTAGTTTTTTATATATATATATTTTATATATATTTTATATATATGATTAACAAAAGGAAAATAAAAATCCTTCCATTTACAAACCTTTCCTTCGAATATAGATTTGACCGCAATACGAATGATGAGATAAAACCAGAATATATGAAGGACTTGTAGGACTAATAGCAGAGAATTAAGAAGCCACCAAGCTTGGTATGGACCAAGGATCTCCCAACTCTCAAACAGCACACTGCGGATGATCCTGCAAATGCAGTTACAAGAATAGCAGATATAACATTTCTTTGTAGCTTTTATTGTGCACTCGAGACATTTTAAAATCATAGATGAAAGCTCATGTAAGGTTGCACCAATCCAAGACCAGTATCTGATATCAGTGCCGATACTGAAAAATTAGCTGGATCAGATATTGGCTTCCAAAAATCGGTTCAGTCGATATCTTAGTTTGGGCATATAAAATGATGGCTGCATCTCATTTCTCTTCCCTTGTTTCCTTCTCCTTGGTTCCTTTCCTCGATTCTGCAGGAAATGGGTGAGGAAGTCCTGCCCACAGAGGAGACACAATGAGGAGAGGATATAAACTCCTCACTGAGACTAATAAAGTTTGATTCTTTTATCTGATGTCTGCCTCCTGAAGCCTCCCTCATGTTTACTCTTTCCTGGCGTAGTTTTATTTGGAGCACCACTTAATATGAAAGATTTGATTGACACCTTAAAAATGGAAGATCAAGAAGGAAGTGAGGAAAGAGAACTGAGATGCAACCGATGTAATAAGACCATTTTACTAGTAATTATTGGCCCAGAAAATCTTGTAATCTTTTAACTTTTATTTTTACATAGTTGTTCTGTAGTTACTTGAGAGAAAACATCTACATAACAGATTTGTTTTTTGTTAAAGGAAATAAATGCTGTACCTTTGTACTGGTATCAGTTGATACTGGGAACTGGCAGAACTTAAAGCTGTTGGAATTAGAAAATCCGTATCGGAACTGAAAAAACTAGATTGGTGCATCCCTAGACTTGTATTGTGCTGTAATCAATATCAATCAAAAGTGTGTTTGGTGTGAATAGTGCAGTATAATATCTCACCAGAAAGGAAAGATGACTAGCCGTGTTATGAAAAACACAAGGGTGAACAGCACAAATAGGGCATCACACAGCCTCTGGTATTTGGCATAGTTGGCCAGTTTAGCTGCCTTGAGGAAAAGATAAAAGTTAAACCCTCAAGGCTTTTAAAACATACATTTCACACAACAACATTTCAAAATATACTAGCTAACATATGCATTTTTATGTTATTTTATCAGTTAGTTGTCAGCTGGTTTTTACCTCTAGGAAAATGTCAGATGCATCATGAACACACATAACTAGTGCTCCAGCTCTGAGCATGTTGTTGGCATAAGAAAATGTGATGAGAAGAATGGTGGCAAGATGGTGGATGAACATGATTAGGAAATCCTGTTAGACATGAAATTATAGATGGGGTATGGATGGTAAATAAAAATGATTTAATGCACATAAAGAATAAAGTACAAAATGTGGTTGACTTACCTTTCGTTTAATGTCAATGAACTGAGAAAACATCAGAGACCAATAGAAGGCAAATTCTGCTACATAGTGGATGTACTGGCTCTGAATCATTGGCTGTTGAGAAAGGGACAAGAATGTAACCTGAACTTCATTCTTAACCCAGTAAACAATCAAGGATTAACCAAAGTTCTAAGTTTAGCATTTAATATCATTTGTTTTTACCTGGAATGGGTAATTATTCCAACAATGTCTTGTGTTCCAAATCCAAGGGGACTAGGAGAGGAGATATTTTTTGTTAAATTGTTATTCACATGATAAAATGCATATTGAAAATGATTGCCTTACATCCCACATGTAGTAGATGGCATAAATAAATATTCCTGAATAAAACGTGAATCGCCACCTGGAATAAGAACAGAAAAAATATACAATTGTATGACTTGGCCAGTAAAAATATGATATATGTTTTAAGGAAAAATATGTAAAATAAAAATTCTAAATTATGTATAAAAAGCATTAAAAGAGGATATCCACTGAAAACATTTATTTTTATTCTTTTTCAGTTATGGTTTTAACCAGCAATGTTTAAAGCTCAGGAGCAGAATAAAAATCCTCCAAAATGCGAACTGTAGCAATTGACGATGGAATTTCAATCACAAAGTTAAATAGACTTCTTGTTTTGGGTAGCGAATTTTCACAGATAAAACCATATTGTATTTTTATGTGATCAATCTGACCTTTATTTATTTATTTACCTGTCATCAATAAAAAACTAATATCACAGAAGGGAAGCTCAAGTTGCCATTGTTGTAGAAGTGCATGCTACATATAACTATTGCTACTTAGAACATCTCCAAAGGATTGTATCGTGATGTCCTAAATCTACTCCACAGAAGTAGTAGATTTAAATAGATTAGTAGATTTTCATTTATTTAATTTACTTCCCTTCTACCTACATGCTCTCACAAAACTTAGTTTCAGTCGTTGGCCGGTCTTGGTCTCTCCGAACTCGAAACCATCTCTGCACTCTGCGGAGGTCCCAGTCCAACTGTTTGGACAGTTGCTCCAGATGTCTGTGGTCTGGGCTCTGTAAAATGAGGACAAAAGAAGCATTAACAGGAGTCAGATCAACAAAAATAAACCTATGTGTTTCTATAAACAGTGGAAAGTGACAGCAAAACCTACTGAAATAATGCTTTCACATCATAACATCTTCTTACTTTTACTCAATACAAATATTTCAAATAGTTGTTGATGTTCATGGTTATTACTGAAAGCCTTTTAATTTAACATTAAATAATAATATATAATAAAAAAAAATAGTGATTGATCATTATGCCCAACATTACACTGTTGGTCACAGTTGCACATGTTTACCGCTTTGGAGTGGTAGGCTTTCTCTAGGAGGGCATTGGGCTGGACCTGCCGACGCACCCCTGTCTGTATATGAAGTATGTTGGCACAGGGTTTGGCCACTAGCCTGAATACACAAAACAGAAGAGAGGGAGAGAGGGCGGGGCAGGGGGTGGACAGAGGGGTGTTATATTAGGAACATGTACAGAAACCTTTAGACAGAATATCTATGGTGAAAACAGGCATTTTATTCATGTGTTCAGAAATGGAAAGATCTTTGTATCAAGTCTGAAGATTTTTTTTCTACACACAAACAACCAGTTAAGAAATTATGGGTTTTCCAAGCACTATCTTCAATGAACGTACATGACCCCAAATAAGGTCTAAAAATCTAAGACTCAAATAAGGGGAACTAAAATCAGCAGTAAACCAGGTTCTCAAATGGACTAAATACCAAACCACAGCCCCAGAATTCAATAGTCAAAAAATCTGATGGACTGGTGGACTGGTAAATATAAAGTGCCGTATCTGAACTAAAAAATTCTGTAGGCTTTCTATTGCTTATACTGGTATTCATCTGGCTGTGATATCGTTGGGCTTGAGATCATGAAAATAAATAAGATTGTTGATGAATAATCACAATAAAAAGAAAATGCAAAATCTGAGTTCCTCAATCACCTTTTTCTATTTTAAAACCCTTTGTGCTACAATCTTAAAAGAATGAAAGTGAATAACAAATGAATTGAAAAGAATGAAAGTTAGTAACTTCAGTTTGTATGTGAAAATGTTTCACTCAAAACAATTTGCGCCATGTTACAATTGTCAGTCATCCAAGTATGTATAGACTACGGTTTCAGTCAGAAGTGTTAAAGTGCAGGGATCTTAGGGAATGTAGCACCTAAACGCAGTGTAGTGACATGGGAGAGGAGATGGGAGGCTCTACTGACCAAGTGAGAATCAGGGTCATCAGGCTTTTCTTTAAAATGATCGATGCTTTTTCAAATTCATTTGACACAATCTCAATGACTTTGATCATAAACAAACAATGTAAATCTACAACTATTTACTCAAGTAAGCCACACTCATCATGTGCCCTGCAGAAAATGCAGGATTGGAAACGGGTTTGACAGAAACAGCACTAGGTCCTGGTATTGAAGGCCTAACAAGCTAAGAGTTGATAAAGTTTAGTCATGATGAAAAAATCTCTGAAATACAATAAAGGCCTATTTTTGCCATACATTACTTAATAGTCTACAACATTTTAGAATAATAATTCTTGTATGCCTAGTTTTACAAAATTTCTCTACCAACTGATGTGTTTGTTTTGTTTGTTGTTTGTATTTTTACATTAATCTACTTATAGGTGTCCAAGAAATTCCAATTATTTTTAGTTTTTTAAACTCTTACTCAAGTAAGAGTAAGCAAAGATATAACTGTCAGTTTATAATTTGAAGTGAATATATCTGGACAAAAAAAGAACAAAACATTATATAATGCACAAAATATTTTGTGGGAAAAGTAACTTTACTCAATTAAGCAGACAGAATAAGACAGAATCTCAAATAAGAATACAAGTATAGTGTCTGAAAACTACTCAGACATTTGGATTTAAAAGTGACTCTTTTAATCAACCTAAATGTGCTTTGAGCAAATACACGGACTACCATCTCTGCATAATACCAATGCTATTTTATGAGTGAATTTATCCTATTCACGTTAATAGCTGAAAGCATGTGAACTTCATTTGGAATTAGATTACAAATCTATACCATCACTATGAAATGTTTCTTGTGGGGAGGGGTCCACACTTGACTGTCTCTAAAGAGATGTTGCTTTGCTTATAGCGTTCCACTGCGTGGCATTAAACTTATCTTTCGTGCAATTATTCAATTACAGATGTTTGTATTGCTCAGAAATACACTGAACAGGTTTTCTTACGGTAAGGCCTGGTGTGTCCATGGAGACAAGCAGGTGGCAGACCACTCCACAAAAGCAGTGGACCTAGTTAGTCCACATAGTACAGCTTTAATTCCAGTTCAAACAACATAATATTACCTTTCAAACAAGAGCCTAAGTATGAATACCGCCACAGCCAGCGGTAATGCGCAGACCAAGTGTCCCGCCTGAGGATAGTCTACTCCAGGTGCTGGATGCTCCAGGTCCGCCCACGTTACGTTTTCAGGAAACCAGAACCGCTCATTCCAAATCCACGTGGACACGAAAGAAGCCATCGCAAAGTTTAACATAAAAACAAAAGTGTCAGTTGAGATGAACGCGAGCAGCTCTACTGAACTTCTGCAGTAAACATGAGCCGCTGAAAGAGCTGCTCATGCTCTCAGCCCTCCTCTAAGCATCACTTGTGGCTAAACTCCAGGGTAAATACAGGCCACAGGGCACACCCACAACTTCGGGCGACACTTCCCCGTCAGCACTGAGCAGAGTTCAGTTCAGCGGGGGAAGCTATTTATAGATTCTACGAACCACGTTTTGTCAAGGGAAAAAAGAGATAGAGGCTAGAAATGAAACGTGCACACGCGCTCTCGTGAGTATTTGCACGTGGCTCTTCTCTAGACTTTATACTATGATCTTCGTGCCAATTACTGAGAAATGTATTTAATTTTTAATTGAATAGCTTGTTCTTGTATTCATTTTGAGCAAATTTGATGGTCACTTAAAACTGAAGTCTACACAAACGATCAGTGGAGAGTTTGCTCCAGATCACAGCTCATCAGCTAACCCAACACCAGCTGAGCTGCGCCACGCTGTGCCTCAATTAGACGAGTGTCAATTAAAACCTCTTTTTCCAGACCAGTCATCTTTAGCCCAGTTGCACTCTCCATGTAAACTAAGTATTTGAAGTGACAGACAGTATTGGACCATACAGGGCAGGTACCAGTTTAATTCTCAGTGCATATTGTTGTTCTGTTGTTGTGTCCTTGGGCAAGATACTTCACATGGCCTCTCTCCACACGATGGGCATTACATGTTCAGATCAGAGATGGGCTATTGCTGTGGACTTTTGCATATTTTAGGATTAACAATTTTTGCATTAAGACACAATATGCAAACCCCACGCTGTACCAGTGCACCACAGCAGCAGGCATAGGTTCAGACACACCTTCCTGTGACAGTTAATGAAAAGTGAAGGTGTGTACAAACATTATTCCATCTGCTTCTACAAAAACATAAGTACTTTTGACCCTGAAGCCAAATATTTCAAAATGTTTAACCTATTTCTTTATGATCATTCTAGTTTGCCTTCCTGGTCATTGTTTGTTGCTTGTATTTACATCATCAGCCCTTGCGACAATGCACAAAACCCCCCTGTGTCTGTGTGCAGCTGCAGCTTCCGAGATGCTCCGTGACCTACTGTGGTGGGCTTGGCCGACTGTACCACTCAATGGGGCTGCTCATTATACTTAAACTCAGTACTAAATATGTCATCTTATTGTTTTGACCACTTTTATAATTTTGACATTTGATTTCAACCATTTTTTGTGTGCTGTCTATTTTGATCTTCTAAATGCATGCATACTCGTGCATTTTTGTTTCTGATTGGCAGTGTGACTCCCCTTGGCACTTGGCGTGACCCGTATCACGTTTGAAAAAATCTGAGAGTTGGAGGAGAGTTCTTCATGTCAGAGGCTGCTGTACACAGGGAACACAGAGTACTCAAGCGTCATCATCATTTAAGGTAAAAATCCCTTTATAGATTTGATCAGCTGTTATGCCACTTTATTTGAAATTAACACATCAGAGCTTCTGGTAAAATATAATGATGACACATTTAGGTCTTTGTTTACAATACTGAACTAAAGCATCTAACAGCATCTATACTAACATACGCAGTGGATTAGATGTATATATTTCTTCTATCCTTTGCAGTGCACAACATGGATGGCAAGGACCTTAATGACCCCTTGAATAATATGGCGTTGATCAAAGGTAACAGTCTATATTTGTATCTGTTTGGTGTGGACATATTCAGTGGCATGCAGTGGTAGAGAAGATGGACAGTGGTGCATTCTGTTTTTGATCCTTCTCACCTGACAAAGCACATTTGGTTACAGAGGTGATAAGAAGGAAAACAAAAAAAAATCATGATGTAATTGTTTCAACTTGTTTGAAGGCCTAAAAATACAGGTTCAGCTGCTTACTTCAGATGCCTTTGTAGTGACATTATTCTATATTGGCCATTATTATGAGCATTACTCACATGGGAAGTGTTGGCCTATCAGTAATTTGCATGTTATTGTTTATATTAGAGATTGCTTTCTTATCCAGGTTTGTAACTAAGCCAGCATGTTATTATTCATTCATGTGCATGGATTATCAGTGTTCTAGTCTCTCAGACTGTTTTAAGTTTGTGGGTACAGTCTTCTTATGACCTTCTTGGCTCTTTCTGACTTCCTCTCACCACCTTGTCTCTGCTTGTCTCTGTCATGAAACTAACACTCGTATGACCTCTTGTATAAAGCTGTGATTTCATATTGTATTACTTATTTTTCTATTTTATTTTGATTTCTTTATATACATTTTTATAATTTTTATTTGACACCTGTGTCTTGCCATCTTTTTGCTACTTATTTAGAGCTTTTTTCTCTTTGTTATTATATTATATTGTGATATGTGAGCTACTGTGTCCAAATAATTTCCTTTATGGGTCAATAAAGTTTATCTAAGTCTAAGACACTACACTAGGATATGCCCCCACTTAATGAGAGCTGAAATAATGGGTGATTTAACCTGTCCACAGACTTGGCACACAAGTAGATCAGACTGGAATAAAACATTGGTATTTGGCTCAATGTTGTATGATAGATTGATTTTCTAATGCTTCACTGCACATGATGTAAGCAGCACAAAGCAGGACTGTGTCACTCCTCAAATGGCTCTTTCAACTTTTCTCAAATAAACCCTAAAGACCATATTTTATTAGTGTTTAATGATAAAGACACATTCTGTGAAGAGGAGAGCCCACACTGACAGAAGCCCCCAGCACATTTCTAAAATAAGATCATTCTCCTACATTACGTTCTGCTCGAGGCCACGTCATGCACAAATCGGCTACAAATCTGGCGGAAATTCACTTATCTCTGACATGAAGACATACACAGATGTTAAGGACTGAAATGCCTGACTATCCCCATTTCCCTATTTGCACAATGTATCATCAGTTCTGAGAGAAGGCCCACTTACATTCTGACCCTACCTCATAAATATGCACAGAAAGGCTAACAATCCTCTCTCCTTTGTTTGACTGGTCATGTGAGCCAGGCAGAGACTGCATCTAGTAGTTTGTATTAGCTCTATGTTACTGTTTTTTAAACTAAGACTCTGCACAGTTGTTGATATAATTCTCGTTCACTCATGCTCATAGGTGAAATGTAGAGTCACTAGTAAATTAAGGAATTTGTCTTTCAATTCTTGCTTAATTTTCTACCAATACCACAGCTCCATACCTTCAGGTACTGGACCTTCAGACTGCTTGGGGCATAACCTTGCCACCAACCTCGATAATCCAGTCTTCTTTGCCTGAGACCCAAAATCTTGAGTGTGGAAGCAAATCATATGTTAAAAAAATCTCTTAGTATAAGAGGAGGCAGACCAGCAATTCATTGTGCTAAATTTGTTAATATTAATATTTTCACTTTCTGAAGTATAAAACATTGAAGCTTCAATTTAATATTACTTTGACGTCAATGACAATGACAGATAGGCTCTACATCTACACAATACTGGATTACATCTATTGCATTGTCATTTAAATGTATGTCATATGTACATTTTCTACATTACAAAAAATATGTTATGTATCCTTCAAAACTATAAACCTTTTGTACAAGGTTTGTGAACACTTCTGATATGTGTGTTTCTACTGAGACCAAATGTTGCTCTATTATGAGGTCATGTCTTTTCATAGCTGTTGGAGATTAGGAGGTCTATTCAGTGGAGACTGTGCGGTATTCTCGGGCCTTGTTTCTGTGTCCACAAAACACAACAAACTCTTGACAACCAAATGTGTTTATGCATTGTTTATAGTTGTTTAAAGTTAGATGTTGGGAATACTCCAGTTCTCTTACAGTGGTTCTTTAATTGTGGTGCAGGTATCAAAGATCCTTCTATGATTCTTTTATTATATTATTCCACTTTTAATATCTGTTAGGAATTATTCACATAGATTTTTTTTTCTAAAAATAATTAGATCTAAGGCTGAGGAAAAGTTCACTCACCATATTGACAGACTGCTTTGAAATGTTAGACTTGTATCAAACATTGTATTTCAAACTTCCTGAGCAATGCTTTTCGGTAAAGGTCTGAAAACCAGTGTGATCTATAATAAGATACACGACAATCCCCATATCTAATTATGGAAAGCAATTAGTCTCTGTAATAGGACAATGTCAATCTTTTGAAATCAGGTTGCATTATTTGGAGCTAAAGTAAAATGGTTTTAGATCAAAGCCATTTCACTTCTTGAAATGTTTTTTTTTGTTTGTTATTATACTATTAAATTATAGTATTTTAAAATAGTGAAATATTTATGTGGAGTGACCTTTTTATGTTTCCAGATGGCCAAACCAGGACAAACTTGGTATCCTCAAGTGACTCTGACCAAATGATTCAGCGTTTAAATGATGAACTGCGAGAAGCTCAGGACATAGCAAATACAGAAAAACACAAACACATGGAGCTACAAGGTAAATAAATGCAAACATCAAAACATACATGCATGTAACATGATAGAACTGCTTATTTAGATGGGAAGAGTAATTCAGCTACAGAAGCTTCACGAAGCCATGTTTAAGTTGGGCACAAATCCTGTGAAGAGAGAGAGAAAAAAAAAGAAGGGAGGGGTAAAGTTGTCCAGGGACCCAAAATTTAAATCTCTGTCCTGGAATTAATATTAGAGAGGGTCTTGAGTCTTCTTGCCCTTGGCCCCCAAGTTTCTGTTGACAGGCCTGTAAATGAGCCATTGTATTGTTGATTTTATATAGTGAATGAATTGACATACCAAGAGCAGTTACGTTAATGTGCATTTCTAGCTTCCCTTGAAAAAGAAAGGAAGGAGAAGAAACAACAATCTGATGAGTCTGCAAAACAAATTGAAGCCCTCCAAGGTAGTGTTCTGTAGTGTTCTAAAATATGATAGCCTTGATAATGCATTACTATAAGTAAGTAAATAACTATGATATGGCTTTGATTTGAATAGGCCAGCTGCAGCAACTTCATGTGGAGCTGGGCAGTCTCCGAGAGCAGTTGAAAGGTTCTTCCAGCTCTCAGGATGAGCTCCAAAAGGCCAAAGAGGAGGTGAAGTCCCTGAAACAAGCCCTGGACGAGGCTAAAGCAGAGAGGGACAAGTGGCATCAGACAGCGACCAAATATGAGAGAGAGATGGAAAACTTACAACATGATCTTCAGCAGCAGAGTAAGCAGTGGCAAAAGACTGCAGAAATACAAGGTAAGATAGATATGCCAGTACACATACATTATTTTAGTGTCATGAACAACTAAAACAAGCTTGATTAAGAGTCCCATATGATACAAAATTGATTCTTCTGAGCTTTAAGTCATGTTAGAAGGTTATTACCACTTCAAAAACATACATGGAGTTTTTTTTTTTTTTTTTCTTCACACGTTTCAGTAACTCTTTATTGTTAATGTGTATACAACTCCTAAGCTCAAAATGCTCTGTTGCACCTTGTGATGTCATGAAGTGGTAGTTTTCAAGTTAATAGCTATCTTTTTACCTTTTTATTTAGTAGAGTTTAGCAATTCCAGGGCTGAAATTATCCAAATGATTTGTAGTGAAGGTGTATGGAGTTTAAAAACACAGTGACGCACTTCTTGCAATACCACATGACATCACAAGGTGGAACAGACAGTCCGTCCGAATGGTTAAATGCATTTAGGAAGTTCCTTTCCTCATCATTGACCCGGACATGCGTTATCATCCGCCATGACAAGGACCAACCGAATTGATCAGTAAAGTTAGGAAGAAGTATGTAAAGGAGCAAGTATGCCTTATGCATAGTGCTCTTCTTCAGCAAACCACAGCTCAGCTCATCCACACCTTTAATTACCCAGAACCCCTATTTATACAGGCCTATCCCAAGTACAACGTCTGTCACCATCTGACCCCTCTCCCTCCCACCCCATGTCTCTCGTTCATCCTTCAGCCTGAAAACATCATCTAAAAAAAGGGGAAGGGGACCCTGAATCAGCTGGGCTGACCACCTGAGATGGAGCCCCCCTGAGTCTCCTCCTAGCCATCACGATTAACCATTGTCAATAAATATCTTTATCGTATACCACTGTTGTGTCATGGTCCTTGCTAGTGAATATGACTTGTATAACAATAAAACCTATTTGTCTGTTCCCAGCCAATGAGCTCCAGTCTGTGCAGCTGGAGTGTAATGGGCTGCAGAAGGAGTGTGCCTCTCTGCGCTCTGAGAAACAGGAGTCTATGACGAAGCATCAGAAGGAGAAGTCCATGTTACAGAGTGAATGTGCTGGACTGAAGATCGAGAAGGATGAACTGACCAAGAATCACCAGAAAGAGAAGAGCAGCCTGCAGAGTGACTGTTCAAACCTGAGATCTGAGAGAGAGGCTGCAATACACAAACAGCAACAACTGGAGAAGGACCTGTCCAGGTTAGTACAGTGTGCTTTTTTTTGTTTTTTTTTGAGTGTGCTAAGTCAACATTACCAGGAATTCAGACTGGGATAACACTGACATCAGACTCAATAGTTTTTGTATCCCTTGTGTTTTGTTTAAATTTCATGTGTGCCTTACTGCCATTATATTAAGTCTTATTCTGACAACTTCACACCAGTGGTGCAAGATGGTGATGTAAAGGCACCAGCTCCAATGAGCCACCATCCATAAATGAAAAAACACTTCTTTTTGTTGTAGTTCACGTGCCAAGAATACAGAGCTGACCAACAGCCTGAAAAACCTTGAAAAATCTCAGCAAGACCTGGAAGAGAAGCTGGCATCTTTAGAGCTCCACCATCAAGAGGAGAGTGCCAAGCTCCAAACACAGCTGGACGAAGCAAATAGCAGAAATGACTCTCTGCAGAAGGAGGTACAGCTATTTCTCTTCTAGACTTAATGTTACATGAAGGACAGATGCACACACAACAGATTCAGATAATTCATAATTATTTATTATTTTCAATAGAAACTAATTCTATTATTCTTTATATGTTGATGGGAAGTTAAAACTTTTTAGCCAAAAATATGTTTTTTGAAAAAATTTGTGACTCCCTCTGCTTGTTTCCATGGAAATGTTGTTCCTTTGTCTATAAGCTTCCACAGTATAGCATAAAATGTTTCTAACTCCATGGAGAATGTAACCTTGCACAGCAAGATGGATTCTCATGGGTTTGTTGTGAACTCGCATATGTCATGATAATCCATGTTGAGAGACTTCCACTGTAAGGTTGTTTTGTTCTGAAAAATATGCAAAAGTTAAGTGTTTTGTGCATTTGTGGACAAAAAAGATATGTCTGGTTCAATCCAGAGGAGAAAAAATCACAAACTTAGATTTTTCGGGCTGTTCCTCTGTTGACTACCAATCAGATTCAAATAATCGACATGATATGCTGCATTTCCCGATTGCTTTCAGCAAGAGCCATCCCGGATTGATGTGTAGAACTCAATTCAAAATGCTACACTTATCAATCTAGTGTGAACCAGGTTATGGAGAATGTTCTGAAGTATGGCTTAACTTTCAATTTCCATGACTCAAGCAGGTAACATGCTACGTCCAGAAAGATATGAGAGAATTACTGTATAACACTGTGCACAGTGCAGATGTCTGTATTTGAATCAGTTGTTTATTGTTTTGATTATTTGATGTTTGTGATTATAAATGGATAGGAATTGCTATTAATAATAATAATGAAAAGATAAGATCCACCTTTCTCTTTGAATAATAAAAATTAATGTTATTATGACCAAATAACTTGTTTTGTATTTACAGTATGATAATGCCCTGGCAGAGTTTTCCAACATTAAAGAGAAATATGAAAAGACAGAGCACCAAAATCAGATGCTGACTGAAGAACTAAATCAGTGCAAGGAGAGTATCAAGGACATACAGGATAAGGGGACAAAGGTTAGTACTCACATACTCAACAGACATCAAAGAAATGCATTTTAAAATTAGTATTGCTATTGCTATTGCTAGCTTTTTAATTTAAGAGCATGAGTCAGTTATGTGACTATTTGTTTTTAATCAAACTACCTTGTGTGTTTTCAGTCGGACTTAAAAATATCTTAAAACATTGACGATATGTGTGTGTGTTTATGTATACATCAATCCCACTGAGCAGGCATGACCACTCACATTTAGACAGACAGCTTGTGTTTAACTACTTTGCTAAATTACTAGTTTAGACTACTTCCTGTAAACCAGTAAAGCAGGTAAAAGCCAACACTCCTTCACTAAAAGTATTGAAATGTTTATTGGCCTGAAACTGTCTAAAGTGGTGTAAGGGAGAAAGAGTTGTGACGTGACAATGAAAATGTTGGTGGTGTTGGAAAATGAAGGTGTTTATACAGAATTTTCCTGATGATAGGTTTGTGGTCATAAATGTTATGTGACCGTGGTACAAACAGACCGCCGAGATGTCCAGTTTCGTGTTGTTACATTTGATTTGTATAATGTCCCTTCCCTTCTGTAGACTTCTCTATTGCTGCCCATTCAAGCCATAGCCATCGGCCTTGTTCTGGCTTTGCTGCACTGGTGCATTGGCGCACTGTGGTAGAAAGGTACATGTGACCCCTTGTGAAGTCGGCCTTAATACATTCTCAAGTGTTGTCTTAATCATTGCATGACAAAATCAGCCTTACCTAAACTCCTAAAAACCTTTGTTGCCTCCCTGGATAAACTAATGTGAATAAATGCCCTGAGTATCTAACATTTCTTATTATGCAGTTTTTCCATCTGGTGTGTGTCTTTTCTGACGGCTCTTGCTTAATAATGACTCTTCTGTAAATGTGCTTATTAAATGTTGCTCTAACTTGCACATGTGTATCTCATGAATTCGTTTTGTGGAAAATAATATTGATTGAATAAAGTCCAGTCACAAGGGGTTACAAGTCAGATTAGCCTGGATTTATAAAGGGTTGTGTCCATTCATGCTATGAACCTTTTTACATAATTTTCCACAATATTATAAAAATTCATTGAGTTGCACTTGTAATCTATGCAGTCATCATCGATCTCAAATGCATTTTCTTACAAAACCTTGGTCAAAGTCAAGTGTTTTTTTGTTTTTTTTAAGTTAATATATTCCTTTTTCAGATGCCATGGATGATCTGGGGACCAGTGGCTGCTGTGGCTGTTACCGCGGTGACTGCTGCTGTGCTTCTCCGGACATGAACTCAGTGTCCCACAAAGCACCTCTTCTCCTCTTCACTAACATAATGTCCTCTTTACCATATCTGCACTACTTAGGAGGGCTCCTTCGTAACACTGTTAGATTTGCTATGTTTTAAATGGCAACAGTATTATTGTTATTAATGCACTGACGGTAGCTACACTGTGGTACTGGATAGAGAATTAGACATGTCAACATTGTTTACTGTGGTTGATATGCGCTTGCTTTATGAATGTACCATGGACGTAGATGGAAAAGATGGGTGATCTCTGGGCAAGATATCTATACTGTGCTGTGTAAAGCTCCCAAGATGGCTTTTACAGAATTGGTGCATTTACATAGAACTATTCCAAGGCACTGATCCTTCTCGCAATGGTGAAGATGGTGTCCTGTGTGTTCCACACCTCTTAAGATGTTGCAACTCAAACACTAACACTATATGCTAGTATAAACCAGCTGTATGACAAGATTACAATTTGATGGTTAATGGATGTTGAACCGAGGTGGATGCAAATATAGTATTGGCATATTCTTTAATTTATGAACAAGAAATGTGTGGAGTGTTCCCTTTAAATGTTATTAAACAGTATCCCATTATTACTGACTATAAATTATTTATGTGTGTATTTATAATGTACATTTTTTGTTGTATATTGTAGTATTTTCACCTTTTGCATAGTTTCAGAAATCAAATTATGAGTTTACTTGTGTGTTGTGCCTTAACACCAACACTATCCCACTCAACAAGATTATATCCTTGTGATGCTGAGTCAGCCTTTTTTGGTAAATCATCTTCTTTCTGTGTGTGAAATGACCAGTAGTGGATGAGTACAAATTTTTAGTACTTAAGTAAAAATTGTGAGTACCTATGAAAAAATATTACACAAAAGTAATAATAAATAAGTAAAAAAAATCCAAACTTGGTAAGATACTTCTGTAGCCATAGCTGCTCTGGGTCAGACTGACAGAAATAAGGCTGCTCCAGTGGCTCCTCTGACCACCATGACCTAGAGTCACAAACGTGTCCTCTATCCCTAAGTGACCCATAACAGAAATAAGTGGAAAATGAATTCCAAACACACTATATCATACCCAGTGTGAATTGATCATTTTTGCATTGCAGTACTTTTTCCACATTTTTTTGGCTTTAAGAGGCATACAGATTATAAAGAATGCTTTACATCATCTGACTTCCACAGTGCCCTTATCCTTGGCGAGGAGATTATGGGGCTAAATACACCATAACCCCTTTAAGCTGGATGAATACTCTAATGCAAGCATGATACTACTGTAATATTGAGACAAATACCCTTGCGTCCCTCCAAATGCCTTATCTCTTTCAAACTCTCTTTGCTTTCTTTTTTTTTTACTTATAGTATTTGTCGTTTGTGCAAAGTATCATAAAAGTAGTCGGTGATAGAACATTCATAATTTTAAATGGAAACTAAATATGTAAGTAATTTTCAAAAAGAAGGCTCACTACTGAGTTGCCAGGTTCAATTGTTCTGCTCTAGTTTGTATGTAGGTCATGTGTAGTTTACTGCAGACGGGACGGAATGGGGCAACCAATTTACATAATTTACACAAACTTTTTGCACATGATGGTATAATGTGTCATATGATTAGTGACAAAACATCACATAAGCAAAGGAGATTTTTTTTTATTATGAATTATCATTTAAAATGTATTTTCTGTTGTTAATGTAGTATGAGTATTATATGTATAATCTGGACAGCAGGAACAGTCTCTCGGACAACGCCCTTGAGTGTGTGACCATCATGATTCAGTTTGTAATTACACATGGTCAGATCTTTTAGTAGCAGGTAGACAACTATCTACTGTCTCTAGAATGACCCCCAGTGGCAGGTTTAGATACAAATGTTGCTCATTTTCTCCTGTGTAGTAAGTCCACATTCCAGCTCCACACAAACTAGGCACTTTTGTTTACACCAAGTATGTAAAGTATGTAAACAATAATGTAAAGTAAAGGGGTCAATCTGTAAAGGAAATTTTATTATATTTAGAGGAAATGTCTGTTTGTATTTGCCATGCTCTATCTGTGCATAAAGGAGACCACAAAGCTTCATGCTGATGCCCAGCCTGGATAAAAGTGAGTGGGTGTTATTGAAGAAAGAAAGGTCAATATACAAAAGTGTTAATCTGTTGTAACCATTACTATGATTTTGCAGTCTGTAGTTGATTGTGTTTAGATTATGTCTAACCTAACTGCTACTCTAGTGTGTGGCCAGTGTTCTCTTTAAAACATTGACTGGCTAATGCAATGTCCCAGTTTGTCCTCATTCAAAGGTAATCAATGGGATTATCCAGAGCAAGCATAATCGGACAAATCATCCACAGACCGCCAGACTTTTAGCGTTACAAATGTACTGTTTTTTATTTCAGACATCTGGATACACTCATCTGAAATACAGATTATCAGGAGCCAAAAAGGATTTGTCGTCAAGGTAAAGTCTTGCTTAATATATTGTGTCTTTAGAGAAGAATACACTGTTTTTTGTATGTAGATGTAAACAAACTTTCTCAGAGGAAAACTTTTTTTTTTTTTTTTACAAAGGTCTTTATTGAGCAAGTATCATTATTATGTATTCTCATAGCGGCTGTAATGGCAGCAGATCTAGATGTCATCAATTTGTTTATCATTGCTGGAGCCACACTAGCCATCCCCATCATGGCTTTTGCTGCTTCTTTCCTTTTTTGGCCTTCAACGCTCATTAAAGTTTATTATTGGTAAGTAACAGCCTCTAAAATGGAATGAACATGAAGATACATAGCATGTAGTGCAGTGTAGTGCAGTTTAAACAGCAATAGAAACAAATTTTATCCTGTATTTTTTTCATTCCCCTCCTTGTTTACAGGTACTGGAGGAGAACTCTGGGTTTGCAGGTGCGGTTTGCAGACTGTGGTGGATATCGCTTCTGTTACTCATATAGAGGAAAGCCTGGAATGAGACCAAGTATTTTAATGTTGCATGGTCTGTCTGCGCATAAGGACTCGTGGCTTACTGTTGTCAAGGTTTGGTCAGAAGCTGTGATAAGTATATTGTCATGTTACTCAGTCTTATGTCAGCATCATTCAAATGAGAAATATTTGAAAAAATGACTTAAGGTCATTTTTCAGTATCTTCCAAAGCATCTGCACATAGTGTGTGTAGATATGCCAGGCCACGAAGGCACAACTCGAACCAACGCAGATGACTACTCAATTGAGGGGCAGGCCAGAAGAATTCATCAGGTAAGTTACTGTGATACCTCATTAAAATCAAATTCAAAGGACCAAGGTTACTACTAGGTACTGAAATATGTCTTGAATATTTGCCCTAGTTTGTGGAAGCCATTCGTTTGAACAGGAAACCTTTTCACATTGTTGGAACCTCAATGGGGGGAAATATTGCAGGAGTTTTTGCAGCATTTTATCCTACAGAAATATGCAGCATGACCCTAATATGCCCAGATGGTTAGTATGTTTTTTATTCCTTTATTACTATTAGTAAATTTACTGTAGCTCATTTGGTGGAAACTAACATGAAAGTGGACAGTTTTGATCAGCATACTGCATATGTATTCAAGCAACACATTTTCAGGAGCATGCGATCAATACAAGTGTTCATGGTCCTGTTTAGGCAGGAGTTTGATTTTTAACAAAAATCTTGTTTAAGCGCACAAATCATCTCTCCTGTTGTAGTTTCAACCAAATTAGTTTTTTCTGGTCAGACTGTATTCAAATAAATACAGATAAATACCCCCCGCCCTTTGCAGGAATAAGACACCTTTGTGAAACCAAATTTGACAATCATCTGCAGGACCTGGAGCACAGTAATTTCACACTAAACATCCCACTCATCCCAACTACACCAGAAGAGATGGAAGACATGTTCAAACTTTGTTCCCATGTTCGTTTTAAAATACCACAACAGGTCAGCTTGACATTTCAGAACTACTATTATTTCTATTATTTTTGTTGCTACCTATGCTCCACTGTGCTTTCTTAGATTCTGCAAGGATTAGTAGATGTCCAAGAGCCCCATAATGAATTTTACCAAGAAGGTTGGATAATGTCTCTTTTATGTAAATGTATGTGTTCAATACATCTAAAATCACATATTCCTTAGTTTTTATGGAGATAGTTGGTGAAAAATCAAGATATGCCTTACAAGAAAACTTGCATCTGATCACAGCACCCTTGCAAGTTATATGGGGAAAACAAGACCAGGTAATGTGCATAATCTTGACAAAGACTTTTTTTAAAGGTGCATTGTGTAACTTTTTGGCTGGGGGTTCATCACCTGCTTGCTTCTATGGACATGTCACTGCTCTGCCTGGACCGTTTCACAATATTGTATTAAACAGCTCTACTTATTCGATTACCATTTATTCAATTACAGGTGTTTTTTACTGCTCAGAAATACCAAGAAAAACAGGCATTCTGAGTGTGACCAGGGTTGCCTCTCCACAGATCTGACCTGTAACTTGGTCTGGATAGGTCTCTATGAAGATAGAAAGATTGAATACCATACTGTGAAACATTCCTGACAAAGAAATAACATCTCCATGAAGAAAAGCATTTGACGGACCAGAAAAGCACCTTTAATGAAAGCTAAAGACAGAAAAAGGACACTATTTCCTTTTTTATTTTCCCAGGTGGTGGACGTGTCTGGAGCCACAGTGATAAAAGAAATATTGCCTGGATGCAGAATAGACTTACTGGACAACTGTGGACACTCAGTGGTGATGGAGAGACCTTCTAGGACAGCCAAGCTCATTCTGGAGTTTATCATCCAACAACAAGACGCCAGAGGGGGCACTAAGAAGTCGTCCTAAAAGAAATAGAACACACAAACTTGAAAAACAAATATAAGTAATGGATCTGTTAAAATAAGTATAAGTACCCAAAGATCATAACCTCAATAACAAAATTTGTTCAGAGTTGTTCAAGGCTTGTAAAAAAATGGGGCTCTATCTTCTTACCTGTGTTAAATGCACCTATCTGAATGACTCACTTGAAAGTGTTAAAAAAAAAATAATAATAATAATAATTTTTTTAAAAACGGTGAAAAACACCACTAATTTGCCAGCTCTTGAGTGGAAATGTGGAACAAATCCAAAATAAAAAATACTATGAAAACGGTGGTATATAAGGTTTGTTTTTGTAATAGAAAATCTGGGTAAAATTTTGCAGTTTGTGATTTCTGATTATGTACTAACATCACTGAGAGGTTCCTCTGTGTTCCTCCCCCATCTGGGTCAGATGTGCGCAGTAGTTTGCTGCAGCCTGAAGCGGTGCACTCACACACAGCTGCCACAGTGGACAAAATCTGCTGCAGCATTTTACTGCTCAATGAAATTTAATCTATTACTTCGTACTTGTAGGAAAATACGAGACTGGTAAGAAACATCTTAAGCCCAACCTACTTCAGTGGTGATATATCGGGATCCCAATGTTTTGACCAAGTTTGACTCGACTGCATTGGCAATGTACACTAGCTAGCAGTGCGCTAGTTAGCATTTAGCTAGCTACAGGCTAGGCTGCCCTGTTTTGTTTTTACCACATAAAACGTGTATGCTCGTACATAAATATAATTTACTTACGATTTAAAGTTGACGATGGCTTAAGGCCACCCATTAGAAGAGCCTGACTTGGGCTTGGACTACTTCTTGATTTGTAGGTTAGGTGGCTGTAGCGTTAGCTGTGGACCTGAAGCTGCACACTGTTTACACATGCAGATTGTGTTACTGTTTCTCTACATTAGTATATAGTGCACGTTTTCCCAGTGTTATTCTAGTTATTAAAGTATTTGCACAGTATGCATGTTAAGACAATGTCAATACAGTAGTGGTAAAACTAACTCTAAGATATTGCAAAGATAATGCAAGCTCTTCCTACATGCACTGTCGCTTGACATGTATATAACGTGTAATTTATCATGTGTGTCTGTATGTATTTTTAATACAGGCCCTAGGTGAAGCAAAACAACACTGCAGACACCTTTTCAGATTTAAATTTTTTTTCTGCCCAAGCAACTCTACAAATGGAGAATGGAGATTGGGGTCGTAAGGTAAGGATAGCCTTAAGAAATGAATCACTGTGGGACAACTAATTTGCTGTAACATTTATTAACACAAATTTCCACTATTTTGAAGGGGTAACCTTCTAAAGGTTGTGTTTTTGACTTTTCTGGTTTGATTTCTTCCAGGTGACTAGTCCTGTTACTTTAAATGTAGGGGGCCACCTTTACACCACCAGTTTATCCACTCTGCAACGCTACCCAGATTCTATGCTTGGAGCCATGTTTCGAGGAGACTTTCCCACAACCCGGGACTCACATGGAAACTACTTCATAGACCGAGATGGAACACTCTTCCGTTACATCCTAAACTTCTTGCGGACATCTGAACTTACTCTTCCTCTTGACTTCACGGAAACAGACCTTTTGAGGAAAGAGGCTGACTTTTATCAAATTGAACCTTTAATCCAGTGCCTTAACGACCCCAAACCGCTGTATCCTCCTGATATCTTTGAACAGGTAGTGGAGCTGTCAAGCACAAGAAAACTGTCAAAATATTCAAATCCAGTTGCTGTTATAATTACCCAACTTACTATAACCACAAAGGTTCATGCCCTGCTTGAAGGTATTGCTAACAATTTCACCAAATGGAACAAACATATGATGGATACAAGGGATTGTCAGGTATCTTTCACATTTGGACCATGTGATTATCATCAAGAGGTCTCCCTCAGGGTTCACCTCATGGACTACATTATGAAACAAGGCTTTACTATTCGAAACACGCGTGTACATCATATGAGTGAACGTGCCAATGAGAACACTGTGGAGCACCATTGGACTTTTTGTCGACCAGCTCACAAAGTGGAAGATTGAGGACCAGCACTTTTTAAAATTCTTAAACTATTACAGAATTACTCTCCGAGGCCAGCATATATAATATATTGTTAGACTCAAAAAAGAGAACTACAAATTATGTTAAACTAAGTATAAATCACAGCCTACCACGGAGCAGAAAAAAAACTTATTATGATAAAGGGCCATGGCTATTTGTGTTTAAAAATGAATGTGTAGGTTTATTATAAAGATTGTTCAAACAATATACCACAATGTAAGTATAATAAATGTGACTTTTACCTGTAATTTCATGAACATCAACAATTACGTGCCGTGTACCACAAGAAACAGTGACATTCCTCAAATGCATTCCTCAAACCTAAAAAAGTTTTTACTGACTGATTGGGTGTAGACCTATGAATTAAAAATCTCATAGCAGTTAAGTTACAATTTAAAATGATTGAGTGAACCACTGTGTGCAAAAAGCCACTTAAACCATTCCTGTAAAGTTTTTTCTAATTGCTTGAAAAATCTTTGACCATAATAAAGTAGTAGGTCTAATAGTTTTAGATTTGATCAACATTGTGTATTGTTAAAGTATTTGTAACTTCATCTTGTTGAGTCTACAAAACACTTTTTTTTGGTACATTTTTGTATATCTATGTTGCATGTGTCTGCATGTCTTGTATACGTATGTACTTGTGCTACAATATTAAGTCAGACTGTTACATATTAATTCCCATCAATGATGTGTTGAGTCCTCAGTGTTAAATAAACGGATTTGTATACTTGCTGTCTTATTTTTTAACATGCATTTATTTTTTTACACTTACACTGATATACTGGAAAAAGGTTTGTCATACCCGTGTAATATTTAAGCAAGTATTTTATACTATTCATTTTACTATCATATAAAAATAACAGCAACATTCAAACGGAAGTTACAACATTTAAAGTATGTTTGGTTCTACCCATCATCAGAGAGGCCCGCCACTTTCGCGTTCACTGTTTTTAGTGACACCGCCCATTTGGCCTAAGCCCGGAAACAAAACCATCTACCACCGCTGCTGCCATTACGCCTTACCTCTGAAGGGTACATGGATCAGTCTTCGGTCAAGCTTCTCGTCACTTGATTACAGACACAGAAGATGCTGCAGAGAAGTGAAAACATTAAATTTATCCTTAGTCTCGTTCCTGGTAAACGTCGTTTAGGCACATACCGGTTTCTCCCTATATTTTTCTGTATTGGTGGTGTCATGGAGTGGATCATGATCAACGTGAGAATCGGAAAAGAGACTTTCTGTAAGTGTTTAGCTAGTTAGACTCCAACCATTTGGCACTTTATCATTCCCAGATTAAAATGTCAAATTTAACTGATACAAGCACTTCGGGTTTTACCATTAATATAATCTACGGCTGTTATTGAACCTGTGTGTTACTCTAAACATTCTCCCCAGAGTTTCAATTTATTTTGTAGTTCCTAGTACACCGTCTTCACTGGTCTCAGCCCTGGGTACATTAATGGGCAATAGAAAATCACTACTTGGATTATCAAATATTGCCGTGTGTTTACATCACCGTAAGAAATCAAATCGGATCATCATAATCAAAATCACCTGGTGACATTTGTCTTAATTATTGAAGTTTTAGCGTAATTGTAAATTTGGTAGACAGTACATTTGGAAAGATTTTCTCTTTCATTTTTGTCTTTGCTACATTAGTTTTTTACATATTGTTCCTTCTAAAGAAGATATCAGATTACTCATATCAGAATTAATTCTGATAATTCAAATTACAGTCTTGAAATTGTTAATTTGGTAATACCTAAAAAACGATAAAGTGACAGAATAAAAAGCATTAAATTAAACAAATTAAAATATATGTAAATTATTGGAGAAGTGTGTATTCTTGGCTGGCCAGGTAAAAAAAAAAAACAACAACAACTCTTATGTTAGATATTGTTATGTATATACATATATATACACAGTGCATCATGTATAATTGTAATACTGCAGCATTTAAAGTATTACCTGATATTTTGTTTCATCTCATCTCCATATTTACAACTGCCAATTCATTATTCTTTTATTCCAGATGATGTTTACAGAAGAAAACAGTCAGAGCGAGCATACCAGAAGAGGATTACAGAAGATTTAACAAGAGAACCTGTTGTCAAATAAACTGAAAAGGGTTCCACTTGGAGGCAAAGGTGTCATTATCAGTGTATTACCTCTGAACGTTTTCAGAGGTCTGAAGAAATGAAAAAGGACATTATTTTTGTATTTGTGGTAATATTGGTTGTCTGTATCAAAAGAATGAATGTATTAAATATGTAAATAAATCACCATAAAATGTGTTTTATGTTTTGAAATGTTTGCCTGATTATATATATTAGATAGATAGATAGATAGATATATTATATAGATATAGCTATAGCTAGATAGATAGATACTTACTTATACTTTATAAGTACTTGTACTTGCATACATTATACGTACTTTAGAAACATGTTTTACCTTTTGGTTTTGCTTGTATTAGGCCAAGTTGTTTTTATATCATGTAGTACACCTTTATATTACAAACACCTCTAGTAGGATTTATAACAATACTTGTACAATATTTAGATGCAGTAAAAGGCTAATATAACCACTTGATATTACACAGACCCTATGACCGTATTGCCTATAATAGGCTATAGGCCAAATAGAATCTGTCGACTAAAGAATTAAGAATAACAATCCAAATGACCTATTATAACAATAAACCAAATGACGTATTATTATAGCTAATAAGAGCAGGTGTGTCGCACAGGCTTCTTTAAAGTGTGTCTTCCTCTGGCTCTTAGAGTAACAGCGTGAATAAATGAGCAGTGCTGCATTACGTAAGGCAGATGCGTGGTTTATAACAGGGAAATCGAAGCGCTGGAGTAGCGGAAGTGGTACTGCCCTGAACGATAGGCTGATCGAGACGGAAGACTGAATCGCCCGGAGAGATAAAAACAGAATAAAAATCATCCATACCGTAAGTGGTGCTATTTGAATATTGTATACGGCTTTGTATTGCGGGTAGTATTGATCCAGTGATGTGATAAAAATAGCTGTGTATAATGTAAAGCTCGATGCTGAGCATACCTATGAGCGAGCAGAGCGCACATAGGGCCGCTGTTCGGGGCTAGCAGGGCTCGCCGTGCTGCTAGCAGCGCTTAGATTCCTTGACACTTTGTTCTGTCAGGCGCTGTAGCCCTGGCGGGCCGTGTATGAGGTACACAAAACGCACAAAATGTTCACGGCTTCTTATCCCAAATCATGAACAAGTGTTCGTCGCACCGAATAAACCTTTTATGCTCATTATACCACAGTCATGTTTTCATAGATGTCGGCCATTATCTGTTCTTGGCCCTGCTAACCAGCGTTACCGTTATCTAGAGAGATGGACGGCAGCGGCTAATTCCCGTTGTCCGTCTTCATGTCACACAAACGATACATTCATAAGAAATATTTCAGTTATGCTGTCCAAATATTATAGTATAACGTGGCTACGTTAATCCTAAAACTCAAGGGTGTCCGATGGTTCTTGCCAGCGGCATTATCTGCGACAGGGCTGCGAGCTATTGAAGGGTGGGCATTAAAGCCGAGCTAGCTTAACGCTGAACACATCCGCTCGTTTTGTGAGTATTTAACGCTAATAAATAACAACTAAAATCTTGTAAAGACATATAGAATAAACAGGTTACGTAAAAGTGTTAATGTGTTAATTTCCTTTAAAAAAAAACGCTGATCGTGTGGGCATTTTCTTGGGTGGAAATAGGTTAAATGCATCTCGGTAGCGGCTAACATTAGCTCGGTATATGTATGGATGACCCACTTGCCTGGGGCCCAGCTATCAGTTAAAATCGCCGTGTCTTGTACAGTCTAGTGTTATGCTTCTAATTTTATATACTATTATGATACTTGTTAAATGTTCGCATAGTTAATGTTAAATAAGTCATTATCACCAGAACCAATGTATACCTGTATCTGTGCGCGTGCGCGTGTGATTAATTGTAACACTTTTTATGCTTGTTGATTAGTCTAGAAGATGGACAAGAACGACCTGGTACAGAAGGCTAAGCTCGCTGAGCAGGCTGAGCGCTACGATGACATGGCTGCGGCCATGAAGTCGGTGACCGAGCAGAGTGCGCCCTCGGAGCTCTCCAATGAGGAGCGCAACCTGCTTTCCGTCGCCTACAAGAATGTGGTCGGAGCGCGCCGCTCCTCCTGGCGTGTCATCTCCAGCATCGAGCAGAAGACGGAGGGTAACGATAAAAAGCAGCAGATGGCCAAAGAATACCGGGAGAAGATCGAAATGGAGCTGAAGGATATCTGCAATGATGTGCTTGTACGTTATGAAAACTTACATTAAATTGTTTTTGTCTGTCACTAAGACCACATTGTTAATCCAGGAACATAACATTTGCTCATTTTCAGGGCCTGCTGGATAATTTCCTTATTAAACATGCAAGTGCCGCTGAGAGCAAGGTCTTCTACCTGAAAATGAAAGGAGACTATTATAGATACCTGTCTGAGGTTGCATGTGGAGAGACTAAGAAGGGTAAGCTATAATAATTTGTTTGTCATTTTGGTTGTACTTCATGTAATTTTATTTCATTGTATCTTCTTGTAGACACTGTTGGGAATTCTCAAGAGGCATACCAGCAAGCTTTTGACATCAGCAAGGGAGAGATGCAGCCAACACACCCCATCAGGCTTGGTCTGGCCCTCAATTTCTCTGTCTTCTATTATGAAATCCTCAGCAGCCCAGACAAGGCCTGCAGCCTGGCTAAAACGGTATTAAATCCTGATTTGAACAATACTCTTGTTACTGTGACATAATATGGTCAAATTAAACTATTAAAAAAATAAATGTGCTGCTGTTCAGGCATTTGATGAAGCCATTGCTGAACTTGATACTTTGAATGAGGATTCCTACAAAGACAGCACCCTGATCATGCAACTACTAAGGGATAACCTTACTGTGAGTTACCAGTCCTGTACTTATTGTTCACGAAATATATTTTGAAATGAAAATGATTAAGATATTTAATGCTTTCCTTTTCTGCAGCTGTGGACATCAGAAAACCAGGGAGATGAGGCGGAGACAGGAGAGGCGGACAACTAAAGGAAATTGCACTGTTAATCCACCTACACTCTTATCTTAAACACAGACAGCTTATATACATCCCCTCCACTCCATCAGCCCCTCCCACTTCTGTATGACAAGCAGCCTGAATTGCTCCTGATCAACTAGTTTTACCCCTCTCAACTTTATTGTGAGGTGACAGGGTAATTTTTTCAGTTCTTAGCAGACTCAGTCACTTTGTGGAAATATGTTGTATTGAGTAGTGAGTCCATGTTGCTGAATATGTTTTTATTTTGGCTTTGTATGTACTGTATGTATGCTGGTTTGTGCAGCAAGAGAGCATGTGAGTGTGAGTCCTAGAATAACAGGTTGGGGTTGTTGTGAATTTTAATTGTTCCTTTCAATTGTTCCTTTTATCCCTGCTATAATTTCCTGTGCATTTATAATTCCTTTTTTGCTACTTTTATTTGTGATTCCTCATGCTACTTCAAATGTTTATTGTGTACGGTAATCAAGCTGGCAGTTGATTTTCAGGACAACACTGTGAGGGTAATTGTTCAATTTCTCAAAAAAATCTAATTGAAAAACTGTAAAATCCTGTATTCAGCTAACTGCAATTCTGCTGTGAGCTCATACAGAAAGGAGGCAGGCTATATTGTGACACTGACATCTTGGTGTAATCCTCCTTGATCATGTTCACACAACTTTCACTGTTTAAAAGTTTTAAGGGACCCCATAAATTGTGATTTTAGATTTGTTTTAGACATAATATTACATTCCACCTTCTTAGGAATAGGCAAAGCTCATTTTTATTATTTTATTATTAAGTATGGTTTGTCTCGTAGTTTTACTCGCTGTTCAGGTGCTGCTTGAACTCAAGTACAAAAAAATGTATGTGCATAAATGTGGTTCTCAGTATTTTGCAAGTTTGACTATCATCTGTATGTACAACTAAAGTAATCTTATGATATTGATGTTATTTGAAATTGTCTTAACACACACTGTACCAACACTGCTTGCAAAATATTCCTCTTCAAAGCGGTTAGTTTATCTAATTATGAATTTGCCTGGGCTGGCTTTTTCATGTTTTCAAGAGAGTGCCAGCAAATCTTCAGTTTCACTTTGACATATAGTGTGAATAGGCACATAAAATATCAGGGTTATTTGAATGCAGACAATTTGGATATTTGGGAAAAGGCTCAGTGTCACAATACCATAACATCACCACTACATTCCACATATTGTAGTTGAAGACACCATTCCACATTTTAGCTGACAGTCTGTTTATTATGACAATGTTCCAACGAATTGAATAATCATAATGTTTTGGGAAAAAATGAATCCATGTAAGTTTGTTATTATGCTTGATGAAAATGCAGTTAGTGAATGTGGGACAAAGCCTGTCTGTATATCAGGTATCTACTTGCTTTGTTTTTACTGACAAGTCTTACGGCTTAAAAAAAAAATAATAATTTGCTTCTGTAACAGTCTATTATTACCCAGTGCACAAAAGTGGTTTGTGAAACTTTAGAATAGCTCTAAAAGCGGTGACGAAATGGAGTTAAAACAATGGTTGGTGTAATTCTAGCTTTGTGTTTATGTATCTTAAATCCATTCTAGTTTCACTATACATGTAAGAAATAGGAAAGTGTCAAAGACCATTCAGTGAAATAAAGTTTCGTTTAAGATAATGGACAAAATAAATCTTTTTTTTCCCATAAGATGTAATAACAGGGCACACTACATCTTATTAAAAGCGAAAGTAAGAAAATTTATAATTGTTAATTGAAGACAAATGGCTATACTTAATAATTGTACTCCAGCAAATATAATTATAATCGTGTTTAACTAAACCATATACAGTCGATGCTATGAGTCTTACTAATGGAACTAACTAACTTTGACTAAGCTGTGTACATTTGGAAATGTTTTGCTGGATGTAAATTTGACATTGCAATTGTTATTACAATTTGATAATATTAAAATGTTTAACTGGGAAAACATGGAGCTGTTCCTGTGACAAATAATTGCAAAGGGAAAATACAGTATTTAATATAAATAGAGTATTAGTTTCATGCAGCCGATAGCGAGTGGTCCATTCCTGACCTATATTTTGATGCGGAGTGGTACACCTTTGACCTTCACCCCTCGCTCTTTATACATGGATCATTATGGAGTCACTGCAGAAGAAGGCAGGTGTTCCACGGCCCTGATTGAATGAAAACATTCTTCCGCCACTTGTGGAGAGCGTGAATGATCTTTTCAACCAATACTAACTTTACTCGGAAACATTTAAATTGATCCCTCAGCGGTGTAAGTAACTTTAACATAAGCTGTAACTTTATTTTATCTCCTAAACTTTAAAGAACGACTTCACGCGAGCTTGGTAACATGCTGCAGGTTGCGGCTGCAGCTTATAGCACTGTCAATGCTAACATTAGCCACACCCTTTCTCCCTGGCTAAAACTTTCGCTTAGGTTAGGATGTCATCCAAAACTGTTTGTTGTAATTTATGATTATACACTAAATACACTTCTGGATTGCAATTATGCGATTGAATCATCAAGTTGTTGCGGGAAAACATTTCATTAATATTTAGGAACAGTTGTGTTTGACGTTGGATTTTAGCCTACATAACGGTACTACAGTATTCATTATTTATTGTAAAATCATGATTTAATTTATTTTATTACAACTTCAATCCCAAAGTCAAAAGATTCTGAACACATGTTTTATAAAAAAAAAAATGTATCCATGCATCTAAAAGATCCATCTAGGCAACTGTTTTAGGATTAGTCAATGCTACAGTGTTGTTAAATTATCCTTAAGTTACTTATTTTCATCAGGGTGCCAAAAAGAAAGCTCTAACGTTTTATTATTTTTCTTCTGAAAGAGACCCTCAATAATTGTTGTTGATAATCTTTCCACTGTGCATGTAATGATTTATCAAGCCCCAGCATGAACAGCAGTGGACCGGCTTACCCACTGGCTTCTCTTTATGTGGGGGACCTGCACCCCGATGTGACTGAGGCCATGCTGTATCAGAAGTTCTCTCCGGCGGGACCCATCACGTCCATCAGGGTCTGTAGGGACATTATCACTCGCCGATCTCTGGGATACGCCTATATCAACTTCCAGCAACCAGCGGATGGTAAGAAAATTCAACAGATATGGCTGTGTGCATAAGATGCATGAATAACTATAAATTCAGACGACTCAGCAGGTTACCAATACGATCATTACTTAACTACCTAAAAACTAAACATACTGAAATCAAATTCGATGTTGCAGAATTGGGCCTATTATATAATAATACAAAATTAATAAAAACAAGGCCACTGACAAACAGATTTCAAAATCCAATCATTCAGAATTATGCATTTTTAAAAATGCATTACAAAACTTGTTGCATTTTTAAAAATTTAGCATTGTTCTATACTTCTTGAAATGAGTACTCTGACTTTAAACATGCATATTGTTGTTCTAGCTGAATGTGCTCTGGACACAATGAACTATGACGTCCTTAAGGGTCGACCCATCCGAATAATGTGGTCCCAGCGTGACCCAGGACTGAGGAAGTCTGGAGTTGGAAACATTTTCATCAAAAACATGGATGAATCCATTGACAACAAGGCACTCTATGACACCTTCTCTGCATTTGGGAATATTTTATCCTGTAAGGCAAGTAAACTGCATTGTACCAAAAAAAAAAAAAAATATTTTATATGAATCAGCCAACCATTCATTATTGGTCTAAATCCAGCATCCTTAACACTATATGACATGACTCCAAAAAAAAAGTGATATGATCCACACTGTGAAAACACATTTCACATACAATATAGTACAGTTGTTTGAGTAACATTGCTGTGATATAGACTTCAGCAGACTTGGAACACCACACGCAGTCTAGTCCTGACAGTTTACTTTGCATTAATCCATGCATTAACTGCATCTTTTAAAACCGCAACTGCTAGATTGCTGTAGAATGCAATAAACAGAATGATTAGCCATTAAAAAAATGCTCTTATTGAAAATAGTGCATGTTTCTCAGGATGTCTTGCCCCACTCCTACTACAATTATTATTACAATTTGTTTTTAAGCTGATTTCTTTTTGGACTTTGTGCTATTGCAGGTTGTTTGTGATGAGAAAGGATCCAAAGGCTACGGGTTTGTCCATTTTGAAACTCAGGAAGCTGCAAATCGAGCCATAGAGACCATGAATGGGATGCTGCTGAATGATAGAAAGGTGTAAGTGATTCTCTGAGTTGAAGTACAGCCATCACTACTCTGTACTGTTTCTTTGGTGATTGTTGTAGATGAAATTTCATGTTTTATGCCTAGTAAAGGTACATTCAGTCGAGGATCTGGCATGGTCATCTCAAACACTCCATTTCTGACAGACTCTGGTCAGGTTCCCAAGCTTAGGTCAGAAAATACAGGAGCCACGGCTAGGTTTGTGTTTCTGTTCTAGTGTGAACAATCTGATGTGTCTGCTGCATGGAGACACTTACTAGCAGATACAGTTCATGTGCTTGTTTTTGTCATGCATGGCAGTGTTTTAGAAGGACTAGCTACAACTTTTTCATTAATTTCTACAGAAACTGTAGTCTTGTCTAGGCTTGGTTTGATTATTTCTAGGCACGACAAACAGGCACAGGTTAAAACAAATAAGACCTGTTAATTTTCTTCACTAAGCGTGTAGACAGTTTTTAAAGTATTTCTAAACAAACTCAAGTGCAGTAGCAAATGATAGATTTAATATGGACACCACTAGCCATTCTGACTCTAGTATCCCAGGGCTGTGATTGGTCAGACAAGAAAGCAAAGATCATGTAGAAAACAGTGAGAGAGCCTCATATGTTGCCAAGCTGCAGTGTGATGCATGTGCTTGCCTTTTTCTGCATGGTCACATTTGCATTGTCTTTATATTTTGATTAAATTAGAAATGTATGACTTTAATGCTTGTTTTGATCTGTAGTTTTGTGGGTCATTTTAAATCCCGCAAAGAAAGAGAGCTGGAGTATGGCACAAAATCTATCAAATTCACCAATGTGTATGTTAAAAACTTTGGTGACAACTTCACTGATGAGAAACTCAAAGAGGCTTTTTCTGCATTTGGTGAGTTTCCTTACTATTTATTTGGTATTTTGCTGCTCCTTAGTGCATACCTCTACATGTTGTCATGCTCATAGGAAAGACACTGAGTGTGCGTGTGATGAAGGATGAGAAGGGTGTGTCACGTGGATTTGGATTTGTGAATTACGCCTATCACGATGATGCTCAAAAGGTTAGTCCAATCTCCTACACTGTCCCACACCCATGTTTCAGTGCCTATTTTGAAGGTTCTGCGACTCGTAGGCTGTCGATGAAATGAATGGAAAAGAACTCAATGGCAGAATAATTTATGTGGGTCGTGCTCAGAAGAGACTGGAGCGCCAGGGAGAACTTAAGCGCAAATTTGACCAGATCAAACAAGACCGAATCCAGCGCTACCAGGTACCACAACTTCACCCTGTATGCTGTAGTGACTTTGAGTTTTGTATTGATTATTGAACATTTCTCCTTTAGGGTGTGAATCTTTATGTGAAAAATCTTGATGACACCATAGATGATGAAAGACTCAGGAAGGAGTTTGCTCCTTATGGTACCATCACCAGTGCAAAAGTGTGTAAACTGAGAAGACACTCAGAAACCATATATTCTTCAGGGTTTTTCAAACTTGTCATGGTCCCATACTCAGACATTTCAGTTCCAATCAATTCTGTGTCTCTCACATTTGGTTGCAGTCAAATTAAAATGGTAATGGTTGCAGTTATTAAATGGCCAAGCCTGGGTAAAATGCCCTCTGCAAAAAAGATTTGACCTCTGCTAATGTGGTTCTTGTATGAATTTATCAGATCATATTTCAGTGTTCTCTCAGATTCATGCATTCTTCTGGATTTGTTTAAAATGTGCACTATGCAGAAATCCTGATTTGAAATTAAATTAAATTCACAATAATTGTCAGAAAATCACATCTAGATTTTGACACAAAATTTTGCAACCTATGTTCCATCTTCTCTACTGAGGCGCCAATTGTAACTGTGTATATCTTCTGTTTAGGTAATGACAGATGGCTCCCAGAGCAAAGGGTTTGGATTTGTGTGTTTCTCATCACCAGAGGAAGCAACAAAAGCTGTAACTGAGATGAACGGGAGAATCATTGCCACCAAACCTTTGTATGTGGCTCTTGCTCAACGTAGAGAGGAGCGGAAGGCCATCCTGACCAATAAATACATGCAGAGGATCGCATCCATGAGGTCCATGCCCAGCCCCCTAATCGACTCCTATCAGCAGGCAGGATACTATATGACTGTACCGCAGGTGGGCAGTCAACAGTGTCACTGGTCATCTTCAAGGGTGTTTCAGAATGATAATTCTCTCACCAGTCATGCAGCACTTTTATTATAAAAAGTTGCACAAAAGTGTACCCATACCCATAAATCTTATGCTTTTTCCCCATCTTTTAGCCCCATTCTCGATCCTACTATAACCATGGTGCTATGAGTAACATGAGACCAGTTCCTCGCTGGGCTGGACAACTGCCCAAACCACAGGGTGAATTGTCTTTAAATATATATCTCTTATAATTAAGAGTCTAAATTATTATTTTTTTCTTTTAGGACCATATTCATCCCAGTATAACACTGGTCCGCGCCGTGGATCTATTGCTACTGTTAAACAAGCTTCCACCCAAGTGCCACATGTCATCTCTGGAACTCACAAAACAAGTATGTTTCTGCAATCACATCAGTGAGACAAATCCTCCTTTTATTTTATTTTATTTTCAGACAACATTGGGACCCAGACTATAGGAGGGAGAGGTGACATGGGTGTGGGCAGGAGTAACCAGTACAAGTATTCTACTGGAGTGAGAAACCCCCAAGTGGCACAAACTCCTTTAAAAAGAATGCAGGTAATGCATGAAACAAACTGTAGATGAGGTATAAACAGATTATTTGGAGAACATTATTAAAAATGTGGGAGTGGGTTAATGAAGGGGAATGGGGAAGTAGTTGTCACAAGTGAATCCTATGACTTTAGGGCCAGTGTCTCGTCTCCATGATGCTTCAGCTATGAGCAAGGCACTTTACACAAGCAAAGTCCATGAACCTTTTATGTGTAATTAAATCACATTGATCCTGTTTTAGGGTAAGTCTATGATGGAGCCTGTGGGTCACATGTCAGGTCAAGAGCCTCTGGATGCCACCATGTTGGCATCAGCTCCTCTAATGGATCAAAAACAGCTTCTGGGTAGGTATACATTGTGTACATGTTATGTTGTCTGCTTGAGTGTATTCTGATGTGTGTAATGCCCAGGTGAGCGACTCTACCCCCTGATCCAGGCTTATCATCCAAACCTGGCAGGAAAAATTACAGGGATGTTACTGGAAATGGACAACACAGAGCTGCTGCACATGCTCGAGTCCCCGGAGTCCCTTCATGCCAAGGTAATGTTTGGTGGGAGAGTTATGTCCTTCACATTTTAATAACTTTACAACCCTATTTATTTAGGTGGATGAGGCAATTGCTGTTCTTAAAGCCCACCAAGCCAAAGACCTATCTCCAAAGTAGAGGCTATTGTTGGCAAGTTTGCCCTTTTGAAAATGTAGATCTAGACTTATGAGCAAGTGCCCCATTTCTAACTTTGGATCTTTCATGCTTTGCAGAAAGTTAACTGTTACTGGAACAATACTAAATATTGTAAAAAACAAAAAAAAGTTAAAGTTGGTAAAATATTGAAGTGATAGTTTTGTTGTTCCAAACTTTTGTTAGAATAAAGTTGTTCAAAAAGCAAATAAAACTTGTCATTTGGTCCAGGCTTCCTTCCACCAGTATTGAGTAAACCTTTTTGGAAACTAAGATGAGGCCTCCTGATACCTTCATGTACTGAAAGATTAGTTGAGCTGAATTCTTAGATGGTGTGCAGTAGCTGTTTATACTTTTGCAGGTCTCAAAGTACAATGTCTGATTAATTTACAAAGCAAATTTATTTTGGCATTTAAGGCCTAACCTAACAATCTGAACAGCAAGTACTTTAAACAATTTATAACTCAGACTAATTTCAGGTTTTAGACAAATCAATGCACAGCTGAGTACATAAACTTGAGGCATACTCATTACACACAGGCAACCTTTAAACTGCTGCCGTCTCACTGAAAACGAGGTATATACACATTCTCATTGTTGGATAGTCCAACTATCGCCGGGAGGGCATCAGGAGCATTGTTGCCGTCACTGAATCAGGAAACAGGCTGTGGTAGGTTGGCAGAGGTACATATGCAGCAGTGATCATTTTCCCTAAAAAGGAAAGAATTATTTCATTTGAACTTTGTTAATCAGGCAAGATGATTCAAGTTTGAACAAACCTGCAAACCAACGTCCGTGAAGCGCATTTACAGTAGCCATAGCTGCAGGGATTGATGGGCATTTGACATACACGTTACCCTGAAGAGAGACATTATTGTATCAGAATTGATACAACTGAAGATGACTTGTGCTTGTTAGACATGCCAACCTGTTAACATGATCTGACTTGAGCTGTGACTAAAAGCAAGAGACGGGCCTTAACCTGCTGTCGGGTGCGTGGTTTTTGTTCTGGTTACAGGCGTATCAACTTTCTAATGCAAGAGTATCATGCAATCTTATTTGCAGAGTATAGCCTCCTCTCACAAAAGGCTCAGCAGCTCCTCCTTGGGTTGCTTTGGTTTTGTGGAATTTGCATTTCAAATATTTCTACCCAACATGTGTGTAGATAGTATTGTGTTTTGTGATTGACGTGTTACTGTTGGGTGCAATTTAAATAGGTTTATTTAAACTACCAGGCATATAGACATGAATGATTAAACATTTTTCATTGACAATTATAATTCTTCTAAAAAGGACAGTGAGTTGGACCACAACTTTGACTCACTTGAGGGGAGTTTCTGTCGACATAAATGTGAACAACACCACCATGTTTGTTGCACTCATCAATGACGTCATCTTGAATCTCTGTGGCCCAGTTTGGATCATTTTCACTACAAGAATTGAGACATTGATTTTAGTCCAAAGATTAAGTAAACAAATATTTAGTAGTTAATCTTACGCTTGTGGGTTGAAAAGGTTGGACAGCTGAAGACAATGCGTGGCTATTGGCTGTGCTGGGAGGTTCAAGGGTTGAGCAGGAGGTGGAACCCCTAAAAATAGCATACATACATCAATTATCAATCATAATACCCATTTAGTAAGTTCAGTTTATTTAGTTCATACCAGTAACTGGTGCGTTCCCAAACTGTACAGACCCAGTCATCTGTAGAGCTTGCTGAGCGGCCGGTGGGATCTTCAGGCCAGTTCCTGTTGAGAGAATCAGTGGGGAATGAAAACAGTCTATAAACTTACAACTGACAAGATTTTTACTCAATATAATTAAGCGCAAACCTTCAGCTAGCCGAGCCATGAGCTGTAGCCGTCCTGTGGTACCCAGGTCAATGCCAGTTCTTTCAAGTTCATCGTTGTCCAGGAAGGAGCTGGCCATTGAATAGTCTGAGCGCTCTGTAACATGTCCCACCTTCATTGGACGTCCTGCCAACTCAAAACCATTCAACTGCTCCAGGGCTTTTTTGGCACACTCTGCATCTGCAAACTATTCACAGCCAAAACACAGTAAGCAAACATTTAAATAAAAACAGAAGGAGCCATCAGTAATTCTTCTACTTACGGAAATGAATCCATATCCTTTAGATCTTCCGGTCTCACTGTCCATCATAAGTTGTATTGACTCAATCTGTAGGAGATAAATTAAAATAAGATTTAAAAAAATTCAACATGCAAAATTTTGACTGTATAATAATACTGGGACTGACTCTTCCAAAAGGCTCAAAGATCCCCCGAAGCATTTCCTCGGTGATGTTGAAGTGTAATGACCCCACATACAGCCGCATCGGACCCATACTGCCCCTCTGAAGTGCATTAGCAGCTGCAGCAGCTCTGTTCTTCTCTGCCTGTCAAAGCAAAATACAATATAAATGAATATAACGGCATAAATCACTTGTTAAAAAGCTCTTGACCTCACACACTTACCTGTGAGGCCTGTACAATAATAGGGACTCCCAATAGTCTTTGGCCAGTTAGTCCAATGGCAAGCGGTACAGACGATGTTTCTACAAACTCTATGTAGGCAATGCCCTTTGACCTCCTTGAATTTCTGTCAGAGATTATCCTTACATCCCTGACCTGCAAATGAATAATAATTTAAACATGTTTTATGCAAATGTTCATGAATCTTGTGTCTGAAACTCACTTTTCCAACGGCTGAAAAGAAGTCTTCTAGATCACGAGCACGGATTCGTGCTGCCAGTTGCATGCAGAAGACTGTGCGCGCATCTCTCTCCTCTGGGGTTAGATTATCAATAGGTTGCCTTTAACGGGTCAAGAATAATGTTATTCTTAGTTTTAAGTAAAAATAAATAATGAAAAGTTTGAAATATTTATTGCAATTACCTTATGGGACTCTTTTCTTTTTTGATGATGGGACTTCGGCTTCTTGAGTGCTTGCGTCTAAAATTAAACAAATATATAAATATTATTCAAAACCACACATTTACTTTGACAGCACAAACTGTACACAGGTTTCAGTTTCTGAGTTACTCACATGGGGCTCTTGCGTCCCTTGTATCTCCCAGACCGCTCCTTGCTCTTGGAGCGGCTGCGGTGGCGCTCTTTACTGCGGCTGCGTTTGCGCTCACGGCTCCGGCTCCTCTTCTTCCCCTTCTTCCGATCCCTGCTCCGGCTGCGTCTCTTACGAGAGGCCGGACTGCGGCTACGACTCCGTTTTTTCCTGAAACATTCAGATAACATATTAAAATATACTAAATAATCTCATTTCAATTTAATTTTGTATCTGTAGCAGGTTCACAAAAATGGGCAATTTAACAGAACTTACTTCTTGCTATGGTCTTCATGTCCATTAGTATGAGAGGACTTGTACTCATCCTAAGGTCGATAGAAGAACATCAGGTGACGTAGGTGAAACATTGCATGACGTGATGGTAAAGGGGGTGGGGTGGGACAAGAGAAAATGCAAAATATATTCAATTAATAATAATACTAAACAATTAGTGCCATGCCTGGACACTGTCCATCCACAACCCCATAGCACCCAATTCCCAATCCTGAGTTTCTTTTACAAGATTTCAGTAGTTTATTCTCAAAGGGAAAGGTAATCTCCAACATTAGCTGAGTGCAGACAGTAATGATTATTGGTCATCTTCTTCACTCTCACTATTGGGTCGTACCAAAGCATCTAACAGTGCCTAATCACGAGGCCACACAGCCACAGCCTCTAAAAGAGATCCTGTGTGGTTGGAGTCAGTCCAGAGATCTTCACCCCCTGTGGTTCTTGGACTGTATGAGCTCGATGCCACCTCTGTCACACATCTTGCCCTGAAGCAAACAGGGATTCACACTTCTTAGTAATAGTGATGCCCATGGAAAAATATAAAGTAAAAAAAAAAAAAAAAAAAAAGAATAAATCCAATAATTTATCCATGAGTTACTAATGACTCTTTCCTACAAAAAGTATCTTTAATAGTTATACTTGATTGTGTATTGTTTATTCTATTATAATTATAGCATGCAAAATAAAAAGTTATATAAGTAAAAAAAATAATAAAAGATGCTGTTTTACAGTACATCTTTTTGGGCAAAGAAGCAGTATTCATGTTTACATAAAGGAGATCATACCAATGCAAAGTTTGACCTACAGAGAGAGCAAATACATTTTTGAGACATTTATGTGTTACTTGAAAATAGTTGATGTATATAAAAATGTGCATTTGGGTTTCTAGAATAACAACTCTATTTTATTCAATAAATGTAACAACTCATTGTAAAATTGAATACTGCTTCCTTTGCTGGATATGGGCCAATAAGCCATTGGTATTCACCTGGTCACAACCGTTCAGGGCCTGCATTTTCTAGATTTGTTTTGTCCTAAGGTGAACCACAGTACATCAGTATATGCACAATAACTACCTTCCTTTTTTTCACAGTTCACAGTGGTATCAAAGATGAATTCATGGGAGTAGAGGTGAGATATCATTAGGAAGTCTACAAAGAGAGATAGATGTTGATTTATTTATAATTCTGTATTACCATTGAACAAATCTCAAATCATACCACATAAACAAGTTAACATTGTCACAACATTATTTACATATTTAAATAAAGGAGAATATCTAAACTCTCAAACAGACCCTGGCAATACACAGTAACCCACCTTTCTGTAAGGAGCCTCCAGCATGGCCTCCACATCAAAATCATCAGCCATGTTGATCCTGCAGGGAAGATAACACATGATTTATGAGAACAAAAGCCCAACTATGCTCATTAAAGGCGGTTTGCAAAATATGTGTACAGTCTTGGAACCACCGTTGTAAGATAAAGGTTTAAAGTAGTGTTTTTAACGACCATTTCAGTGTTTTTGTTTTGTTTTTCGTTGCTCTGGTGACCCGACCCACCACCCCCCTCCGTGGTGTGGCGAGGCGAAACCTAAGGCCGGGTCATGTGATCATGTGTTAATGCATAGTGAATAAAATGCCAATCATCAAGCGAGATTATCGTTTTACTTCATCGAAATATCTCTTCTATCCAACCACTATCCAACCATCCGCTGTACTGTAACTGAAAGGATAAAGCAAAACGCACCACTTGAAAAGGGAAGGCAAATGCGTCCCAGTTGCGTGGCAAAAGTTAGCAACAATTGGGCGAAGTTGGCCATGATGTCTTCGTGTGCTGCTGCTCGATATACGCTTCCGAGCTCTCATACACGATATTAACAAACAAACGTCGCACAAACTGAAATATTGCAATAAAACGGTACGTAAAAGACACAAATATTACTTCTCAAGCCGTAAATTGCTATAAATTTGGTAACAAAGCTTGAACTGCCAATATGGCCTACTACTAGCAACGCTTCCGCAAGAGCGAGCTTTAGCGACAAGCAAACAGTGGTCTTACCTTCAGATATGGCGACAGTTGTACGAGTTAGATTCGAAAGCAACGGGCCGCCGCCTTCCTGGCAAAGTAGAAAAAGCTATAATTAAGTATAAAATGTCAGTATTATGTAATCCTTTGTGTTTGAGAGTGTGGCAGCGTCGTGACGGTCGAGACGCACAAGACGCACGTCCTCTGAGAACGCCCTTCTTCTTCGGCGTCATCTTCTCCAAACTGGAGGTAGCACAGACGTTTGACAGTGCACTAGCGCCACCAGCTGCATCAGCAAGTAATTACCTTCTACACACAAATGTTTAGTTTATTAATTCAACAATGTTTGTTAGACGGCAAACTAAAAAAAATGAACTAAAATAAACACATGTTTTTTATGTTGGTTATGTTTATTGAACTGATCAACTTAGAAAAACATGTGTTCTTAATGTGAACAAGCTTGCATCAACACAAACATAACTTCAGCCTGGAGGAGGGATGACCTACTGCTTGTCTCCATTAATGTTGTTTCTTTGGTTATTATTGCAGCTGATATCATCAACATCTCCTGGGGGTGATGCTAAATGTAGACTTTGTTCTGTTTGAAGCTCTTACTCAGTCAGACTTTAGTCTGAGCTATTTTAACACAATCAGTTACCAAAAAGAACTGATTTAGTTGAAACTACAATAGGTCTACAATTTGTGATGTTAAAGAAGTCCCAGTTTGTTTGTTTTTTCAATTTTTCATTTTCTTGTTTCATGTGTTGTTTTCTTGAGTTTCTTAAAACCACAAAATTTATACAGTTTATGTTTAAAGTTTTCCAGGCAGTGTTTGATTGTTTGCATTGTGTCACCACCAACATCTGAACATTCTGTCATAAACATACAGCCAGAAACCCCCACTGTGATGTCACTGCAAAGTATCAATAATTCTCCTCTACAATATGGCATAATATCTATCTATTTTCATAGAGAGTGTTCTGATTTATGGTTTTAACTTTCCATTTCTATATAATCATGTAGGTGATGTTCCACCTCCAGAAGGTTACACGCTATAGGCTATCCGTAATAATTTAAATGCCATTTATACAAATATATCAAATTGTATACGGAACATTCATAACACAATATTACATATAACATATTAATCAATCAATTAATCAATAAATCATTCAATTATCCTGTAAGGTCTATTTAATTAAATAATATATATATACAAATACATTTAGCTTAATGCTTAAACTGGTTCGCCAATTTACCTGTTGATGTGTGTTTCAGTCACTTTGACTGTGACTTGATGCATTAATCATAGGTCTAGTTAAAAAAATAAAATAATAATAATAATTATTATTATTATTAATAATAATAATAATAATAATAACTTATGAGAGACCTGATACATGCTATAAATAGGCTCGCCTATGTTTTAAACTTGTTTTTATTATAATCCCTGGTAAACTTATTAAAAATTATTATTATTTATTTATTTTCTTGATTGGCATGCACTTAGGGTCCATTATGCAACTTTGTCCTCACTTGTTGTGGTCCTATTGAGTAGCGCTTCATAGTCATATGGAACATCAAAAAACAGTTCGTCATCAAAACACAGTTCATCCGAAGGAGCTGCAAGGCCTGGGAGTTTCAGGACGAATCCAGTGAAGACCCCTCCAATCACGGACACTCCAATTGTCAGTCCTACTGCTGCAGCCTGGAAAAGGGCTTGTTTTGGGGCAGTCCTCCCTAAACCAGGCACTAACCCTGGTACCAACTGCTTGAGTTCCGCCAGTTTTGGGTCCTTTTCCGCTGGAGCTGTGTGCGTAAAGGTCTCGTACAGACTTGGCCCGTAGACCTCCTCACTGGCCCAAAGAATGGCACAAATTCCCGCTGCGCTCGAAATGAGCCCTGTAAGACCGTGCAAGTTGTGAATGCCACACTGATCCTGGATCCGGCAATGTCGCGCAAGAAAGGGACTTAAATACTTGTAGCCCAGCATACAGGCAGTTGCACCAGCCATTCCCAGCGCATAGGCGACTGCGGGGGAGATCATCATATCCACAGACGCACCCACAGTCACCCCTCCAGCAAGCGTAACATTCTGCACATCAGCCATTGTGAGTTTTCCGTTTTTGTTTAGCATAGATGATAACGCAAAAGCTGTGAGAGTCGAGGCGCTTAATCCAAGGAAAGTATGGAGAATGGCTCTATGTTGGTCATCGCCTTTAAGGGTCAGTGCAGAGTTAAAAGAGGGCCAAAACACCCATAACAACAGAGTCCCCATCACGGACAGTAAGTCAGAATGGTAGCTTGTGCTTTCTTTGGCGTGTCCATTGCTCAGTTGAGGCCTGTACAGAACAAACGTGACTCCTAACCCAAAGTAGCATGCGAAAACATGAATCAAAATTGATCCTCCAGCGTCGTTGATGCGCAGATACTTGAGTACAACCCACTCAGTTGTTCCAAATATTAGTATCTCTAATAATGACATTATTAGCAGTTGTAAAGGGCTAGTTTTCCCAAGGACTGCCCCAAATGAAATCAAAACAACAGCACATGCAAACTCTGCATTGATAAGGTTAATCACACCAACGTGAATCTGACCATTATGACTGAAGTGAAAGTAGCCTTGAACCAAAATAGCCCATTGAATAGTGAAAGTAGCAGTGAGGAAGTTGAAAACCATGCCTCCAAAGCCATAGGTACGATAGAATGACAAAAGGCAACCAAAACCAAGGAAAATCATGACCTGAATGTCTGTGAAGAATGGATAGTCTTTGTACACGGCATTCTCCATTGGGTTAGTTTTGTTGGTTTGAAACAAAGCGTTGGTATGGTCATCATAGGTAACAAAAGCCGCAAAAAGACCAAGAAAAATGCCTTGTGAGATAAATATAAACATAGGCAATTTAACACGGAGATTGGTCCAGCGTTTCTTCATCCTGTCAGCTTTTTCTTGCAGAAATGGTCCAGATAAAAAAGCTGAAAGGTCAAACTCTTCCCCACTTCCTAGAAGCATGTATTTATCAAATATATGTGGCTGAACTTTGCTTGATGTTATAATGAAGGTCTTATCATTTGTTGTTACATAAAGTTCATTTCAGCTTTGTCTTATCTCCTTGTTCACATTTTACTTTCCTAGAATGTTTATGGCTATACAGTTATTACCAAGGTTCATAATGGTGACTTTGTAAGTGAGAACACACAGTACCCTGACTTCTAGTAAAAATAAGACAAACACTATTATACAGTATGTCTTGCTGTCAAATATTTTTTATTTTATACTATTATTATTATCTACAAACAAACACATTTCAAAATATTACTTATATTACATATAAGTCCTACAAAACTTGCAATCAGACAAATGGAAGAAGAAAAAGTACAGATATCAAAGTAAAAATGTACTTAAACACTAAAAAGTTAAATTGTTTTGTGCATATTTTGAGGTCTAAGGCTTCAAATGTAGTGACTGAAGTGAGCAATTTAATTAATCTGTTTCTCTTTGTATATTTTTATTTGCTCAAGCTGCAAATGTGTTAAAAACAAACCACTCAGGCTTTTCAGCAGGTCTCATACCATAATAAATATACTTTTCAGTCCAGTTCAAAAATGTAGTGGAGTAGAAAGTATAAATACCTTCTTTCAAATGTAGTAAAAACTAAAAGTAAAAATTACAGATGCCTAAAATTTTTACTTAATTATAGTGTTTTACTCCTTTGATTTTGTTATGCTCCACCACTGCATAGGAATGTGTAGATGTGACAATTTTAATGGTGTCTATGTAAAATGTACAGCCACTGATTTTGTTATTTTGTTTTCATTTTGTTTAAACAGCAAGCCATTTCTGACTGAATCCTGTCTCTTCCTGTCAATTGAGGCCAGTAAATACAATAAAAATAAAATCATTCTATAACAAATATGTATGTATGCATTTAAAATATGTTTAAATTAAGCAAAACAAAAGTGTAAAACAACAACAGGGCTATCTACAACCTTTTGCAAAATGATATGATATAAACACAAAAAAAAGATGCTACATTGATTCTATTGGAGACATACAGAAAGTAATTTAATGCAATGGTGATCTTTATCCGTACAAACACAAATCTGTTTATGTACAGTTTTTCCATATATTCGTTATTTCATTATATTCAACCATGGCGTCTGTACTCAAGCTTATACAGGTGATCTTTATGGCTGTAATAGATGGACATTTCTCAAACAAAATAAAACAATTCAAATGTGTTTATGATACAGGCTATTATCAAATACAGATACTAGATGTTTGTTGCTTTATTACTGATTTCAGACAAAGACAGTATTGTGTTCTGCTGTGTAATGAGTGTACCGCTAATCAGTGCAATTATTTGTTAATTTATTTCATGTGTTTTTTATTAGTATGGATGTGATAAGGTGTTTCTATTTTTATTTTTTTATTTTTCATTTTTACTGCTGCAGTTTCTATCAAAGTTTCACTGTACGAGAACATTTTATCTACTGTAATATCTGACATTATTCTGGCTGATCGTAATATTTTATGTGATGTTATTGACAAAAACAAAAACAAAACTGCAGCCATTGCCATGACATCGCCATATAAAAGGGTAATCAAATGCTTAACTGCTGTGAGTAGCATGTAGGGACTAGCTTAATTTAAAACATAGAAATAATTGAGACATTTACAGACAGTGAACAAGCTTTTCTTATTCACAAGTGAGCCATTTTGTAGCCGTGGTATAAGAGATAAACAGCATAGAGCCGTGAGTTATGCAGTTTTAATGCACTCCACTTCACTTCAGAGACATGTTAAATGTAACCAAAGAGAGTAAAATATTATATCTAAATAAATCAGAAGAAAAAATTTACAACTATCTAGTTAATTATTCAGACTAACTGCTTAATAATAATGACAATAACTAGCCTTTTCATTAAGACACACAAAAGTGCATGTAGTGTAGCCTCTTCAATGCTCTATTGTTTTGCTGTTTATGAGTAGATTGTTATGACCTCTCTCCCTCCTCCTCGAACTAGTAGGACTCGATTTAGACCTTCAGTGAGCACTTCTAGAAACTCCATATCTGAGAACAAGAATGAAGGAAAGGTTGAGATGTAACTTGAATTAATTTGGAATGTTCTGTTCAGTGATAAGAGGTGATTTAGTGATAAATAAACATAGAAACCCTATACCTCAAGACATTTCAATACATTTTGATACCGTGGTTGAAGTGAAAATACTGCTTTTAAAAAAATTTTTTTTACTTGAATTCACAAAGGATACAGTTTTCTTCCCCGATGCGGTTCCTGGGAGGCCCTGGCATGTTGAGCAGGACCAGTTTGGCCTCCTTGGACTTCTTACTGATGACTTCATTCAGTCTCAGGGCCGTGTGCATGCGCCTCACATCTGTCTGGTTCCTTTAAGAGGAGAGAGAAAATAGTTTAATTTGTAAAGACATGTGGGACACAAAATGTTGCACAATATGTAACAAGTGTACTTACAAGTGTTCCCACTCTCTGCAGCAAGGTCAAGACAAAAATATGCTGATTATCAATGGGAGGACTAGTTACATTAAAGTCTTTGCTTAATGTGAATTATTATTATTTAGACCTTAAAGGGTTGATATCACGCCATTTTTTTCCTCATTAAAAACATATCTGGACTTGTGTTTTGTTTAACACACAAACCCTGCATATTTAGGCTGAGTTCTTGGCCCAAACAGAAAACACTCTTTTCCACCTTGCAATGTGTAAACAAAAGGTAAAAGGTAGCTGTTAACTTAACAAAACCACCACTATATGAACAGAACAGAATATTTTGAGCTTTGGAGATATAGACAGACTAATAATAGGGTTACTCAGACATGTGTGTAAAATTCCTCAGTTGTCCAGGTAGACTTTTCTCAGATTTTACTCAGACATGTGGGAATGAAACAAAACACAACTCCAGGTATGTTTTTGAGGAGGTAACAGCATTATAACAAGGCTTAAAACTCACTTTGCATGATATAGGACCTTTATAGAACACAAAGTCTAGTTTTTATTGCACTAATAAAAATCCAGCTTTGAATTTTATGTGCCCCCAGCTGTTCCCATTTCTTTTGCCGCTCTGTTGGTTGTCTGAAGCTAATTAATGAAAATATCTTCTTTGTATAGTTAAAATTTGTTCCTATTTTCAGATTTACGAAACTAGTCACACTGTTTAAGTCCAAAGTTTTGTTTGTCACATGCAAATACAAGTTTTATCACATCATCCAAGCACAAATATTTACAACTGAGATCCAAATGACAGTGCACTCACGGTTTCATGTTGAAGTTGTCTTTGCCTCCCTCTGTGACCATGTTTGGACTGCTCTCTTGTGCTTTCCCATCAGTCCAGGTACCAGTGCCCCCTGCTGGTGAACTGAGGGAAGTGGGGCTTGCGGGTGTAGATGTTTTTTTGCTGTTTTTACGGTTGGGGACAGCTGCAGACTGGTAAGAAAAAGAACAGGGCATTTGTAATAGTAATGAATTATGGTTATATTGAGTGTTTGTCCTCTGATCCAATGGTTGGCGGTTCAAATCCCACTCTTGACATAAACATCATTGGTAGAGCAGTCAAATCCACTGACCCACAGGTGCAATTCCAGCACTGACAGAAAAAAATGCTGTCGTTGTGTTCTTGGGCAAGACACTTCCCAAGATAAGCACCTCGCCCCTAGTGTCTGCATACACTGGTGTATGAATGTGTGTGTGAATGGGTGAATTCCTTGATGTAAAGCACTTTGAGTGCCTTAAAGGTGGAAAAGTGCTATATAAAAATATGACCATTTACCATTTACCATTTATGTAGAGTAGTCTTAACTGTACCTCCTCCTCTGTGACTGTAGATGACTCGTCTGTGCTGCGTTGGGAGCGAAAGGCTGATGCACTTTTGCGCCTTATGGATCCACGGGATGAGTCTGTGATGCTCTGGATCTAAACACAAAATATGATAGGCCTATTATATCATAAAGATCTGGGCAAGAATTGCAAATTATGATAAAAAGAGCAACATGTTTCATTTTCCTCAAAGACAGACTGTAAAATCACATTTTTATAAAAATGATAAATAAAAAATTCTGTAAAGCACTTTTCAAAACAGTTACAAATTGCTTTACAGTGCCAAAATATACAGACACCCCATAATAAAACAGATAATACAAAGCAATAATACACATAACACGTTTAACGCAATAAATACAATGAATTAATCAATCAAGCAATTTAAAAAAAATGCTACAGGATACGATCAACCAAATTGTTTTTAAGTTAGTTTTAACTTTTACTGCATGTCTGGACAAATGTGTATGTGGTTTACCTCTCTCTCCATCTCAGTCTTTGTCAGTTGCATCTGTTTCAGGATTTGTGAACGCTGCTCCATTATCAGAGTCTTCTCATAAGTGTAGGCTGAGATGTCACTGTCAAGCTAAAAAAAAAAACAATTTCTTATTTTTCATCACATGCTCAAAATAGCTTCAAATGTTAAAGTAGTTTAAACTTTCACCATCTCCACCACTTCGACCATGGCGTCTATTCGGAGGTGATAGAGGAATGTGATGAGATCTTTCTTCATCTGGATGCTGTTGTCATCCAACTGAGCAACAGTGAAAATGCGCATTTTACACTTCCTCCACACCTGTAGCATATCAGAAGCACACAAGGTAAACAAGGATCTGACTCATTCCAAATATTTTGTTATTTTGCATTATTATTAATTTAATCTTTATTAAGGACAAAAGTGAAGACACATGATCCATAGTTAAGATAATTAAAAGAAATAGTATGAAAAATGTAAATACAATACCCCCCCTCCAAATACCAAAATAATCAACACTGTCTTATATATGACCTAATCAGAGGTGGAAGAAGTAATTGATGTTGTTACTTAAGTAAAGTTAAAGTATAGATACACATGAAGAAGTAAAAATATTAAAGTACCTGTTTAGAAATGTACTTAAAGAGTAAAAAGCAAAAGTATTTTGAAGTAATAAAGCTTCAAATTTTGTGATTTTGATAAAGATCTGAGCTGAATTTAGTTTGACAGAAACAACTTAATCAATAAGTATATTTTTATTATTATATTTTTTGTTTGCTAAATTTCTGAACATATTAAAAATAAATCCTCAGCCTTTTCAGCTTGTCTCAGACAATAACAAAAAATGCTTTTTCTTTTGAGTCCTGATGAAAAATGTAGCGGAGTAGAAAGTATTGATACATGTTCTCAAATACATTGAATTAAAGGTAAACATTATATACTTTAAAAAGTACTTAAGTAAAGTACAGATACCTAAAATGTTTAAGTATTTTACTACTTTTACTTTGTTACTTTCCACCACTGGACCTAACAGACAAAGTTTAATGGTGGTTCCTACCTTATGCTGTCTTAATAGAAAGGGCAGGAGCATCAGCATCCCTCCATCGTGAACAATCCACCACACATCGATGTGGCCCTCAGTAAAACGTTCTCCATTTGAGGGATAACTTGAGATGTTTTTAGGAACCAACAGAGCCAGGCTGGAAATTGTTGTTTCCCGTACCACCTCTGCAGAGGATAAATCCAAGGTTAATACAAACTATATGTGTCTCTAAGAATCTTTTGACTCATAGTAATTTAAAGCAAGGTTAGAATATTTGTAATTATTTTAAGCCAGTGAAATCCTTAAAAGGTGCACTGAGTAACTTGTCTGCTGGAGGGTCCATCACCTGCTTTGAGATGCATCTAGAATGTTCCACAGTATGGCCATAATAAGCTATACATTTTTTTCTATATTGTATTTTTGAGCAATAAATAACACCTGCAGTTAAATAAATACAGACTGATTAGTTTAATACCAAATTATGGACAATTTAAACCATAGCATTAACATCGCCATGCAGACAAACAGGTTGTGGACCACCCCAAGAAATGTTACACAGTGCACCTTTAACACATAACTGCTCACCTACACCTTTATTTTGTAGATTTTGTCTGTTTTAAATATTCTGAGTGTCTGGATCCGTGGATGTGGAGTTTGTGAAATGAAAAATTACTTACCAATAAAGTTTCTGAATTGTTGGTTGTATTGTGGCTGTTTCCAGTTATGAGGCCAGCTGACCATCACTGTGTTATGTTTAAGGCCTCCAAGACCCCCGACCTGGATCAGGTGGGAGGTACCATCTCTCAGACTGGAAGAGACCACCACCTGAGAGAAGCCCTTCACCTTCTCTGTCTCCATCAGCTTTCTTAAGGCCTGGACACACACAATAATGTACAACATAACAATATCACTCTCAAAGAATCATATAATCAATATTTGTGCCATATATTAACAGCTGGTCATTATTTTGAATTTATTATTACCATTTATACTTTTGCTCTTTGTTATTATTTGTTGTGATGTATGAGCTACTGTGTCCAAATAATTTCCCTTGTGACTCAATAAAGTTTAACTAAGTCCAAGTCTAAGTCTGTCTGAGTCAGTAAATATGAGTAAAACAGAGCAGACTGACCTGTTCTGCTCTCTGGGCCTCAATGTGGTTGTCCAGGAATGTGCCTTGAACAGAGGTGCCAACGATGGTGAGGCCTTTTCCTGCTTTGAGCTGATTGGTCAGAGAGAGGAGACGAGGCTGCTCCACATTCTGCTCAGAGTCCAAACTCACCAAGACCAGAAGCTGAGGCCTGACAAAAAAAAGAGCATGTTAGCCTACAAAGTGTTATTACATACAGTTGTGTTAAGTGCCTATTGTCTAGTTTAGACCCGACCCTTTCATCTTATTCAGGATTGATTTCATAGTGACAGAAAGAACACACAGAGCTTGATGTAGATATAAAGTGCCCAGACCTCCAGTTCTTGGTGTGTGGTGGGCCTTCCTCAAGTCTCATCAGAGCAAATCGAGCGGCACTGAGAGATATGCCGCGTATTCCATCACCCCACTCCTTCTCAGCTCTGTGAAAAAACAAACAATGTTCCACAAATGACCTTTCTACAATAAACATGATAATAACCAACACTGTACTCACCCACAGAACTCAATGTATTTGTAAATGCAGGTGGCAATGCCCATGGCTACTATGGCATAATACCAGGAACACATGAACATCAGAGACAGACAGAGGCTCATACCCAAGAAAGACAAAGTCCTGGGAGACAATTACAAGACTATTACTTTTAATACTCAGTTACGCAGCGCTAATGTTGTATATTAAGTACATTTGTTTTAAGTCAATTTTATATGCACCTATTTGTTTAAAAATAGATTTTGTATTAAGTCCTCAAAAAGTTTTTGTGAAAATTATCGTTCCGCTATGAGTTTTTCTGTAGATAAAAAAGATATAAAAGTTCACGCTAAAAGTTAAAAAATTTTATCAAATTCACATTTTCCCATGAAGTTTCCAAGTCCAAGGTTTTATCGCATCGCATACTATAAATGTAACATTTGCTTGGTTTGCATGATCTCACCAGTGATAAAACTTGAAGCGGGGCCTCCAGTTTGGAGTTCTCAGTAAGGTTTGTAGGGCACAGGCCAGATTCACAAACATGTAGCACATCAAGAAAAACCTTACAAACAGAGAAGACGTTATGGACATACAACTATTAAATCCACACAAATATTGCTTATTGTTCTCACATAGAGAGAATGGGAGCGACTGAATCCAGAGAGGCGATGAGGATGCCAATCTCACAAATACTGGTAGTGAGCAGGAGGGCCCAGGTTGGCTCACCGTTTGCTTTGCCATGTCCAAACACCTGGTGCAAAACCAGGAACATGCATTTCTAATACACGTGATACAAAGGCTTCCAAAAAAAATCCTCAGACTGTCTGCACTTTTAGTCTGATCAGATCTTGAATATTATGCTAAACATTTACTTCTGAGAATATTCCTCATGCAAGCTATAATTTTCTAGATAAAACTTTAGACATTTGATATTGCAAAAACATTAATACAATAATAGATTTTTTGAATAGCCAAACTCACTCTGAGAAAAGGAATGATTCCGTCTCGAGAAATGGCCTGTAGGAGGCGTGGAGCCCCAGTCAAACTCTGCAGACCTGCTCCACAAGTGGAAAAAAATGACCCAAACACAATCACCCATGGTGACGGCCATGCCAGAGTACCAATGACCAGGTTACCGTTCACTCCTTCACCAAATCTATGGACAAGCGCCAGGATTAGTCAACTGCCAAGATGCACCAAGTGTTTTATTTCATATATTTAAATGACCAACTTGTCTCTCAGGACTACTCCCTCTATACAAGCTCCAAACAGCACCACACAAGACATATCTGAGGTAAAAATGTTAAATCTTTTAACACATTACCCGTGCCCATGATTCATGATATAAATATAATGTAGTACACATTCTTGGGTGGAGATGCCAAGGATACACACTGTAGATGTTGTGGTGATGGCTGCAATTGTACCAATAGGGATTGATTTTTGAGCATCCTTCAAGTCTCCTGACCTATTTGATCCTGCCATTATGCCTAAAACAAAGATAAAGAGTATACAGTCTCATTCTAAATTCTGCAAGGTTAGTATGACATGGTTATTGTTCTCACCTGTTACAGAGGGAAAGTAAATCCCCACCAAAAGTGTAAAAAAGCTGGTAATGTCTGCGAGCACATATCGTCCTGAATTAGTGGTCGGAGTGTCTGGGTCTTGTTCTGACAAAACATTTTTCTTCTCCAACATCATGCCCTTTTCAAGATAGTTACTAAAAAGATTTTCTGAAATAGACAGAATAGATGAGTGATATAGATACAGTTTATTGGTTCTTAAGGGGCAGATTTAAAGGTCCTATATTATACAATATTGACACTTGTGAGCTCTAAGCCCCGTTGTTATCTCCTCAAAAACACACCAGGATTTGTGTTTTGTTTCATTCACACATGTTTAAGTGATCCTTTATGATGAGTCTATCTACATTTATAAAGCTCAACCATGCTCTTTTCCACCTTGTCAAGAACAGGTAGTTTTGAAGTATAGATTTAGAGCATTTAGTAGAGACTTTAGAGTAGAGTATTCAGTAGTGACTGGAAATTTCAGGGCTGAAATGATCCAGATGTTTCTAGTGAAGGTGACTTGGGTTTAAAAACACAGTGGAGCACTTCCTGTATTACCACGTGACATGGCAAGGTGGAAAAAAGTGTTTTCTGTTTGAGAGAAGAACTCACCCTATACATGCAGGGTTTGCGAGTTAAACATGTGAATGAAACAAAACACAACTCCATGTGTGATTGTGAGAAGGAAACAACTTTATAACAGATCAGAAAATGACATAATATAGGCCATTTAAATGCTTGCTTGTACCTGACAGGATGCCACTAGTCACTCCCGGGATGCCTTGAATTTCTGTGACATTGTTGTTATTGAAATATTCATCACATGTGGCATTGAGAACGTCAGAATCGCAAAAGGACAGCCACAGTTTGGTGGTGATTGTCTCATTGTCTATTTCAATTGCCTTTGCACAAACGTCATAACTTTTGGAGAGAAGCGTGCGGTTTCCCAGAAGACACACACTGCAAGAACAGAAAAAAATGAATAAAATGTAGTAAATAGTTCAAGTTCTTTTTCCATTTTTAAATAGTATGGCAAAATATTATAGATCTGGGTACTTACGGGAACAGTGGAGGTTCTATGATTGTATTGATAACTCCAGCATAGACAGCCAAAATGGACAGAATCACACAAGCGAGGAAAACCAGTGCCAGTTTATTCACGTATTTGACCCCCACAAATACCACCAGTGACATGAAGCTCAGGACGATGGTGCCATAGACCCTCATGTTGTTGAGGAGTGCCATCTCTGCCTCTGCTCCCTCCAGGCCCTCCATCTTAAAGATAGCAGCTTGAGGAACTATGTAAATCTGCAGGAGAAAAGTGTTTTTACAGAATTACAGAAATTACTGTTACTGAAATGCAAGCTGACAATGAAATTCTATGTCTGAGGAAATGCACTGAAGTCTTAAGTCATGTCAGTAATGCTGTCAGTACTAGAACAGTTATTACCAACTACGTCACTGTCCATAGATCCCTTAGCAAAAACAATACAAAAAGCAAACTGAAAAGCAACTGCACGTATAACTTTATAATGTCAGAATGTACACTAAGTTTAGTGTTTTGCATCTTGCTAACTGAAAATTCTCTGAGATATGACAACACATTTCTGATCTCTATAATACAGTTGAACCTATATACTGTATAAAGAAGTGAAATAAGGGAGAGTGATGTCACCCAGCGTATGGCTCCAGTCAAATGAACCTCACAAATTCCAGTTCCATATTAGGAATAGGAATTTATTTACAAAATGGTAAAATAAAATGACAAGGCTCACTGCTGCAGTTACAGAGAGAGTCAAGGTGAAGTCAACTGGAAATTACTTGATGGAGCCAGAAGCGTCACCCTTGCTCATTTCCTAATTGGAATTTGGCAGCTAGTGGGTTAGCTATGTCCATTTATATACAGTTTATGGTTGTGACCCACACAAATTGTATTATACATTTTAATTTAAAAGTCCATATTTCATATTTTCTTACCAGTAATATTTCTATACAGCCCAGTATGTACATGGCACCTGCAAATGTGGTCCCCAGATAAAAGCAGATCCCAACTGCTCCTCCAAACTCCGGGCCAAGAGAACGTGATATCATGTAGTAAGAACCTCCAGCTGAAAAACAAACATTAGTTTATTTTAAAAAAAATTTAAAAAAGTCTTCTTACAACAGTATACTTTTGAATGACTCACTCACCTGGGACAACTCCATTAGTGGCAATTGCACTCATGGAAATGGCTGTCAGCATGGTCTGGGGTTAAACAAACAGGGCAGGGTTGGAGACAGCAGGTGGAAATGTCACATAGGAAACAGTGAGGTCTTAAACAAGTAAAATTAGAGAACACAAAACCCCCAGTAGACCAGTGGTATGGTTTAGATTAGACTTGACAAACAACAAAAGTGTTTGGATAGAGGGAGGTTTGGTATTTGAGAGGAACCTTTTTATGTTAGTTTTGTGAGGTCATACGTTAAAAGGTTTTATTATGTTTGTTTTTTGACTTTATGAAAAAAAAAAGACAAAAATATGTAATGTAACTACTGAAGTAACTGGAAAATGTTTCAACAATAGCAGTAAATATCACAAAGTATAATGCAGGGGTGCCCATGGACAATTTGGCCTGTGAGGGGTTTTTGAGATTTTAAGAAGAATCTATTTTGATTCAATTTTGTATTGAAAAAACAGTCAGGAGATGGGAGGCCAATCCTGCCTATTTCCTAACATTTCTTATCAGTAGAACATTTTATTTGCAAATTGTAATAAGGGTAGGCCTGCAAATGCACATTGATTTTGGCCTGCCATGGAAGAAAACTTCTTCATCTCTGGTATAATATTCACATTTTCGATCTACTATGGCTAATGGAGGGCTGGTCTGTGCCTGCTTACTTTTAAACATTTTTTCAAATTGAATTTTGAATAAAAATACATTTAATAGTATCAGTAGTATCTATCTATTTATTATAGATAAATGGCTGATGAGGGACTGGCGTGAATGCTGTAAATTCATAATCAGTGAAAATCTGTGTGACCAGATTGTCAGAGAGGTGTTTTCGGGATAAAGGCCTTCATCTGGGATTTACCATGTCACCTCTGTGCATCTGTGCAAAGCAAATTAAATGGCAACACTCTATACTGTAACAGGCTGTAGCTAATTGAAATGAAATATGTTTATTTTTGTTAGTTATACACTGCCTTTTTTTTATTTGGCAGATGTTATCAAGCATCTGCTAAATAAAAAAGAGCACTGGGTACATTGTATTCTGAGAAAATCTGAATAATCAGATAAGTCAATAATTATATCTGCTTTTTGGTGTGTGTTTATGTGACTAAAAGAATCAAACACATTGTATAGTTGTGTTTGGAAGACAAAGTACAAATAACTTTTAAAGCTGTGCTATGTTTCTATGGATAAGTCATTGCTCTGCCTGGAATGTTCCACAGTATGACATTAAATAGCTCTAAATTAAATTACACTTTGGTTTACTGCTCAGAAATACCTATAAAAACAGGCATTCTAGCTGTGAGCGGAAAAGTTGCACAATGCACCTTTAAAATAACTGTTAATTAACTTTCACATTATCTCTTTCATTTTTGTCTTTATCACATTAATTTGTTTGCATAATTTTCTTTGTCAAAACCTACACAGGCGTGAATAATCAGGAGGAAATCAGATTACTAACATCAGATCTTAATCTGATTAACTCCAGAAATTTGATAAACATTTTCACTGTGCATTTTAACAAAGCCATAATACCACAAATATGACAAACTGACCGTTGAGCAGCATAAAGACGATGATGAAAGAACCCAAAACTCCACCGATTCCTACCATCCAAGTCATTCTTAAGAACAGGATGACCCCAAATATGTTCTGGATACAGGGCAAGTACACGCCCATCAGAGTGCCCAACTGTGGAGCCTGAAGGAACACAACACAGCATTATTATAGCACATAATTTTAAGATATCCGCATTCTCTTTTCTCTCATCAATGTCATGTCCTCTTTCAATACAATTCAATTCAATACAATAATGTCTCTAACTTACTATAATTAAAGTGCTTATATTTTCTGATCTGTTATGTAGTTTCCACATCAAAAATCTACCAGGACAGGAATTGTGTTTTGTTTTATTACCCATGTTTAACACACAAATCCTACATATTCAGGTGTAGAGTTTTTCTATTAAACTGACAACACTCTGTGCCACCTTGTGATTTTATGTGGTCATACAGGAAGTGCTCCTCTGTGTTTTTCTCCATACACCTTTACTAGGCTTTCTTACTCCATAAATCTCTACTGAACTTAAGGTAAAAGGTAGCTGTTAAGTTGAAAACTACCACTTCATGACATCACAAAATGGAACAGAGCATTTCAATATACCAGGTATGTTTTAATGAGGTAGCAGCATTATAATATGATTTAAAGATCACGAGTCAATGTACTGTAATATAGGACCTTTAATGACTGACCTTAACAGGCTGTTTGGTGGCCCGTGGAGCTTCCTCATTGTTCTCAGCCTCCTCGTGCTCCTTGCTGCCTGTTGGTAAGTTTGAGTAATTGGCAAGACTAGACAGCAGAGAGGACACCATCGGACTGGTATCCATTTCCTCCTGCCATTAACCAACCGAGACAAACATTGAAATAAAGAACTTTACTTAGTTTGTAGTTACTAGTTACTACTACAAACCTCAAACAAAGCCATGTTCTTGCCATCATAGTGTTGGCTTTTCTCCCCGTCACTGTTGATGAACGGACTGGTTTCTTTCGGGATCCCATCACCTAAAATGTAAAGTATATTTCTAGGAGTTATAGATTGCATTAAAACAATGGCAACATGTCTTTTTTAACTCATACACATTATTGCTACTTGCTGCAGAAAAAAAGGAAAACACCGCTTATATCAAATATTCCTCTTACATCTTCCAATTTCACACCAGACAATTTGGGTGTAAAATGTTTGATTTGATTGATACAGTATACTTAATAGGAAGATCATGCTGCAGATCTAACAGTACATTGCACTGATGCATAGTTTGATCTCTCCAGTTTCTTCTTATCCTTTTGAATCCCAAAATCATGCACAATGTGCTATAATAACTGAAAAAATCATAGATTAAAGATTAACTGATACCAATCATATTACTGATTACCAATAAAAATCTCCCTAAGAGACAAAAGCAAGTCTTAGATAGACGATTTTTTAAAAATCAACTAAAAAAGGTTTAATTAAACCTTTCACAGTGAAATATTAAAGGTAAAATCCAATTATTAAAATTTATAATTCAATAGACTCAATAAAGTTCTGATCAAACCGAGGCACATTACCCTAACTGACCCCCATCTCAGAAACTCTGTCGTATGACACCCTTTGTTCCTCTAATTGTGTGTTCTGCTCCAAAGAGGCATGCAGCGCAGCTTGATAGTTTGATTTTAAGAAAAAATGAAAACAAGAGCTTTTCCCAACTGAGCATTCCATATATATATTAAATATGTAAAATATTATCCAATTGTAATACATCACAAAATTAAGCCCAATACAAGCTCCCCATAATACAAATTTTAAAACTATAAATTACCTATAAAAGACTTTATTTCTCCATGGGCTTTTGATCCCTGAACCCCTCTCCCTCACTGTGTACCTGCTGCATTATCACATACATCTCCATCAGAAACATGGATGTGACAGTTCTCTGCTGAGACTGCTATTGTGACATTAGGCTGTAAAAAATTAAATGTTATTGTTGTGATTGTTACTGAGGTATTATGTGAAGACCCTTTGGTAATTTATCATAGTTAAAAACATTTGTTAAAAGAGCACTGGTTGAAAGCAGTACTGAGTACCAATTTGCTTCTTTGATGTGGCATGGCTATTACAAAATGGACAGTTTATACCGGCTTTTAAAAGCTTAATAGGGCATGAGCTTTAAAGGATTAGTGGGCAGCTGCTGGAGGTCATGAATGAAGACTGAAATTAACTTTCTGTAAAAGAAAAAGTCATTATTTTCCACATAGCATCAATCATAAGATATGACACAATCATATTAGGGGTTCCCAAACTTTTCAGGAAGGGACTCTCAAAATAACCATGCAACTAACCTAGGACCCCCACCGCAAAACTGGTGCCTGTAATAATTCAAATTTACAACACAATCAGGCTTAACATTGTGTTAATCTGAAAGGTTTGTTGATTAATTTAACCTAATTTAATGTTTAATGCCACTTTTAAATTTTTTTGTTTTTGTTTTGTTTTTTATGCTCTTGCCCAAAGGCTTTATTTATAACAGTATTCTTACTTGAGTATAAGATTTGGTTACTCTTTCCACTGTGTAAGGCTACAAGTGACAAAACTTTATTGTTGACTATATGAAATTATTTGAACACTTGTGTTTCTTGCAGTGCATTAATTTTAATCTTTTGTCCTTCGTTTTTACTTAGGTCTATTGCTTTTCCCAAAATATCCCAGCTTTTCTACTTGCTTGAGTAATTTCTTGGAGTACTACTTTTATTTTGTACTTCTACTTGAGTAATATTATTTTCAAGTAATGTTACTCTAACTTGAGTACTATTTTTAGCTACTCTACCTACCTCTGCTGCAGGTCAGATCTGTGGATGCAGGTCAGATCTGTGGAGAGGCGAGCCTGCAAACTGTAAGTACTGCAAGCAGTTTACTGCCTACTGTCGCTTGAACCATGGAGACAAACAGGTAGAGCACCCGCCCGAAAAGGTGAAAAAAAAAAAAAAAAAAAAAAAAAAGCAGAAATAAGAGTGACCTTGATTAGAAGATGATCACCTCTATTCTCACAAACGCGTGTAGGCTGCAAGAAGTTGGCTATGCAGCTAAATTGTTAAAAGAAGTTTAGCAATGAAGAAGCACAGCGAAGTGCTAAAGCTAATGTGCAGCTAAGTACAGTGGGCTAGTTAGATACGTGACCCTGATAGCATCGTGGGCTGCAAGAGAACAAGAAGATTAAGATGCATGGTAGGATGTTTTTTTTTTTCTTGTAGCATTTTATGTTCTGTTGTTTTTTACTATTGATTTGAATGTAATTTATGTAAAGTGCGATAGCTAACCACTCCAGCCAAACTGCTGGTTTGAGAAAGGGAGTCTGTCTCAGACACAACCTACATTATTATTACGCACTCACTTCATGGAGACTTGCATCCCGTATGAGGACAAAATACAAAAACCAGGTCCCAGTTACTTAAACTGTTTATTTTTAGATCAGTAACGCGATTTAAAATATTGTTAGTGTTAATAGGTTAATGTTGTATGATTTAGGTCAGGAGTGTCCAAACTATGGCTCAGAGGCCAAATGCAACCCTCAGACCAAATTCTGTTGGCCCCTTAGGCCTCCTGCTGAATTGGCCCAAATGTAGGGTGACCAGATGTGGCTATTTACCCAGGACAATCCCAGTTTTGAGCCCTGTTTCCTCTGTCCCAGCAGATTTATCCCCAAACCAGTGATTTTTCCCAGTTTTATACAAGAAATGTCCCTGGTGTTCCTGCCAACATTGTTATTTGTTTGGGTAAAATACAGAAAAGATGATTAAAAATGACCAAAACACAAAGAAAATGTGACTAGACTGACTCACGTGTTAGTCATGAATGGGGCGAGTGCAGAACAGTTTTCCTTAATTACGCACTCGTTTCACAATTTTATTATTGCAAACCACCAATCCCAGTTTTTGATTTTGAAAATCTGGCCACCCTACCCAAATGATAATATACACTTTTTACAGTAGTTGTACCTCTACGATCTCAATAACAACAGTCCTTAAATTTTTGTACTATGCACCATTCTGAAAGGCTTGTAGTGATAATTGATAAGTGGCCTTCCAGTTCAAATATGTTTCAATATGCTCCCCTCCATGAAAAAAGTTTAGACATCCCTGATTTAGGTCAAGATTAGGCAAGTAATGACTTGAGGTTAGGCTCAGACTCCAGGAAATGAGTGAAGTCAATGTGTCTGTGTATCTGTGTGTGTTGGTGTGTATGTGTCTATGTGGGTGTCAGCCAGGCAGCAGGTTTGGCTCTTGAGAGTCTGAAATCAATTTACACTTTTTCAGCCAGCACTGGTCCGGTGGGAAGTGTGTGTTTAAAAAGTCTCATGTCAGGCTTAAACTCAGCTGAGAAAAGAAAACACTGTGACATCCAGTCAGCAATCCCCCAAAGGAAAACACAGAGCATTCATTTAATGGTTTGTGGTTATTGTGGGTTATTATCTTTACAATGTTTAGTTAATCCCATTCTTTAAAATGTAAAGGCTTTGACATGATGATTGTACAGAGAATAAACCCAAATAAGAGCAATTTGAAATGCTGCATTATGTAGTATTACACTCATGATATAAAGGCTTGCCTGTGCCGGTCAATAATTACATCACATTCAGTAAGAATGGAAGCAGTCTAATAAGACAAGGTGAAATGCAGTGTTGTCTTAAATGTCAGGACAGTAGAGTATACGGAGTACTGGGCTTCATGTGACTGAACAATAGAATAAAGTGACTTCACCATAAGTGTGTGAGTGCAACATAAAGAACATTATTACACAAGATGCCCTGGCCTCTTTAATCCAACTTAAACAGTGTGACCTCCTCACTCTTTATATGGATTATTTACTATTTCAAACACTCTTTTGAGCTGCTATTGAGATTTTGTTCAAGGGATTACACAAATCACTGATGTGGCTTAACTTGTGCAGCCTGCTCCGGTCACCTACAATCATGCAAGAGTTTAAACCGTGTGTATGACATGCTGGACTTGAACCATAGAGATTATAGATTATAGGTTGAAGTGCATTTAGCAAAACTTACAAAACTAATTTTTATTGCCGCATACCCGGTTGAAAAAAAAAAGAGGGAAGAAGTCATCATTCATCATTAATGATGGGCAATGTATCTGCAGACTATGGGCCAGATTTATTAATTGTGTTCACTGTTCTGCTCTCTGTGTACTTTTGTGCTGCTGCCTTGACCAGATTGTAATAAATGAGAACTGGTTTTCAATCAATCTAATTGGGTAAACAAAAATTAAATAAATGGAGACAAGCGGGTGACAAACCCTTCACCTGAAAACTTACACAAGCACCTTTAACTGTAAAAATATTTTATACTACTCAGTTGAATGTTATCCATATTGAACCCGTTAATGCTTTGTATTAACGTATGGGCAATCAGGAAAATTGATTCAAACACCAATGGATGAACCAGCAACATCTGGCCAGCAGATTAGTGCAAATTCAGCTGCCATGTGAGGATGAGTGGCATATGAATGTAAAGTAACAAAAAATATTGTAATAATTATGCCCAAGGCTGTGATTAATATTCTACAATGAATGTAAATATGAAAAGCCTATAGCTACATATTGAAGTAGTATTGAGTTTCAGTTCAAAGTACTGTCAAGAAAAAAAAAATCCTCTGGGAAAAAAAAAGATAATAATAAATAATAATAATAATAAATTGTAACATTAGATTGCTATAGGTCTGGACTGTGTGGCAGATCAAAATCCTCATATTGTGCAATCACTATTTCTGAAGCAATGTTTTTGTTATTATCAATAGAAATCAAAATGGCTTTATTAATTTCATATACTGGTCCATGTCTCTATGCTGAAGTGTGTGTGTGTGTGTGTGTGTTTTTTGTTGGCTTAATCAGTGACATTTATATGAGCTGTTTACCCTATCTGCAGCTGATCCAGATGTTATAGCTGACTAGCAGTTCAGTTTAAACCCACTGACTTCAAAGTGTGATAAGTGGCTTCATGCCTTTATGGGGTGTGTTAAATGTGGACTGTGAAGATCATAATCCTAAAAAAAAATACATGATTGTGGTTAGTCACAATAACCCAAAGGTAATATGTAATGTGGTTAGATGTTTAGAGTTCAAGTTTCATCTGGAACAGTCAGCGTTAACTTGTATGTCCTCTCCTGCTATGGCATTTATGATCTTTACTTTGATTTGTAGATAAAAATGTGTCTTACTGGTACAAAATTTCAGCCTTAACTTTTGCCAGTTCTTCACACAACTGTATAGACTAATCTACCATTTAAAAACTGACTGGAGAGACTAATCAGTGTTTGATTCACAGTTTTGTTTGAGGCCTAGCTGCCTGTTGGGCTGGTAATGAAGAGGATACTTATTCATGGACTACTAGTGCCTTAATTTGGTTAATATCTTACTTTGGATTGACTTACAAAGAAAGCAACTTTTTTGGCTTGTCATTTGCATAACAAATCAGCACAGTTAATAACATTTTGCTAGTAGACTTAAATTCATTCCTCTCCAGATTTCCCCTTTATAAATGTTTAAATTAATATTTTACACTAAAACTAGACTAAAGGATAGCACAGCACTCAGCTCTGGATCTGCGCGTGACTGGGGGAAGCCCTCATCTCAACCTCAGGCATGACTCTGAGCTGGGACAGACACATTTCCACAGAGAGGAAATGGAGTGTCTAGAGAATGACGGTTTACACTGAGGAGGTGAAGCAAGACCTACTTTACAATAGCATGTTAGCATGTGAAACAGATTGGCTCTCATTTGCTTCACATGTAAAGAAAGACATGCCATGCAGATTAGATCTCAACAAATAATCAAAATAGTATGCACATATTATTATTTGTGTTTATTGAAATAGCTATTAGATTTACCCATAAATAAAATGATAGAAAAATTGTAGTAAACTATTATTATTTTATTATTATTATTATTGTTATTATTATTTTTTTTACATTTGTCAAGCTATAGTTGCTTTTTGCCTTGGCTGAAATAATAAATGAAATACTTGCATCACAAATAATAACATTTGATTACTGTTAAAATTGTTCATACAGTTGTTTTCCAGCCCTGACAAGAAGCACATGGCTCCTGTCACTCAGTCACACATGCAACACACACCTCCTTCTGAGGTGGTGTGTTTCATCACTCACCCTGGATGTTGGGTCCCCCCTCTCCCTCCTCGCCATCTGTCTTGTTGTTCTGCATCCTCTCCCCTCCTCTTGCAGTGCACTATGGACACCAGTGTGGAACTGCTCTCTTCAGACCAGATCTCTTCTTCTTTTGCTTGGTGAAAAGCATCAGACAGGAATGCAACGGGTGATCCTGTCTCTGTAGTGTTGTGTAGTCTACAGAGGAGTATGCTGCACTCTCCCATGCACGCCCCTGTGTGTCTGTACGCGCACTTGCCCCCAGTCAGTTAAAGCCTGATGACTGCATTCATCATGTATTCAGAGGGTATTATCTGTTGGGTCCCTCCCCTCGTCCCTCACGCATGTTCATCATCGTCCATCTCATCAGCAGAGAGGGATTGACAATCATGTCAGCGCAGCCTTCTCAGATTAAGCATCTCTTTTGATGTTCTTTTCAAACCAAAGTCCATTTCATTTCAGTGCACTCATACTACCTTTTGTTATCATTGCCCCCTAAGTCTTTTTTTTATGTTCTACTCACTCCATTATCTGTCCCACCGCTCCAGGCTGTACTTTTATTATGCTGCATTCAAGCACATGCCTTCCATCGAGAATGTACACTGGTTAACCTTTACAACTAAGAGAATTTCCAAATACAGTTACTAGAAATTAATCATGTCACAATGTGTTGCTCACTAAACATTTAAAAATATATTACAAAATCATCTCTTTGTGCAGGTCCAAAGCCTGTAGTGTGATGGCTATGCAGGAGAGGGCATAAAACCTTTCAAAATCCATATGCAAATCACTGCACATCAGGAGGCCCATGATTTATTCTCGTGACCCCAGGTGGAGAAAGGGTACAAGGCTATAAAAGTTGACAATGATAATTGTCTTCCAGTTTGTGCAGATGAATTGTGAGGTGTGGAGTTGATGTTTTCACCAATGAAAGTATTATTAGAACTGTAACTTATTATTAGTGAATTAAGTAATATATTATAGTACACTATAGTATAGTATATCTAAATTGATCAGTATTATTATGGAGTCAAACCACTTACCCTCCTAAAAGAGTAAAATCACATAAGTTAAAATTGAGCTGTTTTTGAACCCTCTGGAGTATAAACAAAAGACCAGACTCAGATTTACTCATAGAAACCCTAGATTTATTCCTTCTTAGTTATTTTGTGGTATATAAGGAGTAGTACAGCTGCAAAGCTGTGCGTATATTAGACAAGAACAAGACAAGAACAGAATGGTATGAGCAATCATTGTCAACAGCCAGATGATAATAATATTTCTTATGATTAAAAATGTTCAAATAATGCATTTATTTATTTTAGCAAAATGCCTGAGACACTGTGCCTCCTCACTGTTCTGCTGCCAGAGTGAAATGTTTTCTGGTCTTGTGATTGGCAGGGGGCCTGAGAGGCATCTTCATCTGAGCCAAAGCGGCTTTAGCTCTTAACCCTGGTGCCCTCCCTGTCTGTGCCCTCCCTCCAGCTGCTGCTGCACATGTGTCTGTCCCAGTCTGTCAGTGCAGTCTCTGCAGTCTCTGCACTCATTCACACCTTCTGGTATCAGACCACACAGGTACATCTAAGACACAAAGCAAAATAACCCAAGACTCAAAATTCTCACTGTGAGAATGCAGAGGATTTACAGGCTTTTCATGGTCTCATTCTACAGATTAAGTCCATGGGGTGCCACTGTGAAAATCCACTGTTAAAATCCACATTGATCTGCTCTATTTCCCACCATATTTGGAAGGTACTGAGTTTTACCAAAGTAAGAGTAAGCTACTTTATTTTTTAGTAATGTACTCTCAGATTCAGATTTTTAGTGTGGAAAAAGGGCTCATCATAGTCTCTGTTCGATATATATTTTTTAAACTTTCTGTAAGTTGTCCCTTGCCTCTGATGAGTTAACTGAATTGGTCTGTATTTTGATCTGCTTCTAAAACACGTTAACCTTGTTAAACCTGTTAACATGTATTGCAGAGGACATGCCCTGTGATGGATTTGTTAAGTCAATTAAGTCGATGCTTTTTTTGCGACATGAGCAAACCAGAACTAAATGATAGTTTACAGCTTTCCATGTAGCTCTCTCACAGTTGGTAAAATACAATCTAAAATTGCACTCATTTAAATTTATCACAGCTAACATGGCATCCAATTAAACATCATGAACCACACATTTTATTTTATTTTGCCCTATAACCTCATAGTCATTTTAGAGGATTGTATCATTTAGTACTGCCTACTTACACTTGTCAGAAGAGCCATCCTAGCGGCTGACCAAGTGCTATATGCAGGTTTTCTTCAACTCCTTCAGGGCCATGCTTTGTCATTATTGGCAATGCTGTCCTGGGACGAGGAAGACTTACAACTGGTATGGGACTGAACAGAGCAGAGGGGAGGATCAACAAAAGACAGATGCTGTTTAACAAGGTTTTTTCAAATAGAACAGTTTAAGACCCAGATGACCTCCCCAAATAATACATTGCCCTCTTAGACCCTGCCTCAGAACTTGTGTTACGCTTCACCTTTTCAACTTTAGCCTTCAGTTGATACTCTCAAGTGATAGAGCCACATGTGGAGTGTTGTAATGTTGTCACTGCCAATTTGCTTGTGACTGACAAAAGCAAATTGTGATCTGTAAATTTTTTTGGTTTAGTTCTGGGATGGAGGACCATAGTGGGACAGCAGTCATTTAAATTTAGATTCAGTTAGAGTGTTTGTCCATGAACCTGTTGTGCCTAGTGCCATTGTGTCTTTTGGCAAGATACGACACACTGTGTGTGAAGTACCTGTGTTTAGTGGTAGTTGGCACAAATTGGCAGTCTTGCTTCTTTTAGTGTACCACAGAGCAGTTGTGGCTACAACAGCAACTTAGTCCCACTGAGTGTTGTAAAGAGCTATGGGTGCCTCGAAAGGCACTATATACTTTACTGATGTAAAACTATAGTGATTATTAAACACAGGTACTATTCCATTAGAACAATTATTTAAAAAAAATATGTAAACCTGAATACACTATAAAGCAAACCTAATATATCAATTTTAAGCATTTTATGTTTTTTCCCCTTCTTATTTACCCTCTCAGAGTTACATTTGGAGTGATTTTTACATGTCTAAGCAATATTTAAGTGTGTATATTAAATGTGTCATTAAATGTCAAGGTAACCTCAAAATGGGGTTTAATGCATGTAATTAAAAAAGCATACTTAAGGGTTGAAATGGGAAAGCGTTAGATATAGAAGTGAAATATTTAGGATAGGATTTTGTTCCATCTTGACTTTCACAACCCAAGCACGTCATAATGTCACCTTCAGCATAACACGCAAGATACTCCCAAAGAGCCACTTCACAAAAGTATAATATTTCATTTTTACACATACATTTTACACAGCATAATGTCATAATGTCACCTTCAGCATAACACGCAAGATACTCCCAAAGAGCCACTTCACAAAAGTATAATATTTCAATTTTACACATACATTTTACACAGCCATAGCTTTAAAGGTTTAGGATCCCCCTCTGGTTTGACCTTTCTTTGATCACTGGATTCCTACAAAATGTGCTGGAGGACATTCAAGTTGGTGGTCAGTGTATTGAGAAATCTGGATTTCCCATTTAAATATTGGGCCATTAAAGAAAACTGTAGCAAAAAATCTTTTGAAACCTGTCCAGTTCAGAGATGTGTCTTGACCATATAGGTATATAAAGGTATAAAAAGTAGTTCTTGTCTAGAAATTCTTGTAAAATGTTTATTGCAGTGTAGTACCATGTGTACCATTAACTGTTTAGAACCCTATAGTTTTCTTTTTGTTTCATTTAACTCATAATTCAACTCATAATTCAATTCAAGGCCCCCCAAAAAAAAAAAAAAAAAAAAGAAATCCAACATCTGGATATTTCTTTGATTATTTAGTAAATGAGAGGAGTGTATATACTGTATAGAGATAAAACAGATGCATTTTTAAAAATACAACCCAAAGTTCTCATAATATTTTATTTCACACAGTTGGATACACACAGCTGGACATTTAAAAGCACAGGCCATGTCAATAAATAATGTTCTGCTTCATGAACTAACAGTTCATGAAGTGAGTAAATAAATTAATACAAAGAAGAAAAAAAAACTTATTATTTGGAGTGGATTTCAAAGCAGAATAGAGACTGTGTCTGAGCTGCAGGAATATATAAAAGTCTTGATTTGGCAGCTTCTAATCCTCCTTGAAATGCTCAAATTCTGCCATGTAACCATTCTGGTAGAGACCTCCAAGATGGCAAAATCCAGCCTCCCAGCCTCCGCCCACTGTAGCCAACAGATTGGTTTCTTTGCTATAGTGATTTTAGAATTGAACCTGCTGTTAAAGTATGATTGTTTAAGTAGTGGGGTTGGAAGACTAAGGGGCAACATGAGATGAACATTTCATTTTGGTTATTTAAGAGGAGTTTATTATTTTGGATCACTGATTCTAGGCTAAGTTGCATGATTTCCTCAAGATAAATTTAATTCCCAGATAGGTCATGCTATTTGGTACCCATCGAAATGGCCATTGAATATTGGACATATTAACTGATATTGCTGAGATTGGCATTACCTCTGATTTAGACCAGTTGATTTTGTAACCAGAAATTTTTGAAAAATTATTAATCAGTTAAATTATAACAGAGATAGTAGCAATGGTATTGTGTGAGACTATAAGATCATCAGTACAGAGGAATAGGTATGTTGCTCTTGACCAGCATGTACCCTTTTAATGTTTGGATTGCTTCTAATCGCAATGTAAGGGGAGAGAGCGGGCAGCACTGTTTTGTCCCTCTGAACAGGCAGAAGTGGGGAGAAATGATCCCGCTGCTGTAAAAACGGAAGCAGTAATATTAAATATAATATTAAAAGTAAATTAATCCAAGCAAGACATGTAGGTCCAAATCCAGATTTCTTAGTGTATGTACTAAGTAGCTCCATTCAACCCTGTCAAAGGTCTTCTCCCCATCTAGGGATCCAGGGTTAGGGTCATTTTTAGATTTGTGTATGATATAGGAGCCTGCAGAGATCCGCTCC